GCCAAAAACATCGTCTTTTTTTAAGCAAATAGCTACTTCGAGTTTTACTTTAAAAAAAAACAATCAAGTAATATCATATTACAATTACAATTACTATTGCAATATGATTGAATATTACTATGTGATATTACATTACTATTACAATATGATTGAATACAATTACTATTACAATCAAGTAATATTGGGATTCCAATGTGATTCCAATCTCTAAATCAGCACCGTCCCAGATCCCTCGAGTCCCTCGAGTTGAGTTCCCTGGCTACTGGAGCACTGAGGCGCCGAGATCTGTGCGCTGATCCGGCTTCAGAAAAGTGGATGTGTATATATATATAAGATATATATATATATATTAGATATATATATATGTGATATATATATATATATATGATATATATATATGCTATATTATATGTATATGATATATATATATATACACTATATCATACAGTATGTATATGATATTTATATATATATGATGTGTATGTTGTATATGTTACTGCCTGTCTATATCCCTATGGCAAGCAGTGGTTAATTCGGTTTCCATGATTTGGTTCAATCCCCAAGCGAGGCTAAAACCACAGCCATATCTCCATGATTTCAAGACTGGTGACGGCACATCCATATAATATATATATATATATTTAATATGTTGTATATGTTGTATATGATATATATATAATATATTAGTATACCCCGTTTTCCCATCTCATGAAATACTATATAGTTGGTTTGTCAAACGGTTTCCCTAGTGGTTATCATCACCCCCGACTGAATTAAGTATAATTAAGTAGCATAAGTCCTTGTGCCAACCCATCAACCAGGATACCCTCTCGTAATGTAACAGTTTGCTATTGAAAATGGCCATAGAAATAGTTGATTTTACCTATCAAACATGGTGATTTTCCATAGCTATGTTTACCAGAGGGTAATTCCTATCAACCACCATCGAATCCCATGAACAATCACCATGTTTGTTGGTTAAGTCACCACTTTCCTATGGTTTTCCTGTGCTTTTCCTATGGTTTTCATGTGTTGTTTTTCACCTTTTCCCAGGCAACGAACCAACCCCCCGTGCAACGTCCCAGGTCGTGGACCTCACAGGTCGTGGAGAGATGATTCCCAGCGCGCGGGCCACCTGCGGAGCCATCAGCTGAGTGGTTTGGATCCTTCTGGTTGATGACATTCCCACAATGTGGGGCCCCCCAGTTATGGTTAATATATGGAAATACATGGTTATTATATGGTTAATATATGGACATTTATAACTTTCCATTCAGTTGGGAATGTGGGGCCCCCGGCCACGATAGCGTTCAGTTGGTGCAAATAACTCCAATTTCACTATGGTTTATGGTACGCAAATAACTATAGTTACTGGGGCGAATCAAAACCAACTTATAACTGGGGGGCCTCACATTGCAACTGAATGGAAAGTCATAAAATTATAAAATTCCATGGTTCCAGTCACCACCAAGCAGTGACTATTAACCATCATTAATCATCATTAACCATCAATTACCCCATACTAAACCAATGTTTCAAACCACCAAGCAGCAGAAAATATGGATACCATTGGATGCCATTGGATACCATTGGATACCTACGTTATATAGTTCCTTTGTTCCCCCCAACCCTTGGATTCTCAAAGAGGGATCCCAGCGACTGGGTTTCATCGTTGGACCTATGTTTCATAAGCAACGTGGGGGTTCCCACGGAAACCACACATCAACTGGTTCATGGTAATTTTCCCTCTTAGAAAACCATAACTTGAGGATCTACCCATTTCAGACACACCCAAATCATATAGTTGGTTAAAGAATGTTAAAGATCTCATTAGAAAAACAGAGTAAATCACAAGAAAAACCATTGAAACATATTAAGACTATTAAGATCCGTTAATTCATCATCAAATCAGCATTAAAATTAAAACCTAAAAAATTACGATGAAATCCCCAAGAGAACTACAGTATCCAATCTGTCAGGGCTATGCCTCGAATGTCCCAGGACCCTGCCTGACGCCTCTCCTCCATGTGGTAAATGCCACCAAACCTGAAAACCCGGCCGGGGCCATGAGAAAAACACATATCATTGGATTGGTTTAAGGGAAAATCTACAGGAAACTATGGTCTTTACCATCAAATATAGGGCTAAACCAATCCAATGAACATAAGTTGGTGGCCATGCGCTTTTTTTTCGCCATGAGAAATAAGGCTTAACTTGTTTTAACCCACAAGAAACAAGATTGAACCAACTTCAACAGACATTGGAGATTAAAAAAAGAGCCAATGAAGAAAAAGGGATTTTACATTACTTAACCAATCCATTTTGGTAGGGGGGTTCCTAAAATAGGGGTACCCCCAAATGATCCATTTCAATAGGATGTTCCATTAGAAAACCATAGAAAACCATCCATTTTGGAGTGCCCTCATTTTTGGAACCCCCTGTATCAAAACATTGAGGATTTGCTCAACATGGCTACAGTTTTCCCGTTTGGCACTGCGGAAACGCATGGGGGTTCGATGGAGTGACCTCCGCCGTTTTTCGGAAAGCGTGGCAGCGCTGCGAAATCCGCTCTTCTGTGCTTTTCGACCGATTTCAATGAGAAATCATCTCCTGGTGGCATACTTACCCCTCTGAAAAATCATGGAGTTCGTCCATGGGAAGATGACATCCCATATATGAAATGGAAAAGAAAAGCCATAGAAATAGATGGTTTACTTGTTAAACATGGTGATTTTTTAGTTCGCTATGTTACCCACTGGTGAACTAACATAACTATGGAAAGATCCACCATGCTATTAATGGGAAAATCCACTATTTCTATGGTCATTTTCCATTGCTATGTTAGTTTACCAGAGGGTCGTCATTACCAGAGGGGACTGGATCCAACCATCTTTGAAACCAGCTGAAACGCCGGATGAAATGCAACAGATATGCCGATCAGCCCGAAGATTTACCTATCTAATCCTATCTATTTATCCCATATCTGTCCAGTAAAAACAATATTATATATATATATATATATATTTACATAGTTCTATCCTGGTACCCCATGTTGGACCCGTGTGAATCGCGGGTCAACTGAGGGCGTGAAGGATGGAACCTCTGGTAACTCACAGGTTGCGAACTGGAAAATCTTCATCGTTTTGAAAGGTAAGTCGTCGACCTATTCATAGTCCTAAATGGGCCATGGCTTCCATAGCTCTTGAATTACGGGAAAGTACATCTTCACCTGGTTGGTGGTTTCAATCCCTCTGAAGAATATGAGTTCGTCAGTTGGGATGATGACATTCCCAACTTAAAATTCATGTTCCGAACCACCAACCACTTAGTTTTTGTTCATTTCAAGTAGCCCTCAATAAATCCCAAGATATATTGATTTTCTCAGTTCCAGGGAAGCGGGTCAGCAGCTGATTTTTCGGTGGTCAACCCAGCAATGGCCAACAACAAAGCACGCTCTGCTGAAGTTCATAAACATCATCCCAAAAATGATAATGTGGCAAACTCCATCGTAAATCTATCATGTGGGGATTGTTTTGTCAAAGAATTATGATCATCTTGGGCATCGTATGGCATCGTTTATCTTTGGCTTTACCACATTACTATACTATAGTACCCGCCAAAGGTAGAAAAGTAAATTCCTACATAGTTTGGAGGTTACCATAAACTATCACGCAAATGGTGTAATGTTGCATAAACATGTCCCAGTGCATGAAGCAACCGCAGAGCCACACTGGGGAGCCACGCTGTGGCGGTGCTGCGGCCCACCCACGGCCGGTACTTTGGAACCACTGAAGCTAAGGAATCCACATTGACTGCCCAAGATGGGGAAACTCCAAAGGTTTGGTACTGGAATCTCTGACTTATGTAGATAAATATGTGTATATATATATATACATTAATACCTGCTATATGTATCTTTATATATACATGTATTCATAATATATATATATACATTATATATATATTATGTATTTATAATAAAATATAATATGATATAATATAATATAATATAATAAAATAATATATATATATATACATGTGTGTTTATATTACATATAATTATATATCTATAATTATAATATGTAAGGTTATATATATATATAATGTTAAATTCGTAATATGATGTAATATGGTAAGCTCAACAGTAGGAAATTCTCACGTATCCGAATTACACAGCAGAATTTTTTCTCTGCAGTCAGGAGATTACAGCGCCTTTTTGGTGGGAAGGGGATCTTCAATCGACATCAATGAATTTTCTGTAGTGCTACATTGACATATTTGACAGATGGAGGTTTCCTAAAATAGGGCTACCTCTAAATCATCCATGTTATTTTCAGATTTTCAATGATCAACCGTCCAGCTATTGGGGTACACCCATAATCTAGGAAACTCCCATATATTTGACCTAAGGCCTCCCAGGCCAAACTGGGCTCTGGGAAAGCAATGCTTGGGGTTATGGTTGTGTCTGAAAATGAGGCATAGCAGCATACCCCAAATTGCAATCGTGATTAGAACGGAATGGAACAGTATGATGATGATTTCTATGTGCACACATGTCATACCTGGTTGTACTTGTTCTTATCCCATCAATGCCAAGTTAATACACCATAAAATCCCATTGAATATTACAGACCCAGTGAATATCCTATAAAATCCTCATTATTTTTCGTTCTCCGTTCCCAAAAGGTTGCCATTTTCCAGAACTATACGATTCATCCAGAATCAAGTGGGGCCGAGACACGCTTGGTCTTGCCTAAGGATGCCATGTGTGGCGACCCTGAAACGGACTTGGTCCCTGCGCACAAAAGATGCTCAGCAAATACGCATCCGCAGGAGGAAAGTTGTTTATGTTAATGTTTATGTATTGTTTATGTCATTAAATTCAATAGCTTAAATATGCTTAAATGCTTTTGAAAATTGAGTGCATGAGGGTTTTCTTTTATCAACGTACAATACATTGTATGCGGTCCTTTTGGATCACGTCAACTCTTGTTCATCTGATAGCTTGAACTTTAGCCTAAAAACCAGAAGCCACTTTGAGCCTTCCACAGGGGACCTGAAATTCAAAACCGCAATTCGCTTCAAACATTGGCGAGGCAGCGTCGACCGCGCCGCGTTGCGACACGCGGTGCAAAGCGCCCCCCTTTCTTCAGCCGCTCATCAGCCACCTGCTGCTCGCCTGAGACACGAATTAAAAAAATCCTTCCAGCTATCTCCAAATCTAAGTTGGGTCATACCATCTGGTAATTTAACACAGCTATTGAACATGGCCATAGAAATAGTGGATTTACCCATTTAAAATGGTGATTTTCCATAGCTTTTTGTATGTTTACCAGAGGGTATAGGTTCTACTTACTCACACCCTCCGGTAATCTGTAAAAGCTTTCGAAGCCGTGGCCCGTTTAGATGATTCATCTTTCAAAAATGATGATTGCAGTTATATCACCAGAAGACAAATGAAACCAATTTGGTGACGTTATATCATGTTATATCCCAAATGGGGTTTTTGTTAAATATCCCAATTAACCTCAGAAGCTAACAATAACCCTAAAAATTACGCTTAATTTCTATGTGATGGCAGCAATAACTGCGTTAAAATATATTGAAATACAGTATGGATGATGCTAATGCCGATTCAACCAACCAACAAGGGCTTTTCACAATACGTACTGAAATTAAATCCGCAAAAGGCTGAATCCCCTACAAGCATCTGGTTGGTGATTTCAACCCAATATATGGAAAAATAAAAAATGTTTCACACCACCAACCAGGCATCAAATGAATTGTTGATTTAAAATGACTCCTTGCCTCTTGCGTTTTCGAGCAACTGAGTGTCCCGTCGGCAGGGGGTCGTGTTGGCAACGCGTTAGCAGCGCGACGGGCGTTCCTGCTCGCCACTTAGTTCCACCTGCGACGGATGCTCCACATGCGCATCTCAGCAAGTGGCAGTGAAGTATGTGTATACATGCACGTACACATGCACATGCACATACTCTTACACAGACATCTTCATGTCCATGTATGTGTACATGTACAATGTATGTACATGTGACTTCGCAATAAGTGTACGTATACGATCGTATACGTATACGTATGCGTATATAGTAGGGTTCATTCAATGCATCACTAGGCTACAAAATGGTGAATGTGTCACTACACACTACACTATGTATGTATGTATGTATGTATGTACGTATGTATGTATGTATGTATGTATGTATGTATGTATGTATGTATGTATGTATGTATGTATGTATGTATGTATGTATGTATGTATGTATGTATGTATGTATGTATGTATGTATGTATGTATGTATGTATATGGAGATAGATAGAAAAATGACAGATAGACAGATAGATTGGACTGCATGCAGAGAGGCGGATTGGCAGATAGATAGATGGATAGATAGATAGATGGATATGACAGTGAGCTCATCCCAGAAAAAAAACATGTGTTTTTTTCCCACCGCAGTGCCCGTGTGTTCACAAAGGTCATCCGTTGGACCGTTCGCTGAAATTTCGAGGACGTGACTCTTTCGTACGCCAGGGGAAGATTAATGATGGCAATATATGGAGAACCAACAAGTTCTAAGGGAGATATCTTAGGGATGTGTGGATAAAAAAAAACATGTATATGATAACTATGATAACCTATCATTGGGGATACCATTGCCATAGATATATAACTAAATATATATATATATATGTTACATTATAGTACCATTGCCCATTATATGATGTGAGGTGGTCTATCCCAAGTGGGTTGCCCATTATATGGGCTATGGTCATCGCATGCCATGCAAATCCCAGGGTTTCTCATCAACTTGCAAAGCCCCATGGAGAACTCGGGGATGGGTCAAACTCGGATACTTGTTTAAAGTTCTGGATGCTGTATTGACAAACATCACTAGCTATATTCAATCATCCGAATTCCCCGGTTTCTTGGGTCTCAATCTTGAAAAAAACGAAAGCCATCTACTGTAGAAACTGAAGTAGCCTTAGAGTAGACTTAGAGGTTGCTGACATGGTATCCTCAGTTTTGTTGGTCAACCCCCTGATTTGCTTCTCCATTGAACTACCACATTTTCTTGGTCAACTTGGTGTTTTTTTCTGCTGCGGTTTCTTCAAATTGGGGTACCCCAAGACCCATGGGTTTCTTATTGAAAGGAACTAATAAGGGATGATTTTTGGGTTCTCCATTTTTGAAGAAACCTCACATTGTTGCTTATAAATATATATATATATCCTGTTGTATCCACGCTACATTCTCAAAATATTTGTGTTCTCACCAATGAAAACCCAATATACTTGCTGGTTCAATCCCCATGATTCAATCACCATTTGTTTCAACCGGAACATGATCTTGGTCATAATATATACACCCAATATAGTCAGATAGTCCTATTCCCAGGAGATCATTAAAGCCCATTAAATCACCATTAGTTGGCTACATTCCCTCTGGTAATCCCCTATGTGGCGTGAAAATCCTCCATGGCTCAAGCGAAATCCCCAAACACCCAAGGATACCCGACCCACCGATGACTGCCTTACAGCTTCGAGAAAGGACCAGCTCCATCATGACCTTCCAGTTTTTGTTGGAAATGAACTCATTGAAGCTCAATCAATTTCCCTCTGGTAATTTCTGACACTTTGCTATTGAACATGTTCCATATTTATGCTGATGTCCCTGTGGACATGGTGATTTTCCATAGCGAACTTAGCTTACCAGAGGATAATTCCTATTATATCCCCATGATATCCCGGGAAATCCCCATTGTTGATTTATATAAACCGATTCCCATCAAATACCATTCAACATGTTGTGAAAAAACTCAAAAAAATGATGTTCATCCAGAAAAATACGGGCTTCACTAGTGGAGATGGTGATGGAAAACCAATGAAAAACAAATCGGCGATTTAAGCACCAATAATGGGTTTTAATTATGAATTAACAATGCTAATTAATCTTAACTAGATGAGCAGGATGAGGTATCAACCATTTGAAAGAGGGAATTGACATGAGTCAACCATTAGCGAGGTTTTGACCATGAGGAATGAGGTATTGTGGATGTGAATGAGGGATGAACCATTAGAAACATTTAGAGGTGGGAACTCGACCTTAGGCGCGGTGAGTAATGTGGTAAATGATACATGGGTGGTATGTGTATATATATATATACATATAATGTATAGATAAAGATATATATATTCTTGTGTATATATAGATACATATATATATACACATATTTATTTATTTATACATACATATATATATATATCATATATATTTATACACGTTTCATTATATTTCCAAGTTTCCTGCGACTTCTTATTGGGCAAAATAGTCCTGAAAATACACCAGCATGTTCTTTTCTCCTGGGCCTTCCTTCTTTTGGAATTCCACTGGAAGTCGCAGGGTGCATTGAAGTGGTGAAATGCATGGTCTTGGGATTTCTTTGGAGAATCGCTATCTTAAAAGTATATTAAAGTATCGATATCTGAAACGAAAAAAAACAAAGATACCTGAACACTCTCTCTCTCTCTCTGGGAACATATATATATATATAACTCGGTAAATCTGGGGATTTCATTCCTATGGGCACCGTCGCCTCAAGTGACAGTCAAGGGGGATCCTCTTCTCAGGGAGGAAATTCCCATGAAACAACCACCAGTTCAGGTTTCATGAGTTCAAGGGTGTAGATCGGATAATAAATTCAGGTGTTCACACCATCGAGTCTGAACAAGATCCTGGTTGAAGAAGGGATCCAAAGAATTTCTGGGAAACTCAAACTCAAACTCACCTTTTTTCTACCTGGTGATTTCATCCCTTGCCATGGAAAACTGATTCATGTAACTCTTGGGGGGCATGGAGTTTCCACACTTCCCGGGAGGTGACAACTATGTTCCTAGATCAAAGAGGCTAGACATGAGGCTATTCATGTGCCATTCACTAGTGGCTTTACAGGGGAATTGATTCCCCATAATAAACATGCCCCCCCGCGCACCCCAAAAAATGAAAAGTCACAAACAATTAATAAAACATCTATTAATGATTATTAATGGTCCATTTTCCCACAATTATGAGTAATGTACTTAAAGCATTTTTTCACCATCCCCTAAATCACCATTTTTATGGGTGGTATAAACCATTCCCAAATAGGTAGTTTATCATTGTTTCAACCACATTAACTGGTTGGTGGTATACCTACCCCTCTGAAAAATATGAAAGTCCGTTGGGGTTATTAGTCCAAATATATGGAAAAATAAAAGTCATGTTCCAAACCACCAATCAGATATACATATTGGCCTCTGGTAAATTAACTTGTTGACCCTGACAAACGCCATTGATGTTCAAAGGGTGGGATGGGATCGTTCACCCAGAGATGAAGCTTATGAAAACGTAGCAGCTATGGACGATTGCTACGTTTGAAATAACTTAATAAACACATGTATATCATGTAAAAAAACATTGGATATACACAAACACGTACATACATTTTTTGGAAAAAAAGTCTTTCAGGTTCAACTCAATATCTATATATACATATATAAGAAATACTTGAATATATTGTATATTTGAATATCACCTATCCTACTGCAATCTCATCCAATCTCCATTTTTTTCCACCAGAAACCGGTGGGATTCCACCACCGTCCCAGGCGTCCGCCGCGTGACTCTTCCGGAAATCCTTCAGCACCACATCAATCAAGGTCTGTCCTGGGAAGACCTGATGTGCGGGGATCATGGGATACAGCACCCCGCATCGATGATCAAATGGGATGTGGTATACCAAGTCAAATGTTTATTTTTATGGGAAAATGATGTTTTACCATTGGATTATAAGGATACCCCATTTTCAGGCACACACGTACGGGAGAATGATGATGTTAAGAGGGAATTTTAGCGGCAAGGCCATCATCCATCCAAATGGTTTTCTTATGGAGCAGGCGAAGGACAAAAACACGTTTTCCCGTAGATGTTCTCTGGTTGGTGGTTTCAACCCCTCTGAAAAATATGAAAGTCAGTTGGGATGATTATTCCCAATATATGGAAAAAACAAATGTTCCAAACCACCAACCAGTTATTGAATAACGTCAGCATTTTCCCTGCATTTTCTCACCTGCATGCCCGTCGATCGGGGTGATTGATGACTTGGTTGCAAAATTGCAAAAACCGATGGAATCAAACACGGTGGTCATCACCGGGGCAAACGGCTGAAGTGACACCAACCATTAAAAAATCAACAAAAATACTTCCAATAATAATTGCCAAGAAATGTTTTTGGTTTTTGTTGTTATTGATGATATTGTTGTCATTGCGATTGTGGTTGCGGTTGTGGTTGTTGTTGTTGTGGTTGTGGTTGTGGTGGTTGTTGTGGTGGTTGTGTTTGTGGTTGTGGTTATGGTTGTTGTTCTTGCTCTTGCTCTTGATATATTTTTTGTTTTTGTTCTTGTTTTTTGTTTTTGTTTGTTGTTGTTGTTGCTGAAGTTGTTACTGTTGTTGTTGTTGGTGGTGGTGGTGGTGGTGGTGGCGGTGGTGCTGCTGCTGGTGTTGTTGTTGTGCTGCTGGTGTTGTTGTTGTTGTTCTTGCTGGTGTTGTTGTTGTTGCTGTTGTTGCTGCTGTTGCTGTTGTTGTTGCTGTTGTTGTTGCTGTTGTTGTTGCTGTTGCTGTTCTTGTTGTTGTTGCTGTTGTTGTTGTGGTTCTGTTGTTGTTGTGGTTCTTGTTGCTGTTGTTGTTGTTGTTGCTGTTGCTGTTGCTGTTGCTGTTGCTGTTGTTGTTGTTGTTGTTGGTTTTGATTTTGTGGTTGTGGTTGTGGTTGTGCTTGTGTTTGTGCTTGTGCTTGTGCTTGTGCTTGTGGTTGTGGTTGTGGTTGTTGTTGTTGTTGTTGTTGCTGTTGTTGTTGTTGTGGTGGTGGTGGTTGCTTTTGTGGTTGCTTTTGTGGTTGCTTTTGTGGTTGCTTTTGTGGTTGCTTTTGTGGTTGCTTTTGTGGTTGCTTTTGTGGTTGCTTTTGTGGTTGCTTTTGTGGTTGCTTTTGTGGTTGCTTTTGTGGTTGCTTTTGTGGTTGCTTGTGTGGTTGCTTGTGTGGTTGCTTGTGTGGTTGCTTGTGTGGTTGCTTGTGTGGTTGCTTGTGTGGTTGCTTTTGTGGTTGCTTTTGTGGTTGCTTTTGTGGTTGCTTTTGTGGTTGCTTTTGTGGTTGCTTTTGTGGTTGCTTTTGTGGTTGCTTTTGCGGTTGCTTTTGTGGTTGCTTTTGTGGTTGCTTTTGTGGTTGCTTTTGTGGTTGCTTTTGTGGTTGCTTTTGCGGTTGCTTTTGCGGTTGCTGTTGTGGTTGCTGTTGTGGTTGCTGTTGTGGTTGCTGTTGTGGTTGCTGTTGTGGTTGCTGTTGTGGTTGCTGTTGGTGGTTGCTGTGGTTGCTGTGGTGGTTGCTGTGGTGGTTGCTGGTTGCTGTGGTGGTTGCTGTGGTGGTTGCTGTGTGGTTGCTGTGTGGTGGTTGCTGTGGTGGTTGCTGTGGTGTGGTTGCTGTGGTGTTTGTGTGGTGGTTGCTGTGGTGGTTGCGGTTGTGGTGCTGTGGTGGTTGTGGTGGTGGTGGTGGTGGTGGTGGTGGGGTGGTGGTCGTGTTGTCGTGGTTGTCGTGGTTGTCGTTGTCGTGGTTGTCGTGGTTGTCGTGGTTGTCGTGGTTTCGTGGTTGTCGTGTTGTTGTTGTGGTTGTCGTGGTTGTCGTGGTTGTCGTTGTCGTGGTTGTCGTGGTTGTCGTTGTCGTGGTTGTCGTGGTTGTCGTGGTTGTCGTGGTTGTCGTGGTTGTCGTGGTTGTCGTGGTTGTCGTGGTTGTCGTGGTTGTCGTGGTTGTCGTGATTGTCGTGGTTGTCGTGGTTGTTGGGGTTGTTGTTGGTGTTGTTGTTGTTGTTGTTGGTGGTGGTGGTGGTGGTTGTTGTTGTTGTTGCTGTTGCTGTTGCTGTTGCTGTGGAACCCTTCATCGTGCATTTTTCCGTTTGCCATTCTCCCCTTTTTCTCTTTGAACCGGTTAATCGCTTGACCTTTGAGCAATGAACCCTTTTACCGGGTAAGCGGGAACTGTTTCACCACAAAAATCGTACAACTGTTTAACTTACAGTATGTGCTTGTCCGCTGTCTTACGTCTAGCCATTTTACAGTTTCACCCGCTTATATGACCAAGCGTAACCGTTTTCGATTGCGATAATGCCAATTTTGGGCAGGTTTGAGCTTTCTACCCATGTCTACCTCATATCCTTGCCTGTTTCCTCAGACACTAGATTGATGGGTCAAAATTCCGCACCCCGAATATTTTAACTACGCTAGCGAATATATGCGAATGATAGCAAGTGATTGCAGGCCAACATGGACAGATGTGAATAGGACGCACAGGACCCACAACCCGCACCAAGGTTGCAAAAACTGCTTCCCACCGGCACCTTGGTTCCTTGCTTGGCTGCACATGCCTGAACGTGGTGCATGCGAAGCAAGGCCCCGGCCCATGTGTTTGGCCAGCGGTGGGCTTTGACGCAAAGCAAAAATTCCATCCAGCAAGGCTAGCTTACAAAGATGGGATTCTGCGGGATCCACCTTTTGAGACCAATGGTAGAATTGCAATGCTATATAGTTCAGAACAACCATTGTTTTGAATTAACATACTCCGTTGTGCTCAGCGCAGTCTTTCCCAACTATCCAGGCCTGCGGTGAATGTTCAATCAAGAAACTGTCGGAGGGTTTGATTGGAACCAGCTTTAGACCAGATACAGTATAGGCCATCGTTCTATGCGCTGAAACAAAACCATGTTTGCATCTGCACGTGTGTTTTTCGTGCAACAGGCTGGCTTCGCAAACTGGCATACCCACGAAGAATGAGGGATCCCTCTCTCATATCTTAAAGTTTAAAAATCAACAGGACATGGACATCATGCTTTGTCAAAGCTCCGCTCAAAGAAATTTAAAAAAATGTGTTGGTCAAGCGATCATGCGTGGACATGACCCGTGAAGGATGACAGACGGACGCGTTCGCAAAACCACGCGGCTGATGAGCAACGTGTTGCACAAACGTTCTAAGGTATGCCCGCAAAACTTAAGAAAACAGTTGGTTGGGAACCCTTTTTGAATACCGGCTCGAACAGGGGCGCCAAACTTAACCAGCTTCAGTGCGTGTCCCTATAGATGGCGGGAACCCCCTGCTGCTTAACATGGCTTTTACACAAGACTATAGCTGAGATTTCAATGCTTCGTTCACCCTGCTCACCCTGCATTTTTTTTTGGTCGTCCAGGCTCCCTTCCTTGGTTTTTGCAGCTAAAATCCCTCATTTGCTGCATTTTGTAGCTAAAATCTCTCATTCGCACTGTTCATCAATTTGTCCACTGGTTTCAGGATTTGTTTCAATGGTTTTTATCGAGTTTTCCATCGTTTTCATTGGTTTGCCCATGGTTTTCTTCAATTTTCCTATGGGTTTCTTCAATTTTTCCATGGTTTTCTTCACTTGTTCTATGGTTTTCTTCGATTGTTCCATGGTTTTCTTCCATTTTTCAATGGTTTTCTTCAATTTTTCAATGGTTTTCTTCAATTTGTGCATGGTTTTCATTCAGTTTTCAATTGTTTTCATTTATTGTTCCAGAGTTTTCATTGATTTTTACATGGTTTTCATTGCTTTTTCCGAAGTTTTCATTTATTTTTGAAAATACACGATGTGCAAACTATAAATTGTAGATGTCAAGAGGTATATATGCATGACTAATCATGACTATATGTTGTAGATCAGTGTATTTAAACGCGTATTTAATATATATGCAGGGATTGGTTTAAGGTTTATTTAGGGTTGGTTTGCGGTTTCTTCTAGATTTGTTTAGGGTCTATTTAGGGTTGGTTTAAGGTTTCTTTAGGGTTGGTTTAGGGTCTGATCAGGGTTTGTTTAGGGTTGGATTAGGTGTTATTTAGGGATACAGCATGTACATAAAAATAACTATAATTATGTGGATGCATGTCCATGCGCATGATTATTTATAGTTTATTTTGGGATGAATGATGAAAGCTGGGTATATAAACACCCATAAATATGTAATATATATATATATGTGTGTGTGCATACATCTACAAGTATATGTGTATATGTAAATATATATATATATGTATATTTAAATATGTATATATATATGTATATATATATATATATGTATATTTAAATATGTATGTATATATGTATATATAAAAGTAAATATATAAGTGTATATATATATATATGTATACATATTAAATGTATATGTTAATTACAAAATAAATATGTATGTATATACATATATATATAGAAATAGTCAAATCAAACTAATGTATCGAAAAGTGTGCAAGTTTGAATTTAAATAATTAAAAAAAGCGGGAGGAGGGAATTCGGGGGGAGGGCGCAGCGCCTCCCTCCCAAAGCAGATTGGAAACACCTATTTTCACATGCAAGGTGCTGGGTTGAATGTGGTACTCGAGGTTTATATACTACGCGACATGCACCCTGGAAACATGTGGAATGTAGGTTAAGGCACAACGATGCACAATAGTTTCATTGGATGTTATCATCGTGTTCGTTTAAGATCTCTTGATATGAGGTTGGTGTACTGTAGATTCTGGCTTGGTTCAGGGTTGGCTTGGGCTTTGAACATCATCCCGATGATAATGCAAACCAGATAGATAGATAGATAGATAGATAGATAGATAGATAGGTAGATAGCTCGATCGATCGATCGATCGATAGATAGGATAGGATAGGATAGGATAGAGATAGAGATAGAGATAGAGATATAGATGCTGATGTAGATCTAGATGTAGATATAGATAAATAGATAAATAGATAAATAGATAAATAGATAAATAGATAAATAGATAAATAGATATATAGATATATAGATATATAGATAAATAGATATATAGATATATAGATACATATATATATATATAGAAATATAGATATAGATATATAGATATATATTTATATATTTATATATTTAGATATTCAGATATATAGATATAGAAAAATTTAAGTAGTGAGAGATAGATATAGACATAGATATAGACATAGATATAGACATAGATATAGACATAGATATAGACATAGATATAGACATAGATATAGACATAGATATAGACAGAGATATAGACAGACAGACAGACAGACAGACAGATAGATAGATAGACAGACAGACAGACAGATAGATAGATAGAGATACACGAGAGTAGAGATAGAGATAGAGATAGAGATAGAGATAGAGATAGAGATAGAGATAGAGATAGATGGATGTGTATATAATGCACTACATGCACCTGGTGAACATGCTTCACTGATAGATTGATCGATAGATGATAGATGAGCCATAGGAGCCATAGAAGCCACAGAAGCCGCAGAAGCCACAGAAGCCGCAGAAGCCACAGAAGCCGCAGAAGCCACAGAAGCCGCAGAAGCCACAGAAGCCACCAGAAGCCACCAGGAGCCACCAGGAGCCAGGACCGTAGAAGCCACAGAAGCCACGAAGCCACCACGAAGCCAAAAAAAATACTCCTCCGTTCCAGATTTTGTCCACGGATATATACACCAATGTATTCCAATGAGGGCAAGCAAACAGGTTTTTTCATGCAAGATGAGAAATCTATTCAAGTGGTCGGTTTCTTCTGTAATAATCAAAATAAAAACCGCTCGGGCATTGTTGCAATCTTCCTACACTCCTCTGACAAACGGAATGCATCATAGCACGGAGCGGGATGCTGAAACTATTTATGACTACACTTGAGTAATTGTCAGCTAAGGCACCTCGGGTTTTTTCAGCATTCTATAAGTATAACCTGCTATATATATGTTATCTGTTAGTACTTTAAGTCTCTTCTATATATTCTCGGCTAAGCATAGAAACATGCAAGTTGCGAGAACACAGACAATGTAACATATATTTTAAAAAATAGTCACTTAGATAAGGTAAAATAAGCAAAATAGCGAATTCAAGTGTAATGAGCTTTCAAGATGCTGATTATGTCATGAACCATAAGATTTCATTAGCAGCATGTTTGGCTGTAATGTTTCAAAATAATTGTCCTCTCAGGGGGCACATGTTGTAAAGACACCCCCTAGCCTAAAGAATAAGACAGTCCAGGTAGGCAAAATGTCAGAATACATGTCAGAAAGAATGTCAAGTATAACTGGTTGGTGGTTTCAACCCCTCTGAAGAATATGAAAGTCAGTTGGGATAATTATTCCCAATATATGGAAAAAACACGTTCCAAACCACCAACCAGATAATGTTAAACCATCTATTTCTATGGGCCATCTATACCATGGCTATGTTAAATAACCAGAGGGTATTGCCAGATAAAACTCTAACAGGCATGTCAGAGCAGAGGTCAGTTCTGCAATGGCAGCTTAAATGTCAGCATGTCAGTACAAAGGTCAGATTTTTCCAGATCGGTTCTGCCGCAAAATTCATGTCATGTCATGTCAGCATGTCAGGTTTGTTGTGTCAAATAAAATCAAATCAAAATGTCATGTCAGCATTTCAGAAAATGGATCGGAACAAAAAAAACCCTCAGATACATAACGTCAGGAAGAATGCCATATATACCCATATATAACGTCAGAATATGTGTCAAAAAAAAAATGTTGGTCAGAAAATGTCAGAAAAATGTCAGATCTGACGGTCAGAAAAAAAAAAAAAAAAACAAAACACCAACAGGTAGGTCAGACATTTTATGTCAACCAATGCTATAGATACCCGGCCTGGTTATGTCACAGTTAGCTATTGAAAATGGCCATAGAAATAGTGAGTTTTCCCATTAATAGCATGGTGATTTTCCATAGTTATGTAAACGTTTACCAGAGGGTAAAATGTCAGAATGTAGGTCCGATAGAATGTCGGAATATACGCCAGATAGAATGTCAGAAAGATTGTCAGATCAATTTCAGAATATATGTCAACAATAATGTCAGATAGATTACAAGATAAAATGCCAGCAAGCATGTCGGCAGATTAAATGTCAGAAAAAAGAGGCAGAAGAATGGCAGATTACCCTCTGATAAACTAACAGTTTGCGAATCACCATCTTTAAGAGGTAAATCAACTATTTCTATGTGCCATTTTCAATGGCTATGTTAAATTACCAAAGGGTTAAATGTCATAATCATTGCCAATCAGCCAGATACCCCGCAAAAAATGACAAATTCTTAGCTGGTGAACGTAGATAATCCCATTGATACCAAAAGACTAGTTAGGATTAGTTTCTACCCATCTAAGATTGACCTAGGCCACCCTTTTTCTAGGTGGTATAGCTCCCATTCCCAGTCATGGGTGGTTCATGACATTGCGAAAAACCAACATTACAGATGATTCATTAATTACGAAGCATTATCAACCAGTATTACCCATTACCAACTCTATGATTATCCATTACCAGCCATAACATTCACCAGTATTTTCCAATCTAAGATTGACCTAGTACATCCCAATTATCCATTACTAACTCTATTATTAGGTGAGTGTCAAAAAACGCAGGGTCATGTGTTTTTTCACAAATGCCAGCAGCCCTCTTGGGTGGTCAAAGGAGATGATGCCTCTGTTGCATTGTTTTTATTTGGGGTGTGTTTGATTAATAGCCGGTTGAGGTTGATTTCAAGTGGAAAATCCTAAATAAAATGGATGTTTTTTTTCATGGAAAATCCTATGAAAAATTGGAAATGGTTGGTTTATTTCATGGAAAATTCTATGGATGATGAACCTTTGGGGTACCCCCATGACTTAGGGCTTTCCTCTGTATCCCCCAAAAATCTCCAGAGATGCAGCGCCCTCATCATTTTGTACATCAAGCTATATCATATCATAGATTCCATGTGATTGTACCATATTGTACCATTTTTTTCCAATGTGTTTTTTTTTACAATAATTAAACAAATACCATGAAATCCCATTAAACCTCATGAAAAGCCATGTCTATATTTATATCCCATTGATTGATTGTTAAGTTGATGAAAACCCATATTTATACCATTAAATCCAATTGTTTTATATATATATGTATTAAATCCCATTTATATATCCCATTGATTGTTTTTCAACCCACAGCAATTCATCCAATTCCTCCGGTAAGTCGCAAGGTTCGACTTACATCTTCCCGGGATGACCATAGTCAGATAGCTTGGGGTCATATTACCATATGACAAAGATATAGATCATGGATAGGATAGGATCATTTTTATGGGTGGTATGTTTACCATTCCCAAAATAGGTAGTTTATCCTGGTTTCAACATGTTTCAACCACATTAACTGGTTGGTGGTATACCTACCCCTCTGAAAAATATTAGTCAATGGGAAGGATTATCCCATATATATTATGGAAAAATAAACTTCATGTTCCAAACCACCAATCAGATATTAATATATATTAATATAACATCATTTCTAAGAAAGCTTATGATGATAGGAATCACACCATTCCCAAATCCATTCCTTGAATTTGGTTTTATGAAAACCCATAAAAATATATCCCATATATCCTATAAATCCCATTGACCCGGTAGATTTGGGAATGCCCACCGTGTCTGGGGCCACCCCGTGGAAGTCCGAAACTGTCCCGGCTTCCCGGGTCGGATTCAGTGGAACATTGACCCAAAAAAAACACAAAAACACAGAACTGATACCCGGCCTGGTAAACGTTTACATAGCTATTGAAAATGGTGATTTAATGGTGATTTAATGGGATTTAATGGGATTTATTAGGATATATGATGGTATACCCTCTGGTAAACCAACAGTTTGCGAACTGGAAAATGGCCATAGAAATAGTTGATTTTCCCATTAATAGCATGGTGATTTTCCATAGTTATGTAAACGTTTACCAGATGGTACCCACAAAAAAAAAACGGTTTCCCAAAGAAGTTCCTTTAAGTCATGCCGAGATTGAGCTTCGACCCTCGCAGCTCAACTCAAAATGGAAAAATCACCTCCCCCATGGCGAACTCTCACGGCCAAAAAAAAACCAAGCGACTCAAGCGGAAAATGAAGCTGGAATGCATCACTCATATTTCTGCAGGGAAGCAAAGGTCAATCTCCAATTTGTATCAATTTGTTGGCTTGTCTGTGTATGGCTGTGTATAGTTAGTTCGCCCTGGTACCCTTGTTTTCACACACCAGAGCTAGCTGGAATTGTGCCTCACAATGAAGCCACAAGTGTCGGCCCGTCCCCGCATTTGGCCCATGTGGGCTACAGCCAAATGTTAAGTCCCATTTTCACCATTTTCTTATGCAATATGATACCCTCTGGTAAACTAACATAGCTATTGAAAATGGCCATAGAAATAGTTGATTTACCCATTGAAAATGGTGATTTTCCATAGTTTTTTGTATGTTGACCAGAGGGTATTTGTACTGTAACCATACCCTCTGAGAATCAAACGTGGCTGGCTCAGATGTTGGTTATGATGGTTTATTCATTGCGTTCCACTATTCATGGTATTTTTATCTGCCATATGTTCAAATGTTTTTTGATAATGGCTATGATAATGGCTATGATAATCGCCATATGTTCAAATATGATGTTCAAATTATTCGCTATGTCAATTTCCAAAAATATATCAAGCAATGTTGGTTATGTTGGCCAATATTCATTGTTTTTTCCACTATTTTCATGATATTTATATAAATCTCTATGAATGGCCAAAAAAGATTATAAACATATCAATTAACGTCTCGGCCTCCAAGAGCTTGGATGGCACGAAGTAGTCGATGGGCCTTGGGCTTTAGAACGAAAACAGCACTGGAGAAATTAGATCTGTACAAGGGAAAAGCACGAGAAAAATACTGGATAATAGTGGTTAGTAATATATAATAGTGGTTAGTACTGGATCATACTGGTTAGGATGGGGGATAATAATGGTTAGTAATGGATAATACTGGTTGATAATGGTTAGTAATTGATAAATAATCTATAATGGTCATAAACCACCCACATGGATTGATGGTTTATAGCACCCATACAACTGGTGATTTTGGGGATGGTTCATTATTGCTTTACCAACATTACAAGGGCAAAACATAGAGCTTTACCGTGTTTTCTTGGGAGAATTAAACTTTTAAACTGATTCACCAGCCCAAACAACAATGCCAAGAACCATGTAAAAAAAATAGATGTTGAAAAATATCTGCAAGACTTCGCCATGAATCCTCATATTCCCCATTACAATTCTGTCGACAATGGTGGTATGATCATTTTCCAATGAAAAATCATTCACATTTAATCTACTCTAACTTTTGACCATGGCACATTGTCAGATGGGTAGTTGTGTTAAAAATAAAAGCCATAAAAATGATGCTTCAAATGCCCCGCACCAGAACCTTCGTCCTCGTCTGTGTCTTTCGGGGGCCCAATGAATTTGAAGAAATCCTCCGTTTTTTCAATCCCCAGTGGTGGTCAGCATGATTGCTGAGCTCCCCCTCTTTTCCTTCATGACTGGCTTGACTAAGTCTCCGTATCATTTGTTGGTCCTATGTGTTTCAATCTTTTCTGGATTTGGCACCCCCAAATCCATCCAAATTTCTCATCAGTTCCATTCAAAGTGGCAATAATTTGGAGTGTACCAGTGTACCGGCAACTCAAATCTGTGAAGAACCTCTTTTTTGATGAAAGAAACATCTTTTTTGAATTGAATCTCTGAGGATGAGTTATATTATTATTACTAATATTGTTACTATGATTATTACATATTATTATATCATATTGTATAATAATAATAATAACTCATCCTGGTCACACGTTGAAGTTCAACCTGACGAAGGATGAACGGATGAACATCCCCCAAGAACTGAGCAAGAATAAAACCCCCAAGAAACGGCTGACCATGGCACCCCAGATATATATACCCCTCAAATAACCAATAAGATCTGTGGTTTCATATATCTTAAAGTAACCCCAGTCAAAAACCACATATTATAATATATATATATAAACCAATCTAATCTGTTTCGATATGTTTTCCAATGTTTCAGAAGGTCAAACGATGTCACATCCCAGTTCTTCCCTTTTTCCCATCTCATGACAGACTAGTTGGTTGATAGGTTTCCCCAAAATGGGCGATCATAATTCCCAATAATCAATAATAACCAAACAGCTAGGGTAACTTTAAGATATGACTGCTAAAAATTGTCATTTGTGTATCATTAATATGTCATTAATATCCCATTTATACAATGTGGGCCCCCCCAGTTATAAGTTGGTTTATAAATCCCCATAACTATAGTTATTTGCGTACCATAAACCATAGTTATTGGAGTTACTTGCACCAACTTAGCTATCTTGAGGGCCCCACATTGTAGATGATCTTCCCCATTCATCCAAATGCTGCCAGTTTTCAGGTAGGCGGAGTTCTTGGTATATCGTTCCTTCGCCTGTGCGTCATAGACCTGTCACGTGAGTTTTGGCGACGGGCCACGGGAATTTTCAGAGCTGGGGCTGGTTGCACTTGCTGATGAAAAATAATGTCACTTAACAACAATCAATGGGATAAATGGGTTTTCATGAGTTTAATGGGATTTAATGGGATTTAAGGCTGATTCATATGTATTTAGCCTTAGCCAACAACAATAAAGATATGAGTGGGAATTAGCCTCAAGTAGGCTGCCTCCGATGGGAAATGAGTTAAAAAAACCATGGTGGATTTCCCAATGTTGGCTTACTGGAGGGTATGGGGAGTCACGAAATCATCTGCTTGGTGGTTTCAACCTACCCCTCTGAAAAATGATGGAGTTCGTCAGTTGGGATGATGAATTCCCAACTGTTTCTGGAAAGTCATAAAATTCCATGGGTCCAAACCACCAACCAGACTAGTTAGGATGAGTTTCTAGCCAATATATGGGAAAATAAAAGTCATGTTCCAAACCACCAACCAGTAATGCAGAGTTCGCCCTTCGAAAAATCATCAGTGAGCCACAAAAACTGATAACGTGCCAGGTTCCCCATGTCATGCCATGCGCTAATCAGCAGCATGACTGTTGAGTTTACACAACAGAACTCGGTCCTGCAACATTGAGGTAGATCCTGGAAAATCCCCCTACAATGTGGTGCCCCCCAGTTGTAAGTTGGTTTATAAACCCCCATAACTATAGTTATAAGTACCATAAACCATAGTTATTGGACTTACTAACCAACTTAGCTAACTATGGGGCACCACTTTGTATAGCTAGGCACTTTAAAGGCAAAGATCATCTATAGATCGTGGTATTTTCCAGCAAGCCATGCTTGATACAACCGAGACGGGTAACAGAAACCCGATGCTGGGACGATGCCTATGAAGCGTTGGAAGTTTTACAAACAAAAACATGGAGAGCTTGACGCACAACGAATATATATATATATATATATATGTATGGCAGTGTGTCAAAACCTTGTACCCCTGGTGAACATCAAAATAGCTGGTAAATGGATGTTCATCCCACTAAAAATGGTATGTATAGGTATTGATCCATAGCCATATGTGAATCAGCCATAGTGCCAGAGGGTTGGTGATTACAAATCAGCGGTTGATAATGGTTGATAGCTATTGTATATCCAACATCCCAATCTGATATCTATATATATAGAGGTTTCCTAAAATGGGAATACCCCTCCTACATCATCCATGTTATTTTCGGATCTTCCACTGTCAACCAACGATTTTTGGGGTACCCCCATTTAAGGAAACCTCCATATACGACCGATCTCTATGGATCTAGGAGATCATGGCCAGCCAGAGGGCCCCTACAAAAAATCACAGATTCTTAGTAGCTGGTTAGTAAGTAGATCCCATATCAAAAGACTAGTTGGGATATGTTAGGATTAGTTTCTACCCATCTAAGATTGACCTAGAGATCTTCAGGCAACTCTGGATGAGTCTTGGGTCACACAAACTGCTAGATGGCTTCAACCATTCGACCTCTGCTCTTTTTGTTCGACTAAAAATAGATCTATACCCTCCGGTGATCATCAAATGTGGCTGGAAAATCCTGGTCCCTAAATGGAGCTTTCGTTCGCTGGGAAATCATGGATGCTGTAAATCGTTGCCAATCTTACCCTAGCAAAAACAACAAATTCTTTGGTTGGTTAGTAATAAGTACTTGGTGGCTCATCCCACTTAGTAAGTGGATTATAACCCCAATTATAAGAGGATTAACCCTACTTATCCCATTCATAACTGGGGTTATAACCCACTTACTAAGTGGGATGAGCCACCAAGTAGATATTCCCACTTATAGCAAGAGATTAGTTGGGATTAGTTTCTACCCATCCAGTTGGGGATGACATGGGGAAATTCTCGGCACCTTGAGACGTTCCAAGATCTTCTGGAAACCCACCTGGCAGCAAGCGCAGCAAGCAGTTGACATGGTTTTCATCACGGGAAAGCCGAATTTATATGAATTTATGGTCATTTCTGTGGCGAAAATGCAACCAAAAACCAAGGAAGTGGATTGAAAAATATTTCAATTAACAAACACCACCCTTCGCAATTAACTGGTTGATATACCCTCTGGTAATTTAACATAGCTATTGAAAATGGCCATAGAAATAGTGAGTTTTCCCATTAAAAATGGTGATTTTCCATAGTTATGTTAGTTTACCAGAGGGTAGGTCGCATAAGTCCGAACTTTCACAAGTTGTAAGTCAGCTAAAGAGGTATGGTCATCCCAGAAATGGACGTTGACTCAACATCACCGCAGGGCCAAACGGCGTGTACATTTTTCCGTGCCAGCGGTTTTTTCCATGCGGAGTAATTTCAAATATTACCCCAGTTATATACATTATATATGATTATTGATATATATATATATTGATTATTGATATATATGTATATATAACTATATAATTATATATATAACTATATATATATGTCTTCTTAATTGGTTTTGTTACCCCAGGTATATTGCCGCCACTTATATTGCTCATTTGGAATCTCGGAGACGAGCCACGTAGTTTTCAGCGAAGAACATGGGTCCTCCCTTGGATGGCGGAAAGCCGTAGCCATAGATGTACCTCTGGTGCCGGTCATCGTCCGATTTACCCTCTGGTTATGTCACAGTTTGCTATGTTTGCTATTGAAAATGGCCCAGTTGAAATAGTGAGTTTTCCCATTAGTAGCATGGTGATTTTCCATAGCAAAATGTTAGTTTACCAGAGGGTACCAATCAAACATGGCTATAGATATACCCTCTGGTAAACATTTACATAACTATGGAAAATTACAATGTTTAATTTAATGGGAAAATCCACTATTTCTATGCAGAGGGTAAAACATCAATGATTTGTAGATTATTTTCCCATTATTGAGAGATTTTAATCTACAAAGATTGATGAAGTAACGGAAAATCCCATTTATAGATAGTACAATTCATTTATAAGGGATTTTCCATTGCCACGTTTGATTACCGGAGGGTCAGCGCATCAAAAATGTGGAGTCGTCTATGGCAATCAAACCTGTGGATGCTGTTCCATGAAATATATGAATATATGGAGGCCTCACCAGCCTCACCAACAAGAAAAGGGAGCTCATCAGCAAAGATAGGATTGGAAACAGGAGAAGTTGGGATTGAACCAACGCTCCTCGGGATTGTAGGCACGTTGGCGAAAAAAAAACACTCTGTTGGGAAAAGAAAGACATATTTGAAACCACCAAGGACTAATCCCATCTACTTTCCTACTTTAATCAATGGATTGGTTTTCACGGGAAAATTTTAACCGGAAAGCCCATGATTTTTCATGGGAAAATCGATGGTTTCCGGTTTCAATTTTCCCAACAAAACCAATCCATTGAATAGATCAGACTGGGATGTTGATTTTATCCATAGCTATCAAGATTATCAAGAAATGCCCTCTGGTAAACTAACATAGCTATGGAACATCACCATGTTTTATAGGTAAACCAACTCTAAATCACCCATTTTCCATAGCAAACTGTTAGATTACCAGAGAGTATCAACCACTGATTTCTAATCACCAGGGATTATCCCATTCTCAGTATCAATCCATTGATTTATATAACCAATCCCATCAACCTACCCTCTGGCAATGACTAAAAGTTCGGGAACTGGAAAGTCACCATGCTATTAATAGGTAAATCAACTATTTCGACTGGGTCATTTTTCAATAGCGAACTGTTAGTTTTTACCAGAGGGTGAACCTGATTCGTGGAGAGCCGCCCAATGCCCATTGAAATCCACTGGGGTCCCTGCATGGAATTGGAAATATGTATATAATTAAATGCCATATATATATATATATATTACAAAATAATGATCATACACAATGTATACATATATATATATATGTATATTATATTATATCTATATACCTGTTTACGTATATATATATATATATACATATAATTATTAATAGTGTCCTGTAAAACTGTAAAACATGGACACATATCATCATATGTCTTTATAGTACATGGTTGTTGCTATTCCTCATTAAAATCCCCGGGGCACGCCAGGTCGATGTCGGAAGAGCGAGCGACAAAGCCTTCTTCCAAGATCTTGAAACCCTCGTTGATCAAAGGATAGAAGAGCCTGGAGATGAGATTTAAATTCATGGGAGATAAAACTTATGTAGGATATTTATGGAATATATATATATATGTGGGATATTTATGAATAATGTTGAACAATTAGGTGGTGATGATGGTGGTGATGAAAGGATTGAAGAGCCTGGAGGTCATGCTGGGGAGAATGGGACGACTTTGAGCTGGGATGATTCCGGGAAATCGCGGTAAGCGTTGTCTCTCGATACGGGAAAAAGTTGCATTCAAAAAACAAGAAAACAACAGGGATTTAGCATGATTTAGCCATCCATCCATGTGATGTTGATGTTTTTTTTGTCGACCATCACTTCGAATTTTAAGTGAACGATATCATGGGAGAGTTCAGCCTCTTTGAGACGAAGAGACGTTTGAAATGGGATGATGTTGGGATTGTACGTGTATATATATATATATGAGGGTTTCCATAAACGGGGGTACCCCAATAGCTGGAGTGTTTATTTCATGGAAAATCCTATTAAAATTATATGATTTAGGGGTACCCCCATTTATGGAAACCCATGTGTATATATATATACATATATACATATGTGTGTATGTATACAATTATACATATATATATACATATATATATATACACATATAATATATCATATGTATATATACGTATACATATATATATATTGGGGGGATGGTGATGGCATGATTCGGTAACAAGCTCAGGCTAAGAGTTCTATCCAGTATGGCTCGACCAGAGGCCTGCGGTGCTTAAGTCACCATTGTTGGTTGAAATCACAAGTGTTTTTACCATCAATGGATTGGTTTTGTTGGGAAAATCTTAACCGGAAACCCATGGGTTTTTCCTATTGAAACCATGGGTTTTCCTGTAATTTTTCACGAAAACCAATCCATTGATACCAGTAAAATCAACATGTTCCTTGAGGTTCTCGTCCCCCTCCCATTATGCCATGGTCAAGTAACATGGGAAAAAAATAGTTTGTGGTCGTCTCATTCCATGGGAATCCAAACACAGTGTATGGTGTATAAATCCTTAGCGGATGGATGACCTTTCTCCACTAACTATGGGCATATCAGCAGATCAAAAACCCAAGGTAGACATCAATCTGATATGTTCGATATAAATTCCAATGTGTCATGGTCAAGTCGCCATGGTATTCCCATGTATTCCAATGCTTACCCTCAATCAAACGTGGAGCCATAGAAAATCCCACTTTAATCGGGGACATAATCTATAAATGATGGATTTTCCAATGCCATGTTTGATTTACAGGAGGGTAATCCCATGTTCTAATTCAGCTGCTCAGCCACAACACTTCAAGAAGCTATGATCTGTTGGTTAAATCGTCACTAATCACTAGAAATTCCAATGAAATCCCATTCAATCCCGATTTATTCCATTGATTTCTTGGTATCACCATTTTTGATGCTCAATCAATCAATGTGAGCAACACCCATTATAAATCATTCCTCATCCCAGGTCTAGATTTTTCCCATGAATCACCTCATCATTATTCATGGCTCAGTTGATGCAATAATATCCTCTGGCTCATGTTTCCAAGTTCATATTCCCATTAAATCACCAGTAAACATGGCCAATCTTAGATACCCTGCAAAAACATAGATTCTTAGGTGGTGAACGTAGATAAACCCATTGATAAAAAAAAGACTAGTTAGGATTAGTTTCTACCCATCTAAGATTGACCTAGGCCAAATCACCATTTTTCTAGGTGGTATAGCTCCCATTCCCAGTCATCGGTGGTTTATGACATTGCGAAAAACCAACTTTACAGATGATTTATGAATTACGAACCATTGTCAACTAGTATTACCCATTACTAACTCTATGATTATCCATTACCAGCCATAACATTCACCCATTGTTTTACCATATCCCTATTAAATCTCCAGTCAATCCCATGGTTTCATATTCCTAGCCTCTCGACAATCTCCTCATCACTGACTGGGCGAGGGGTGACACCCTTGGCTTTTCGCACCTGGTGAGAACTGCTCCGGAAAGAAATTGTATCATTGTTGAGATCAATGGGATAAATGATATTTTCTGGGATTTTATGTGACTGAGGATTTATATCATGGGATTTTATAGGATTTTATGGGGCTGCATAGGGATTTAAAATGATTGATATAAAGGGAAATGAATGGGGATATAATGGGATTATGTGGGACTCAATAGGGATTTAATGGGATTTTATCGTGATTAATGGGGAATTAAGCAACAAAAATGGGGATATTATTGACTGAAACTGTATCTCTAAAGAAAATAAGCAAGACAATTTGTTGTCTGATGCAATCTAATCATATTACAATGGGATATCCAATGGGATAGTACTATATTTCACCGGGGGTACAGCGGGGACGTCTTTAAAGAAGAGAGAACAACAAACATGACAAGTGATATACATGTATACATACACACATACATATACATATTAATATGTATACACGTGCCTTCTGTAGCAAACAATTCAAACGATTGGCTGATGATAGTTTCCCAAAACTGAAATTGGGCCCTTGCAGCACTAAATGCTACCTATGCCTATGCATGATGAATTTAGAGCTGCGGAAAGAGAAGAAAACCTTCAAGCAAGCTAAGTTGTACTGATTCTTTTTGTGTAGTTTGTTCTTTGCATGTTTGCCTAGCTGCTAGCCATGGTTTGCCACGTGAACGGGGTTGTCGTTGCAAGTACAAAATCGCAACAAAATCATCCATTCAGCATGGAGAGATCATGAAGAGTTTGTTGCGATGAATTGTTGTCATCAGTGTTACCCTCTGGTAAAAACGAACAGTTTGCTACGGAAAATGGCCCAGTTGAAATAGTTGATTTACCTATTAATAGCATGGTGATTTTCCAGTTCGCGAACTGTTAGTCATTACCAGAGGCTATTGTTGTGCTTGTTGTTACATCCCAAAATATTGCTCCTACCCCATCGCTGCCAAAGTATGGGCTAAACCCTGACCAGGAGTCTGCCAGAAATATTTTGGCCCCGGACAACAATCGTCGCTGAATTTGAATAAGCCCTTCTTCCTATCCATCAAACATGGTTTAGTACGCGATCTGATGCGATGAGGGCACACCTTTGGGACCATAGAATGGAGATGTTTAACACTAGGAGGATGGAATGAACAGTTTGATACGCTACCATTAGTAAGTACCCTCCTGTAAACTAACAAGATTTGATGTGGACAATCCACCATGAATATAGAAACCATTGGTGTTCCACATCTATGTTAGTTTTTGCTTTTTGTCTAGGGTATTTGACTTGCTTTTTGGAAAGATACTAATTAACTATTAACTACAACGGTATTGTTCCAACTATTAACTGCTAGATACAGTATACTATTTCATAGAATATATATATATACATAACATAGTTGAAACACATATGTTCTCTACATACTATACGTATTTCTATACACAATATTCGTACTATAAATGAATATGTCAATCGGTTTCCCCTTCTCAGCATGCTCAGCACCTCGTCGAGCTTGGCTACGACTTCAGGGTCCACGGTCTGCGCCGATGCTTGCGAATGGTGGCTATGTAATGTGAAGAAAAAACAACAAAAAAGAATCTTAAAAGAAGTGGATCTGTCTGAAAATTTAGAGGAGAAAAGTTGACAAAAGTGACAAAAACTAAAACCATATTGAATGTTTTTAGCTAAAACCACTGGTAGTTTTTAACATGTTTCCACTTTTTGGCCATTTGATGGAGACCAAACAAGCATTTTCAGGTCCACAGCCAGTTCTCGATCCTGCGAAAAAAAAAAAAGTACATCTGATCCACTCCATGGTTTGTTTGCCTCGAGTTCATAGTTCTTCCAAGTGGTGGAACTCTATGGCTTAGCCATTGGGGACTCCCCTGCCCCACGAAAATAGACCATCAAGATATACAATAGATGCTAATATCAACCGGTGATGATTCTTGAAGATTCCAATAAACTGTCCCATGTTTGTTGGTGATAGCCAACACTTTCACTTCTTTTTTTTTCTCAGGAAAAGTACCGTATGTTCTTCCCGCCTAAAAACCACCAGGAAACCCGGTATTTTTTGGACGTATTGGATCTCTCCACTGAATTGTCCATGAAATGTTGGTTGCATGACCGTTGCTAGAAAAGTACCTATTGATTCAATAGCTGTGGGTATTTAACATAGCTATTGAAAATGGCCATTTTTAGTGGATTTACCTACTCAAAATGGTGATTTTCCATAGTTATGTTAGTTTACCAAAGGGCTATGGTTATTTTTATAGGGCATGTAGCTGGTTGCTCATCATTTTTAGCGATTCAGGCCACATAAAACTGGGAGGTCACTAGAGTACCAGGGTCATGCAAATCTACCGGTTGGCCCAGAAAGGTCTCCCCACCAATATGGGTTTTATAAGCCTCTAACAAAGGGTTCATAGGGATTGACAACCCCTTACTGCTTGATATGGATTTGCATGAAAATCGGATCCCCCTGTTATGAATTCGCCCATTGAATGGCCATTTTGTGAGTATAGTACAGTAACCATCATCTACAAGGTGAGACACCCCAGTTATAAGTTGACTTACAGACCCATTAACTAGTTCGTTATATCATGTCATATCCATGTTGTATCCCCCATGAAACCTAGTTAACTATGTTATACCCTCCGGTAAACTAACATAGCTATGGAAAATGGTGATTTATAGTGGATTTTCCCATTAAAAATGATGATTTTCCATAGTTTTTTGTATGTTTACCAGAGGGTAACTGTGTTATCTGCGTCAACTTAGCACAACATAAATGCCTTGTCGCGTCCACGGTGGATGAAAATGCCACGTCCATTGGCCTGTTCAACCGCGGGTTTTTCGTGGGAGGATGAGCAACACCAACTGGGTATGACACATGTCTAGATATAATGTGAAATATATTGAAATATATTATATACTGTACATTATCAAGTACAACATGTTAACAACAATGTGTATAGTTAATAATAATAATAATGGTAATAATAATAATAGTAACAATAACAATAACAATAACAATAATAACAATAACAACAATAATAATAACAACAATAATAATAATATGAATATATATTTTGATATTGATATAAGAGGGATGTATATTCCAGGGGGGTTTTCCTGATATGGCAATGGCTTAAGTCATTGACCGGAGTTTCCACCATCCATCTTGGGATAACTCTTGAGCGTGATATTCCAATACATCAGTTTGTCAGGGTGTTTTACCTCAGTTTTTCAGGTTTCAACCTGAGTTTTTGCGAAGTAAAGCCTGAGATGTTCCTGGCAAAAAACACATCCCTTTTTCCTGATTAAACCTCAGTTGTTTCCTGGTGAAAGTGGTGAAAAACCCATGGTTTTCTCTGAAAAAAAAAAACTGTTTCCAGGGTCCACCGGGCGCTCCGCAACGCCGCGCCACGTTTCTCCGGAACGGGCGCCGCGGCGCCGCGCCTTGATCGAAGGATCCGGGGTCTTCATGCCGAAGCGACCCAACTCGCAGAGCCAGTCGGTCAGCTCGTAGGGGCCTAGGGCGAGATTTATCTTGGTGTCTGAGGTCCATTGAAAAAGCCATACATAAAACAGTTAAATCATGTTAAATCCCAATTCCTGTTGGTTAAATCTCCAAATTGTTCAGATTGTGTGACCATTTTGCTATCTCAAACTGTACCCTTTGGTAAACTAACACAGCTATGGAAAATCACCATTTTTAAGGGGTAAATCAACTATAAATCAACTATGGAAGCTGGGATTGATATGGGGGGTTCCTAAAACACGGCTACCCCTATGAATAGATGGTTTATAATGGAAATCCATCTATAAATGTTGATATTTGAGAGAAACTGGGATACCTCAATTTTTTACGGATTTTTGAGGTTTGTTGATATATCTGGGTAAATTACAAGAGTTCACTAATCTGAAATGTTGGGTTTTGTCTTGGGATAGTTCGGATAGTTGTCTCCCAAAAAAACTGAAATTCCAGTGAGGTCGGGACAGTGAGGTCGTTATCACCCAGATGAACTGGTTGGCGGTTGAGCCCCTCTGAAAAATATGAGTTCGTCAATGGGAAGGATGACATCCCATATATGAAATGGAAAATAAAAATTCATGTTTGAAACCACCAACCAGATGAAATCATTTTAGGGATTGTGTGGTACATTTATTTTTGGAAACATATTTCATAGAAATGAAGCTCATAATTTTTGCGGGATTTTCGGATATCCTGATATTGATTTTGGAAAGTGATTTCATAGTGTCATGGAAAAGGATTTGGAAATTTGAGATGTCAGGAATTTTCTTCATGGAAAGATTTATGAAACATTTACCCGGCCTGGTAAACATACAAAAAGCTATTGAAAATTGCCATAGAAATAGTTGATATACCCATTAAAACCTGTGTTTTTCCATAGTTATGTTAGTTTACCAGAGGTTATTACGTAATGACCTAATGGGTACTCAGATGTTTAATTGATCGGACATGGAGGGTGCAAGCGGTCCGGTGGTCCAAGTGGAAACAATATACTTTATCATAGCCTCCAAAAGGAAAGATAGAAAGTTATGAAATCTTACTAAAATAGCTATAAAAAAAATTATAAATTAGATTTCTATTGTATTGAACTGGCTGAGTTAGCCAAAAAAACTTGCGGATTTAACTGATTGTTCAATGGGATTTGATAGTGACTAATGGATTCATATCTATCTATCTATATGGCCGAACGAAAAGAATTCATTGACCTGAAGATAGCTAAAACTTGCGGCCAGCTATGGGGATGATACCAAATCTAACCACTCTTCATCCAGAATTTTCTCCATTAAATCTCCATTAAACCACCGGCCTGCCGGCGTGTCTTGTGGATCTTGCATGTTCGTAGTTGTACTGTCTGTTTTGTCATTTGTCTTTGTCTAGACTTTCCCCTTGGCGCGGATTTTGCCTCGTCTAACTTGAACCCACCCCCCCTCCCCCTAGCTCTTCTTCGTTTCGTCTTCATCTTTCCTTACGTTGTGGTGGGCTCAACTCTGCCCACGCCTTGCTCAACACCGGCTTGGTTTTGCACATCTTGCGTCATTTCGATGGTTGTGTCTGTTTTTTGTTGTGTTTGCCATCGGTTTGCTCCGTCGCTTCTTTTATCCAATACTTGATCCACTGGCTTTTGTGCCGAACACCTTTTACACGCATAACCTTTCTAAATATGGCCTTTTCCAAAGCCTTTCTCAATATGGCCTTTTCCAAAACCCTGGTTTACACACATGCTTTTTGGTTTAAACTTAAACCGTGGTTTGAACAAAACCAATGCTTTTGCGTCCAAACCCTCTTTTACACAAAGAGCTGTTTTACACAAAAACTGTCCACAAACACCACGTCTTACACAAAAGCCATGTTCTTGCTGGGTGCAAGGGCTGTTTGCAGCTTACAGGATAGCTCTTTCCAATCTTGACAGGCGGAACACGCCGAAGGCGCTTTAAAATGTCCCATTAGTATCCCACTAATGTCCCATCAATATCCCATTAAGATCCATCCAGATCCCAAAGCTATTGTTACTATGTGGGCGAATATCACTGGTCCCGAGCCCAAAGCTTTTTCAGATCATGGCTTCATCAGCAACGGCCATACTTTGCCCAATCAAAGTCCAAACAATGACCATATTACCCTCTGGTGAACTAACATAGCAATTGAAAATGGCCATAGAAATAGTGGATTTTCCCATGAAAAATGGGTGGATCTTTCCATAGCAAACTGTTAGTTTACCAGGCCGGGTCTACCCCGAAATCTTGCGATTCGGATGCTCCATCTGGCGAAATCTCAGCCAAAGCCCCCGGATGGGGCCCCATAGTTCGTTCGCCTTCAGTGGCGTAATAGAACTATAATAACACGAGTGTATGATACGCAAATCATTAGATTATATGATTATATGATATTTAGATGGTTCTTTTTACATGAACTTATACTTACTGGTGCTAAACGTAGGGAATGGATGGGTTGCTGGGGGTTGCTGGGATGATGACATTACTAGTGATGACATGGATCATTCCCGAAAATTCCCTGCGTAAAACGCACCAGTAAGTATAGCTGGGGGGGCACCATCCTGCATGTTTGTTGTGTCTAAAAAACCTCTTGGGCTTCGCCGAAAAATTCCCTTCTCGAGTTCTCCGAGGTCCCGTCCGAAGTAGGTCTTGGTCTGCTTATTCATGTCACCAGCCGCCTGGCAAAAACGTCAAAGATACCAATAAAAACATGGAACAACAGCCAGTTTGGAGATATATGGCTAGCCATATGCAAATCACTTGATCAGCCTTATGCTCATTCCGGCATTATTAATATCCAAGATTAACAGTTTGTATCACGTGACTATACATAATATATATATATATGTGTATCGCCAGTTCATGGACTGCAACTTAGGGAAGTAATCACAGTCAGTGCTTTTTTTTGATACTCCTTTGGTTGCTTGGAATTCTGCAACTGTGACCCTCTTCAGGATAACCTCTCACATGAGAAATCTCGGCCTAGCGCCATGTGAATGCATTTCTGGTTGGTGGTTTCAACTCCTTGGTCAATGGGAAGGATTATCCCATATATTATGGAAAAAAATGAAACCACCAACCAGATTTTACTATGTTTTAATAGAATGTAAGTTACCCCACCGACCATCTGATACCATTTCAAAGTGATAAAATATCCAGGTTTCAATGGAAAAATCCGGCAACTGCCGGATTTTTTCCACCCAAAAAGGACCCCGGCCTTGCGCTGCTTCCAGAAGAGCTCCTGTCCGACCAAGTCACCCAGTGCCATGGGTCCCATGGCCATGCCTCGGAGGGACTTTTTTGAGGTCGGGAAAATAACAAGATCTTCCAACTTGATCCACACCTTTCGAAATGAACATATATATATATATATATACACATACACACATACATATATACACATATAAATACATACATTATGTGTATATATATATATATAATGAGAATTGAATTTCAAAATCATTGGGAAATTAAAAGGAAATCATGGGGCAACAACCAAGAAAGTGCAGAATAGCATAGATCGGGGATGCATTCGTGACCCGATTTTCGGGAGGTAGAGCCACCAAGGAAACTGAACACACAGCCATCATCAACTCGTCAACTGGCCATGTGGATCTCTTCATGCTGGTTGCGGCGGTGGAGAAAAGATGTGGAAGGGATTCCTGTTGCGTTGGCCCGTTTGTTCAGTATGAATGATTCGTTTTCAGGGGGTTACCAACTTTGACCAACCTAAAGCTTCGGTTTAGTATGGATCAAGAAGTCACTGTAAAACCTATGGAAATAATCCCAATTAGATATGTGATCGTAGGCAAAATTTAAATGAATGTCTACTGTTCGTATCTCAAATATCTGGCACCAAATTCTACATCTTCTACATGGCTATGGGTCAAAACCATGCTTGTGAACATCAAAATAGACGGTACACGGATGTTCATCCAGATATGATGGTTTAGATTTTGCTCCGTCCCCATCTCGTATATTCCACCTGGAATTATCTGGACCAAATCAAACACTGATGTATCACATTCTATTCACATTCAATCCCTGTTAAGCCCCATAATCCCCATAGAATCTCGCCAAACATCCAACGTTTATTGCTTGTGAAATTCCCACTATATCTCCTTTAAATCCCATGAAATCACCATAAAAATCCCATGAAATCCCCATTCAAATCCCATGAAATCACCATAAAAATCCCATGAAATCCCCATTCAAACGCACCAACATTTCTGGTTCTCCCTTGAGTTTCTGGGCCAAAGGTGGTGGCTGCTTTGTCGATCTGCTCCACCGTAGCACCCTCCTCCAAGACCATCCTGGCGTTCAGTTGAGAAAAGAAAGTGGCTGATTTCTATGATTTATGGTAGATTATGGTAGATATAACATCCCCTCAACTACTAGCTAGGGACTATAGGTAATTTCAGATTAGACCTTTTTACCCGGGTCTAATTGAAAGTTCCCTATGCAAATCGACCTATTTTGCACCAACCATCTCAGACCTACCATAGGGATCCAGCAGAGATCATCAACATGCTGATGTTGTATGTTTCCGGAAACGGGAAACTTCACATTAGACCCTTGGGTGCTGGTTGTCAGCAACAACAGCCCCGGCAACAGCAACGGCAACAAGTTTCTCTTCTTCCTTCACGTGCTTAGCACATCTTAGCGCTGTGAACTTCTATGTTTTTTTTCGTCAAATAGCTTCAGGTGAGCTACTTTCCCTTGCGTGAACTTACTCCACTTACTCCTGCCAACAAGTCAGAATGATTTTGAATTTTGGGGAATGTTTAGGTATAATTTCAAATGTTCAGGACTTAAGGCTCCTTTTTGGACAAGGCTCTATGAGTAGCCCTGCTTCTGAGTAGCCGAGGGGTCTCACATGAATATCCAGAGTCTATTGTGGTTTGCTGTGTGTTTTTCCCCTGGGAAATTCAAATCCAAAGATAGGCAATTTCACCTTAGACCCCCAGGGTTGGCCAGGAAGACCATGACAAGCTCAGCGGAACAGAAGTTTGTTTTGGTGATGAAGTTTTTGGGTCGTTGCCATTGAAACAATAATGTTAGATGTATATACATGTTCTATTGCTTAACGTTGTGGTTTGGTTCAACAGTTGCTAATCATGTCCTTTGTATCCAGGGTCTATTGTGGTTTGCTGTGTGTTTTTCCCCTGGGAAATTCAAATCCAAAGATAGGCAATTTCACCTTAGACCCCCAGGGTTGGCCAGGAAGACCATGACAAGCTCAGCGGAACAGAAGTTTGTTTTGGTGATGAAGTTTTTGGGTCGTTGCCATTGAAACAATAATGTTAGATGTATATACATGTTCTATTGCTTAACGTTGTGGTTTGGTTCAACAGTTGCTAATCATGTCCTTTGTATCCAGGGTCTATTGTGGTTTGCTGTGTGTTTTTCCCCTGGGAAATTCAAATCCAAAGATAGGCAATTTCACCTTAGACCCCCAGGGTTGGCCAGGAAGACCATGACAAGCTCAGCGGAACAGAAGTTTGTTTTGGTGATGAAGTTTTTGGGTCGTTGCCATTGAAACAATAATGTTAGATGTATATACATGTTCTATTGCTTAACTCAACAGTTGCTAATCATGTCCTTTGTATCCAGGGTCTATTGTGGTTTGCTGTGTGTTTTTCCCCTGGGAAATTCAAATCCAAAGATAGGCAATTTCACCTTAGACCCCCAGGGTTGGCCAGGAGGACCATGACAAGCTCAGCCATTGAAACAATCATGAAGCACATGTACAATGTACAATTTCTAAAGATTTTTTTTACAATCAGTCCGATTATCATAATTTGACTTACGTAAAGGTTTTTTCACAGATGATATATGCTAGTGTCATTTGGCCTTTTTGTTGGAACGCAGACATGTCATGTCAGATTTCAGTTTGCAGGAGTAAGTGGTGGTTGAGGGGTGGTGGTTCACTTTCCGGGTGGTGAGCTACTTTCCCAGGAGTATCCAAGTTAGATCCCTTCAGGGGTGGTGGTTCATCTCATCAAAGTTCGTCTCATCAAAGTTGATCAAAAACCAGCAAAGGGTCTAAGATGAAGTTCTCTACGAGTTAAGCAAAAGGTCTAAAGTGAAGTTCTCACTTTCCAGCATGTACATGTTGAGGGTCTGAGGTGGTAGCTGGCCAGGGTCTAATCTGATAGAAAAAGCAGTTTAGACCCTAAAAAAATTGAGCCCTAAGCACAAGGCTTCAGACCCTTTCGTAGTTGGGAGGATGATATAACTATAGTTCATGGGGTTTACAAACCAACATTGGCCGAAAAATATCGAAAAATACAAAAATGATGACTTAACATGACTTAACTGGTTGATGGTAGATATTAAACGCACTAGTTTTCATGGGGGTTATAAACCAACAAACATCCTTGGGGGGACACCATCCGGCACCATCCTGTAGTCACTACGGGATGATTCCTGGGATGCTTTCAGGCGTTGGCTTCGCCAATCAGCCAGAGGGCCCCTGCAACACATTAATTTTTTTTGAGCTGGTGAACGGTTCGATCTTCCCATACCAAAAGACTAGGATTCGGATTAGTTTCTACAAAAATCCAGTCGATTGACCTAGTTACTAGGAGGTGGTTGTTCACATCCATTAACTATCCGTAGTTATATCTACCATAAACCAAACTTAAGCCACAAAAATAAGGCAACTTAGCACGCTATCTGAAGGGGGGCCCAATCCTGGGAGGCTTTTCATGGCGATTTTGATGATGATTTTTTGGATTCCGGATTGAACCACCAACAGTTTCATAATGGTTGTAGCTGAGTAGCCTCAGGTAAACTCACAGTTAGCTATAGAAAATGGATGAAAATGGACCATTGAAATCATGAAGAAATAGGTGATTGACCTATTCAAATAGTGATTTTCCATAGCTTTTTGTATGTTTACCAGAGGGTAGCTGAATTGAACATGGGAGTATCCTCCGGCAATCAAGCATGGCGGAGGAAATCCACCATTAAGTTCGAGGATGCTCCCCTAAAAACCTCCGTAAGTACAGATGGAAAGAATAGAAAACACCTTCCCAATTCAAAGGTTGCATAGCGAAAGATGCATGGATATTGCAGAAATCTAGCCCGTCAAGCAGTTTGCATAGACACTCGCAATGTTCCTTGGTCAAGATATTCATTGCAGTATTGATCATTATGTTATTATATGTGTATGGGTCAAAATTAAAGACCTAGGGGACCACAGATTTAAGATGATGAAAAATGTCAGTCTATTTTTAGGATTATTTTAACCATTTTAACCATCCAATTTTTGAGGTACCCACTGTTGATGATCTTGGGAGACTAGGAAGAAAACCGCAACGTTTGGCAGCTGCACATAATATATGTGTATGTATGTGTATATATATATATACATATCTACACACACATTTATAATATGTATATATATATAAACAAATATGTATTGTGTTTATATTCATAGAGGTATATCCGAAAAGTGTGGGGATACCCCTGAATGACCATAGCGAAATGGATGACAAGACACTTGGCTTCGCCGGCGTAAGGCGCAATCTCGGTCGGGCAACGTTGCAAAAAAGGACGTGGATTGTTTTTGGAAGTGAATTCTCGACTGAATTTATGACTGTGACAAGCTCAATTCACAATTTCTGGAGACTATAAGAATTAGAATCTAGCAAATTGACATAGATCATTAATTACATCATTAACTATATTCATTAACTAGAACATAGACATACATATATTATATAGGCAGTGGCAAATAAGGCTTGGAAGATGCGTTTAAGGCTTGGATGTCTCGTACATCTGATGTGAGATCCTGGCAACTTAAAAAAAAAAGACAGCTGACAGTTGAACTATGATTTATGGTAGATGATGGTAGATATAACTATAATTCATGGGGTTTACAAACCAACATTGGCCGAAAAAATATCGGAAAATTGAAAAAATATGGACTTAACTATGGTTTATGTCATGGTAGATATTAAACGAAGTAATTAATGGGGATTATAAACCAACAAACATCATTGGGGGTGCACCATCCTGTAGCAATTACTTTGCCAATAAGATCCGACCAGTTTGACTGTTCTGTATCATGAACCATATAATATATATGGGGGTTCGTATCAACCCAATCTACTGTCATACATGCATACATCTCTACAAATATCTCTCTAATTCCATGTATATGCATATATATACAGTGGGTCAAAATTGGGTAGCAGTGCAAGTGGACCTGCATTGTTTCTCCATGTTTGCTGTGAAACCATCCGTTTCGGGGTCCGATCCTTTTGACCCGTACCTGTATGTATGTACATAACGTAATGAAATGTAATGTAATATAGTGTTCTGTCATGTACTGTAACATAATGTTATGCTGTGTTATGCATTGTCATGTTCTGTCTTGTAACACTGTGTGTGTATGTTATGTATGTTATGTTATGTTATGTTATGCTATGTGATGTTATGTTATGTTATGTTATGTATGTATGTATGTATGTATGTATGTATGTATGTATGCATGCATGCATGGATGGATGGATGGATGTAGGTACGTACGTACGTACGTAAGTACGTACGTATGTATGCATGCATGCATGCATGTATGTATGTACTTACTGTCTGTCTGTCTGTATGTATGTATGCCTGTATGTCTGTATGTCTGTATGTCTGTGTGTCTGTGTGTCTGTGTGTCTGTGTGTCTGCGTGTCTGTGTGTATGTATGTATGTATGTATGCATGCATGCATGCATGCATGCATGCATGCATGCATGCATGCATGGATGGATGGATGGATGGATGGATGAATGGATGGATGTAATGTATGTATCTGTAGTGGTTGGTTGTTTCTACTACCTTATTTTTAAAAGTCAATTGGGATCATCACCTAATGTTTTTAGTGATGTGCATAATGGTGAGTATACATATATACTGTATACATATATACTGTGTATATATATATATATATTATATATCTGTAACTTATACGTATATACATATGTACATAGAAAATTGAATCCAGGTTTCACCCCCAGAAATATGTACAGTATATATATAATGCACATGTCATGCATCTTCGAGCCATACCCGGCTTCGGCTCGGGGATCCCTGCCATGCGGTTGCCAACAAAGCCATCGCAGTTGCCAACCTCGCCATGAGAAGGGGCAAAGATGCCTGGAATTGGGATGCCTGAATTCATGAGGTTTATATACAAACATAAATATGACAAAATGATCTATACCCTCTGGTGAACTAACATAGCAATGGAAAATCACCATGTTTAATGGGAAATTCCACTATAAATGGCCATTTTCAATTGCTATGTTAGTTCACCAGAGGGTAACTTATAATCAACAAGAATCGGGACTCAATTGGCAAAAAGCAGGATTGAAGTGGTTCTTAAACTGGCTCAAATATGGCTGATTGGTGATTGAGCCACCTATCACCACATGAGAGTCGGGATCAGTATCCGACTTCCGTGGAAAAATGTGGAGGGTAATCCATATCTACCCTCTGGTTATTTAACATAGCCATGGGAAATGGTTTACTTATAGATGGTTTACCGAACTTGAAAATGGTGATTTTCTAGTTCGCTATGTTAGTCATAACCAGATGGTAAATATGTGAAACCACCAGGTTTGATCAGTCACATCCACTGTGTTCAGTCTAAATTTCTCAGTTTCCATTGATGATTGGCAATCTGACGGTGCTTCCGCAGTGGATGCCCGGGATGCCCAGGATGCCCAGGTTTCACCTCCACCGTCCCATTGCTTGGTGGTTGGTTTTTCGCCTAGCCCTCTGAAAAATGATGGAGTGAGTTCGTCAGTTGGGATGATGAATCAACTTCCCAATTCATGATTGGAAAGTCATAAAAGTCCATGGTTCCAAACCACTTGAACCAGTGTTTCTTGGTTTATAAACCATGATATATAATCCCCATGAACTAGTTCGTTATATCTACCATAAACCATAGAATTCATCCATGGTTGGTATTCCCTCTTTGGCTGGTTCTGTCTTTAAGTTTCTTTGTGCAAAGCCCAGTTGGACTCTGTTGGATTGAACATCTAAAAAAACCCTCTGACAGATGTTGGTTCGTTGGACATAGGGAAAACCATGGGAAAATGGTGGTTTAATGGGATTTAATGGGATTTTATGGTGGTTTAATGGGATTTAATAGGATTTTATGGTGGTTTAATGGGATTTAATAGGATATACCCTCTGGTTATGACTAACATAGCCATGATTAAGCCATGGCCCTAATCGAAATACATGGTTTACCGAACTTGAAAATGGTGGATCTTTCCATGGCGAACTGTTAAATAACCTCATGACTCATGATATATCTGCTTCATAAAATCCATCTTTAGTTCCCATCCAATTCCATAACCGTTGGTTGTTTGAAAACCGACAATGTCATGTCCAAGTTGACCCAGGTTGCCGAGCCATGATGCACTTCTTGTTGATCAACTTGCCCATGGCCATGCCTTCGCAGGCTGTGGATCCGAAAACTTCATAGGGGTGAAAATTGGAAGTGGCACCTAGGATCAACACATCCATTCCTATGGGATTCATGGGAAAACTGCAATAGTGGGAATCTATGGTGATATTACTAGAAATTTATGGTGATGAATGGGGATTTCACCAACGAATATGGTGGATTGTCGAAGTCTCGGCGAGTTTTACTGGAGAGTACTAGCCATGCGAATATGTGCCATGGTCAAGTTACACGGTGACTGATTCATCTGGTTGGTGGTTTTAACCATCTTGAAAAATATGATAGGATCATTTTTATGGGTGGTATGTTTACCATTCCCAAAATAGGTAGTTTATCATGGTTTCAACATGTTTCAACCACATTAACTGGTTGGTGGTATACCTACCCCTCTGAAAAATATTAGTCAATGGGAAGGATTATCCCATATATTATGGAAAATAATCCATTCATGTTCGAAACCATGGTCATCTGTCCCATCATAGGAATCCGTATCATTGGTCGAGAAATCCCACTAGACCACCCTATGAATGCTTTGATGACCATCCCCCAAGATTGGTACACTATTGGTACACGATTCAACTTAACCACAACCATCAATATGATTTTAGATGATTTTAGTGTTTCTTAAAATGGGGGAACCCCAAGTTACAATGACAAGACCATCAACTTTTGATTGGATTTTTTGTGAACGATTGACTGATTGACTACGACTCAAAGAGAACTAACCTCTCGTAATAGCCTCTGGTAAACTAACATAACTATGGAAAATCACCACGTTTAATGCGTAAATCAACTATTTCTATGGCTATTTTGAAAAGCAAACTGTTTACTGTTTGTTTATTGGAGGGTAAAACGAATGCAAAAATCCACCGCATCTTTATTCTGCAGATCATCTACAAGCGGGCCATGTTTGAAATTGTTGACGAAATCCTCATTAGATAAAAATCTCCATGGAAATCTCATGGAAACCCAGTTCAATCTCCATTTTTCATGGGAACAAATCCAGTTAAGTCCCAGTTCAGTCCCAGTTAAGTCCCAGTTAAGTCCAGCTTTTACTATGGTTTACTAGAATTTGAGTTACCCAACTGACCTTTCTTGATAGCCACCAGTTTAGTCGTCCCAGTTAAGTCCCATGCCTTTTTTGGGGATATCCCATGGAAACCTCCCGTTGATCCCAGTTCGACCTGTCGCCAAAGTCCTGCCAAGCAAATCTTTTAGGCACGGCATCGCCAGCCCCACAAAATTCCCGGGGATATCCTATTTTATGGTAAGTATATGGTAAGTACCTCCAATTTTGGTTCCTGAAATGGCCACTGATATCAGAAGCCAATTATATACAGGGTGGGCCGGTGCGCCCCCCAAATGAGAGCGAAAATGGCAAACATGCTTCTCCAATTCACTGGGCTTTGTGGCTGTACAAAACGATGAAATAGCTATAGTTAATGGGGTTATAAACTATTATAAACCGACAAGCATCACTGGTTGGGTTCACCTTGATTGTATGGCATTATATAAATATATATATAATTATATATAATTATGTAACTGTATATGAAATACTGGAAATTGTGTGAATCATTTTGTGTTGCATCATATTCGGACAGCATTTTTTAGCAGAAAATCTTGGCAAGTTGATACTGACAGATGCTTTGGGTGCCTGAGACGCGTGAATTGTCGCCCCATGGCTTTGGCTGGTCATTTTTCAACGGTAAAACGTCACAATTTTAAGGGGTATCGCCTCCATGGACAGATCCATGTTCTAATGTTGTTATGTATGTATAATATATAATGTATTATATATACAATGTCATATTCTGAGAGTGTATATTCCCATCTCATATTCCCATCTCATACTCCCATTTCATACTGGCATATGGTGGTTTCTTGAAATGGGATATCCCCAGTCGTCACCATGGGTTTCGACACTAAGTCATGATGTCATGGTCATCCATGACGACTGAATGACAACTGGGGGTCTCATGACAAAACGGAAACCTCCATATGTGCCATCGTCAAAACATGGTATACGGGCTATGGTCATCCATCCTATTTTTGGAATCAATACAATGGGTATATTAAACCCTATTGATGGGTGTATGACCATCCCCTTCTATGAGAAAACAAACCATGTTTTTGACCACGGCACATATGAATCCAAGCCAGTGAAATCCTCACGACTTGTCATGGCCAATCAGCCAGATAGCCCGCAAAAAATGGAACAAATTCGCTGGTGAACGGTTCGATAATCCCATACCAGAAGACTAGTTAGGATTAGTTTCTACCCATCCAGTCGATTGACCTAGAGAATAGCCAACTATAGCTGACTGTCAGCTGACTATAGCCCTTTTTTCACAATGTTTCTTGAATTGAAGTAACCTCTGGTAAACAGCCACATAACGAACTGGAAAATCACAATTTTCAAGTTCGGTAAACCATCTATAAATGGACCATCTATACCATGGCTATGTTAGTCATAACCAGAGGGTATACCATCATATATCCAATTAAATCCCATTAAATCACCATTAAATCATCATTAAAATCCCATTAAATCACCATTTTTAATAGGAAAATCCACTATTTCTATGGCCATGGCTCAGTAGCCATCGAGTCCATTGACGTATCGGCCTCGTGCTGGACTTGCTGGTGCGGATGTTCTCCAACAACTGCATCACCTCGGGGAAAAAGGGCCCCGCATTACAAAAAGCGTTACAAAAAGCGTTACTTAAAAAGCTGGGATTTCATGTATGGAATATTTACCTACTATATATTTATGGGTTTCTAATATATGATATAGTTTTACATATATATATATATATGGTTGGTGGATTGAACCATCTTGAAAAATATGAAAGTCAATGGGAAGGATTATCCCATATATAAAATGGAAAATAAAAATCATGTTTGAAACCACCAACCAGTTATGGATGTGAAATGTGACATCCCAGAAAAAATATGGCAAAATGATGTGTAATGGTATGATATCATGATTAAAAAAATGATGTATGATGATAGTATAATCATGTATGATGTCTGATAGTATAATGATGTATAATGATATTAAAATGATATTATGATTATAATAGGTCTTGATCCATCCCTACTATTCAAAGTGGACAAAGTGGTGCCGAGTATCTCTTTTCATATGCTCAAACCTTTGCTCAACCTGCCACTTCCAACTCATCTGTAGACACTTTTATATTGGAACCTGTGGATGCGGTAGAGACACACATATTTTGTATATGTATAAATATATAGACATGTGTATATATATATATGTGAGCAGCAAATCATACATAATACAATGTTGAAACTGTGGATTGGAATTGCACGGCACAATTCCAAAGTGCGTGGTATCTTTTCGAAGAGCTCATGCAATATCTACTGCACATACACAGATGAAGACAGTCTATACCCATATACATTTTCGCACATGAATTGAAATTACAAGACTCTTCTGATCATATCATCATGACAGACTTCTCTCAAAACACCAACTATGTAGATTTAACCTCTCCATCCTATCTGAGCAATTGTTATCACAAACCAAAGATCTTATATTATATGTTGGCATTGTTTCAGACTCCCAACTCCCAAAGAATACGCGTCATTGCGTTTGATAGTTGTATTGGCTTTGATCATTGACGTCGTTGCGAGTTCCTTGCCACCCATAGATTTTATATATCCAATTATAGATTTTATATATCCGATTACAGATTTTATATATCCAATTATAGATTTTATACATATATGTATATATATGTATATATATGTATATATATGTTATATATACATATATATATATACATATATATATACATATATATATATACCCATGCATCCGTTTTGCCCATCACTGGCATCCCTCACGTTGGCTGGCGAGAAGAAGTGGGTGCCCATGACTCGGGATGGATCCTGGGACGAGTCAAGGGGACAAATTTCACTGGATTGGTTTGTTGGGGAAAAATCTTAACCGGAAACCATGGTTTTTACCATGAAATATAGGGCTTTCCGGTTCCATTTTTCCCATCATCCAATTCTATGAAAAATGGCAACATGCCAATGGAATATACGTTTGGTGAGGCTCCCTTATTTGGTCAACGTTTTGGTTGGAGATATAACGAACTAGTTATATGGGGATGGAAAAAAAAAAACACAAAACCTTGTACCCCTTCTGTGAACATCAAAATAGCTGGGATTTATGGATGTTCATTCCCCTAAAAATGGAATTTATAGGTATTGATCCATAGCCATATATGTAGTGGGGGTTGAAACCTCACCTTGTAGAGGGATTTACACCAACTGAAATGGCAAAATTGGTGGTTTTATCCCTCCATGACGTCCATTCAGTCCGATGATTGTCTGAGAGGGAAATGCAAGGGAAATGATTCGTAGGTAGGTGAAGAATGCTCATGAATCAATGATTGTTCAGAAAATGAGCCTTGCAACCACTGATGAACAAATTGAACACAGGTCCCCTAGAGAAATCCATCGAAGATGGGAAGCCTTCCTTCGTCACGACCATCCCAACACCCCAGGCACCTTCAGCACAGCAGCAATGTCATCCTCACCAAGAAACATGGGGAGAAGATAGCGCCAGAACACCGTGTGGATGTGGATGTGTTATGAAGATTTCCGGCAAAACATGGAAAATTTCACCAGAAATGGGATGTTGTCCAGCATGGAGACTTCAGAAATTTTCCAGTGGGATGTAAGGGTCAAGATTTGAGGCAGATGGAACCACAGATTGACTAGTCATGCTCACTCCTTCGACTATCACATGGGTCATTAAATGTCCCCATTGAACATCACCCAACCATTAGGTATATGGTCTATAATGGCTATTATAAGGTGATGTCCAATATACCCAAAATGGGACAGTTACCAACCCCTGTATCAAACAACACAAAGTTTTGGAGTACCAAATTTTGACCCCATACCCAACCAGCTACGGCCGCAGTTTGCGAGTTGACCAACAATGTTGATACAGCGTTTGTACTTTTAGTACTACATAGTAGTCACCCAGTCACCCCAAAACGATGGACATTCTTGTGTTCTATCTTTTGGGGGGAGACTATTGTGCTGTGGATAGATGTGTATAGTCACAGCCACCCTTTTTTGATTCCCATAACTTGGCCAATCCTCTAGATGTGTTCAAATAATGCACATTTTATTATCACTTGTACATGCATCATACTGCCACCCCCAAAGTAATGTGTACCCTCTGGTAAACTAACATAGCTATGGAAAATCACCATTTTTTTACGGGAAAATCAACTATAAATGGCCATTTTCAATAGCTATGTTAAATTACCAGAGGGTAATGTATGTATATATACATATATATATGTATATATATATATATACATGGAAGAGCGCCCTCTTGACCGGCCATGGTCGAAAAGGTCACTCTCGAAGGAAAAATCCTGTCATGGGGGGTTTGTCTGAAAATAGGATGTATTCCACATCCATTGGTGTAACCTCACCAACCATAGTAATCAACTATCATATGTAAATATCTGTTTTTTCGTCCATTTGACTATATGGATTTGTCTGAAAACCCCAAAATCCCACGGTCTAGAATCTTTAATTATATGTTCTATGAACAAGTCAATTTTAAGTGCTTTTTCTGTATTTTGACACACTCAAATCATATACCAGTTGGCTATGTATATCCCGTTGGATGCCCATCATATTCCTCATCAAATAAAAATCGTATGATATAATGTATATGTATATATATATATAATGCCCATGTTCACTTTTCTTTCAACCCACCGTTCACAACAAAACACGGTAAATCACCGCAAGGCACAATGTTAAGACCGCTGGTGTTGGTGCAGATCAGGCAATCCTTGGTGCCGAAGCGGTGGAGCCCACACCCCAAACGGTTTTTTCAGGGTGTCTTTAGGGTTTCTGAATAGGGTTCAATAAAAGAGTTTCTGTATAGGGTTAAAAATTGGGTTTTCCCTAGGGTTTTTGTAGGTCTTCTCTAGGGTTTTAAAAATAAAAGTTTGATTTAGGGTTTCTTTAGTGACGATCATCCCGAAAGAAGTTGGAGCATAGCACCGGCCGTGATGGCCAAACAGATGGTGCGCGTGAGCTGAGCTGAAATCATCCCAAATTAGGTCGAATTTTATATATTTTATTTCAAGAAAAACAAAAACATATCTAAACAGAAACCACATTTGAAACACAAACCACCAAGCAGCTAATTTTTGAAAGGGGGTGGAACTATTACTGCCGTGTTTTTTTTTCATCCACCAACGGTGCCATATTACACAGGTTGTTCTCTATATCTTGATCTCTGGTTGAAGTTTGAGGGAAATGTTACTGGACACCATGATTTTTGTTGACCCCCGAATTATTCGGGGGAAAACACCTACAAAATGTAAGCTAGCCATGGTGCTTTACTTAACATCCTGTCACCCCACAGTCTGACAGTGCAGAACTTAGGCTCATAGCCACCTAAAAAGGACCAGCATTCAACGGAACGATGCATGCCCAAATTGCTCCTACGCTCATGAACAATTCAATCAGAACTGAACCTAAACGGTGACCTGCCCTATACTACGTTAGTAGATTAATTGTCAACTGGATTCCGGGCAATTTGGGTGGGATCAAATGTGGATGGAGTGAAACCAATGTTGGCTCATTCTCTTATATCCGCAGTGGAAACTGGTGCAAACTCCTGGTGGCTCAAACCTATTGCATATTTCTGCTATTTTCGATTGAAACCTGATGTCCGTTGGCCGAATCCCCTTTACTAATGCATAGCTGCTTTTTGCTTGGACGACACATATTTTTGTGCTTAGAAACACCTCAGTTTGATGGTTGAACCGAATTGAAACGCCAGGCAATCCTATTTGTGTCGTAGCGTCTGGCTTGGTGTTCGCCTCAATCGCCAAAAAGACCTACATCGCGGTTCAATTGCGGGGAAGGGGTGAAGTGGCATGCCATCTCGCATTTCTAACTTTGAGGAAATCCCATATATATATATATATGAGTGGAGAATGTACAAAATCCTGTACGTCAATGGGGCATTCAGCTGCACGTGAGCATATATAATTATAAACATATCATATATATATACATACATATATATATATATACATAATTATTATATATATATATATTCAGATGTATATAGATTTATATATATAGATTACGATCGATTTATATAGATTTATGTTAATCTATGTATAAACTATAACGATTCCAGTACCTGGAACCAGTTCGGCCATTTGAAAATAGCTGCGGGTCTTCCCAGCGACCTCCTTCTTCAAGTCCATGATCTCAGGAACGGCTTCCTTGGTACCGAGCAGTTGGCAGATTTCGCCGCCGTTTTTCAATGGCAAAAGACGGCACCTTTTTTGGGGCTTGAAATGGGGGTATCCGTATCAATGGATGGTTTATAATAGAAAATCCGAAAATAAAATGGATGATTTGGGGCTCCCATCACTTTGGAAACCTCCAAATTTGGTAAGTAGTTTGATTTTGGGCTGTGGCTACTGCTGATTTTGCACTGCTTAAAAACTAGGGGATCTCGTGCGATTGGCGATTCATGCGTCACGGGTCAGACGGCGATGCCTCTGTGATAATTTCAACCTAAGGTGGCGGTCAAACATTATCTGGTTTCACATCTATAAATGGACCATAGATTCCATAGAGTATCCATAGATTATCCATAATAAGTCCCATAATCTATGGATAATCTATGGATATGACTGGTTGGTGGTATACCTGCCCCTCTGAAAAATATGAAAGTCAGTTTGGATTCTGATTCCCAATATATGGAAAAATAAAAAATGTTCCAAACCGCCAACCAGTTATTGTATGCTATATAGAGTAGGTCATTTCATCTACAGATGCTTGTTTTTTGCCAGTGTCATGTTGGATTGAAAGGGTGTGTTCCTCTTAAATATTGTCATGGATTTGCTCAAGGAACCACCAAAAAAAAAAATCCCTATAGATTCCCCAAGTAGTGGATTTCACATTGAGAAAATAAACAATCATCTTCCGCAAACCCAAGTTGTGATTTGTCCAAAACCCCATGTTTTTTTTGGTGGAGTACCCAGACTCTGTGTCTAGGGTGTGAGAGGCTATCCCTAAACAGGTCGATGGTTACCACATGTGAATCTGCAATAAGTCCCACGTGTACATCCCCATAAAATCCCCACAAAATTCCATGAAATCCCCATAAAATCCCATGAAATCCCATTAAATCACCATATCTATCCCAGTAAAGCATGCCATGCTAACGTCCTTAAACTTGGACCAGCATCAATGACCATGTCCACATCCTTGAAGTCCGCATAGTCCCTGTGGCAGGCTGAAGCGTGTGGATAAGTCACCATAAAGTTTCGGGAAATCATTGATATTCCATGGATTTTCTGGTGGAATTCAATGCTTGATGGAAGCGTTTCTCTGTTTTAATCTGTGGCTGATGTGTGAATTGAAAATCAGTGGATGGGCTTGTTGGGAACGAATTCTCAGAAGAATGCTTAAAGGTATTTGTATTATGGGGGTTCATGGGAATTCATGGTGTTTCATGGGATTTTATGCTCAGAATGCTTGAGATGCCATAGGGTGGACGATTTCTATTACATCACAAGTCCTGATAGGACGGGCCAAACAACTTTGAGGAACAACATGGAACGACTAGTATAGTTAATCCGTCCCAATAATACTCAACATATGTGCAAATCCACGTACCCTCTGGTAAACGTTTACATAACTATGGAAAATCACCATGGTTTTAATGGGTAAATCCACTATTAATAAATGGCCATGTTCAATAGCTATGAACTGACATAACCAGGCCGGGTGATTCCTCTATCAAACCATGCTTTCTGGTTGATCTTTGGGGGATGGGATGATTAAAATTGGCCACCCACATGCGCATTAACAGCCAGCAGAAGCTCGTGATGCTTGGAAGGGGTTCAATCATCCCCAAATCTGCACCAAACCCGTTGTTTTTTCCTACCGGTAGTGCAACAGTTCTAGGGCCCTCATTGATCTCTGAAGGTCAGTCACTGTGAAAGTACACATGAGTCACACGCGCATTAGAGTAGCGGTTTCTCAACACGCGGGGCAACTTTTAGTATTTGGTGAGGAGAACTGCCTGGTTGTTTGGGTTCCGGCCGGTGACGTCCAGCCAATCCCTAGATGAATACTCAAAATGTACCAGCACATCCCTTACCCCTAATAAAAAACCCTCCAGAAATCATGGTTTGATATGTGATGAAATCACATATTTGGGACCATAAAATGTGGGTGTTGAATATTAGGGGAATGGGATTATGTACAGTAATTGGAGTGATTAAAAAAAATAACACCATATCCAAATCATTCCAAATCTGTTCTCTATCAACATGGTCGATGTCCTCCTTCTCTGTTACCCTTGAATATGTATTGGTGCAAGCAAGTATTGCTATATTGTTATATAGTGCTATATATTGGTTCATATTGTCATATGTTTTGGTGTATACATATCTGTGTATATATATACATATGTGTATATATAGATATATACTATACATTATGATTTTATATATATATATATTGTACATTATGACTATAGACATGACAGTGTGTTGTATCTTGTATTTTATATGCTCATCATGATCCTTGATCATTTCCATTTCAAACACCTGAAATAACCCCAGGCATCAGGACCAAGGTGCAGGGAAGGTTTCAGCAAGCCTTAGCAACAACACCCAGCGGGTAAAGGATCTACCAATTGCAGGTTTCTTAAGTCATGGGGGATCCCCAAGACCCCAAGACCACGGGTTTCAATACTGGCTCATGGTCTGGTGGTCAACTCCAAAGCTGCCGCTGAACCACATTAGCATATTAAGTATCACTCAGTTCCGTGGCCAAATAGTTTGCTAATTTGTTTAAATTTTAAAAAACTGTGTTTGTTTTTGAAATGGGTGTCTGAAAATGGGGTATACCCCTCAAATAACCATTAAACAATGGGGATCACGGTGATTAACCAATGGATTTCTATCGTTTTCATGGTTGACATGAGTATGGCACCAGCCGGCCCACTTTGTGGTCCGTCATGTTTGATAAATTTAACAACTCAATAAAAATGGAGTAGAAAATCCTATATTTTTGATGATTTTCCCAGCTAAAAACCTTTATTTCTAGGGGGGTTCCCAGCCCAAATTCAGAACCACCATACCATACACACTTTGGAAACACGGGTTCACTTTGCATCATCATTGCCGGCGAAGGGCCCATGTACTCCTTGAATTTCTCCTTGCTCAAGCGTCCCTTTTTCGCCTGCCCCAGCCATTGCAAACTGAATTGCGTATTGGACAATATTTCAAAGAACGCATGCCCTGCAAAAAATTGGATGTTTAGCTGGTTAATAGATAATCCCATTGATACCAAAAGACTCAAGGATTGAAATAGCCATCTAAGATTGACCTAGATTTTCTATGCGATTTTGATGTCCATTGTCGCCTGGTACGGTTGGTCACCCGGTTGGTTTGGGTCACAACAAGTACCGCGATTGTTTCCAATTAAAATCAACAAATATATGTGGCAATATGGTTCATACGCATCGCAGTAAATCCTGCAAATTGTTGTGAAATTCACTACCATACACGTTTGCTAGCAATATTCAAATTCATTCTATTGGAAAATCAGTTTAAATACTAAAAAACTGTGTTTGTTTTTGAAATGGGTGTCTGAAAATGGGGTATACCCCTCAAACAACCATTAAACAATGGGGATCATGGTGATTAACCAATGGATTTACAGCTAGGCAAGTTGAAATGATAGAAATTGGGCGCCCAAAAAATTTGAGTTATATAATTTGATTAAATTTCTGAATTTATCATCATGTTCCTCGTTAAAATGGCAGTTTCGGGGAACTATTTTAACCATTTTCAGACACACCGAAATGGGTCTTGGTCAAAATTGGGTACCCCAATATTTGGAAGGTTAATCCTAAAATAATCGATCTGTGGTTCCCCAGGCCTTTAATTTTGACCCATACCGAAATGATAGAAAACCCATCATGGCTGACCGGTAGCGCCTGACCAGCCCACATAGATTCGATCTTCTTGACGCCGGCGTCTAACCACTCCTGCTTGGCATCCTGGCAAGGCATCACTGCAATGTGCCAGTAAATGGTTGGGACATGGGTTAGAAACGGTGGCTTATATGGATATTTAAATGTTTGTATGTATATATATATATATTCATATTTATATTTATTTCTATTTCTTGGAGATATGAGATATTTGATGTCAATAAAACGGGTGTTACAATGGGATGTATATATGCAAAACTTTGCATGTGACAACAATGATTTTGGGCGATGGACGTATTTGAAAATGCGTGATGCCACCACTCACGGTTGTTATTTCGTAGGGGCAATGGCTTCAAAACAACGTGCGCATGCTGAAAACATTGACCGTCGCAGGAGTGGGCTCGGTGGAAGCAGGAAGCACAAGCTATCATAAAACTGCACCAGTGCCGGCGGAATGTTGGAAACATTGGCATTTCCAGACTCAACAAAGCCGCCCCAAATTTGCTTGTGACAAAATGAAGAACGCCAAAAGCACCCACTACCACTTGGCTGGATGGCGGGCCCCTAGCCTTGCTTCCCTACTAGGTTCCCAAGCGCCAGCGCTCGTTCCAAAGCCCGGGCAAAAGAAGCTGCTCAGGGTTACTCCAAAAGAATGGCGCGCAGCCACAAACTTTTCTGTGGCTTTCAGGAAAAAACAAAAATGTGGTAAACCAGCAGAATGGAAGGGCAACACATTCTGGCGCAAACGCGCAATCAACACCCATAGCCAAGCGGCTGCTCCTCTTGATTTGCGACAAGCGAACTAGTGCCAGGCCCTCGACAAATCCTCCGTTGATCCTTCCATTTGCAGATGGCTGGCATGACGTGATCAATTCGAATGCGTAACTCGGAAGTTTCTCTTCGAAACAAAAAACGAGGCGGGGCGGAAGTTTCCAAGCCTCTCTCATCAGTGACATGGTTCCATTCGTGAATGCTGAAAGGATTTTCCACTGAGGATTGTGCTTCTGTCTTTAAATTATAAATGTGCAATCATATGGGGATGGGTCAATACCTATACATACCATTTTTAGGGGGATGAACATCCATTTACCAGCTATTTTGATGTTCACCAGGGGTACCAGGGTTTTGACACACTGCCATATCCCTCTAGTGTTAAATCCCTCCACATGATGCCACAAGAACGAGCAGATCCAATACTAAGCTCAGGGTTCGAAGGTTCAGGCTGGATCCATCTTGATTGCGAATCAGTTGACCAAAACTTTGGCCCCCAAATACCCGCTGGTAAACTAACATAGATATGGAAAGTCACCATGTTTAATGGTAAATCATCTATAAATGGGCAATTTTCCATAGCTATGTTAGTTTAATGGAGGGAAAATTCCGTTGAACAGGCCTTCAAACCAGCGGTTCTGGAGGGCCAATCTTAGGGCCCTGAGATCTGCAAACCTCCCCCTAGAAATTCCAATAAGTTGGAAATCTACCCTTCTATGAGCAAAACCCATCTTTGACCTATCCTTTTCCGCGTCAATATGGATACTATCCCCCTATATATCCCCCTTCGTTTTTGTTGTGAAGAACATTTTGAAAATAACTGCCCCCCACTATGGAGTTAACCCTTCTTGTTTCTTATCATTGTTGCTCCCTCATGTGGGGGTTCCCCAATGAAGCTTATTTCCAAACAGCGGAGCCCTGTTGGATGCTAAAATTAGTCTATGTATACATAGATAGATAGATAGATAGATAGATAGATTGATAGATTGATAGATAGATAGATAGATAGGATCGGATGGGATGGGATGGGATGGGATGGGATAGGATGGGATGGGATGGGATGGGATAGGATAGATAGAATAGAATAGAATAGAAAAGAATAGAATAGAATAGGAATAGAATAGAATAGAATAGAATAGATCGATTAGATCGATTAGATCGATTAGATCGATTAGATCGATTGGATCGATTAGATCGATTAGATCGATTAGATCGATTAGATCGATTAGATAGATTAGATCGATTAGATCGATTAGATCGATTAGATAGAGTAGATAGAGTAGATAGATGAGATAGATGAGATAGATGAGATAGATGTAATAGATTAGATAGATTAGATAGATTAGATAGATGAGATAGATCAGATAGATCAGATAGATCAGATAGACAAGATAGATCAGATAGGTCAGATAGGTTAGATAGATGAGATAGGTTAGATAGGTTAGATAGCTTAGATAGGTTAGATAGGTTAGATCGATTAGACCGATTAAATCGATTAGATCGATTAGATCGATTAGATCGATTAGATCGATTAGATCGATTAGATCGATTAGATAGATTAGATCGATTAGATCGATTAGATCGATTAGATAGATTAGATAGATTAGATAGATTAGATAGGTTAGAGAGGTTAGAGAGGTTAGATAGGTTAGATAGGTTAGATAGGTTCGATAGGTTAGATAGGTTAGATAGAGTAGATAGATGAGATAGATGAGATAGATGAGATAGATGAGATAGATGAGATAGATGAGATAGATTAGATAGATTAGATCGATTAGATCGATTAGATAGATTAGATAGATTAGATAGATTAGATAGATTAGATAGGGTAGATAGAGTAGATAGAGTAGATAGAGTAGATAGTGTAGATAGAGTAGATAGAGTAGATAGAGTAGATAGATGAGATAGATGAGCTAGATGTAATAGATTAGATCGATTAGATAGATTAGATAGATTGGATAGATTAGATAGATCAGATAGATCAGATAGATCAGATAGGTCAGACAGGTTAGATAGATGAGATAGGTTAGATAGGTTAGATAGGTTAGATAGGTTAGATCGATTAGATCGATTAGATCCATTAGATCCATTAGATCGATTAGATCGATTAGATCGATTAGATAGATAAGATAGACAAGATAGATTAGATAGAGAAGATAGATAAGATAGAAAAGATAGACAAGATAGACAAGATAGACAAGATAGATAAGATAGATAAGATAGATAAGATAGATAAGATAGATAAGATAAATAAGATAGATAAGATAGACAAGATAGACAAGATAGATAAGATAGATAAGATAGATAAGATAGATAAGATAGATAAGATAGATAAGATAAGATAGATTGATAGTTAGATAGATAGATAGATAGGATAAGATAAGATACGATAAGATAAGATTAGATTAGATTAGATAGATAGATAGACAGATAGATAGACAGATAGATAGACAGATAGATAATAGGATAGATAATAAGATAGATAATAATATATATTATAAGATAGACAGATAGATAGACAGATAGATAATAAGATAGATAATAAGATAGATAACAAGATAGATAATAAGATAGATAATAAGATAGATTCTAAGCTAGATATTAAGATAGATAATAAGATAGATAATAAGATAGATAATAAGATAGACAAGATAGATAATAAGATAGACAAGATAGATAAGATAAATAAGATAGATAAGATAAATAAGATAGATAAGATAAATAAGATAGATAAGATAGTCAAGATAGATAAGATAGATAAGATAGATAAGATCGATAAGATCGATAAGATAGATAAGATAGATAAGATAGATAAGATAAGATAGTCAAGATAGATAAGATAGATAAGATAGATAAGATAGATAAGATAGATAAGATAGATAAGATAGATAAGATAGATAAGATAGATAAGATAGATAAGATAGAAGATAGATAAGATAGATAAGATAGATAAGATAGATAAGATAGATAAGATAGATAAGATAGATAAGATAGATAAGATAGATAAGATAGACAAGATAGACAAGATAGATAAGATAGATAAGATAGATAAGATAGATAAGATAGATAAGATAGATAAGATAAGATAGATTGATAGTTAGATAGAAAGATAGATAGATAGGATAAGATAAGATACGATAAGATTAGATTAGATTAGATAGTTAGATAGACAGATAGATAGATAGACAGATAGATAGATAGATAGAAAGATAGATAGATGGATGGATGGATGGATCGATGGATAGATGGATAGATGGATAGATGGATAGATGGATAGATGGATAGAGGGATAGACAGATCGACAGATGGATAGATCGACAGATGGATAGATGGATAGATGGATAGATGGCTAGATGGATAGATGGATAGATGGATAGATGGATACTGTAGATAGATCGATAGATTGATAGATCGATAGATCGATAGATCAAAAAATCAATAGATAGATAGATAGATAGATAGACAGATAGATAGATAGATAGAGAGATAGATAAATAGACAGATAGACAGATAGACAGACAAACAGATAGATGGATGGATGGATGGATGGATAGATAGAGATAGATAGATGGATGGATAGATAGATAGATAGATAGGTGGATAGATAGATAGACAGATAGATAGATAGATAGGCAGATAGATAGATAGATAGATAGAAAGATAGATAGATAGATAGATGGATGAATGGATGGATCGATGGATAGATGGATAGATGGATAGAGGGATAGATGGATAGAGGGATAGACAGATCGACAGATGGATAGATGGATAGATGGATACATGGATAGATGGATACATGGATACTGTAGATAGATCGATAGATCGATAGATAGATCGATAGATCGATAGATCGATAGATCGATAGATAGATATACAGATAGACAGATAGACAGACAGACAGATAGATTGATGGATGGATGGATGGATGGATCTATCGATAGATAGATAGATAGATGGATAGATAGATAGATAGATCGATAGATCGATAGATCGATAGATCGATAGATCGATAGATCGATAGATTGATAGATAGACAGATAGACAGATAGACAGACAGACAGATAGATAGATGGATGGATGGATGGATAGATGGATGGCTGGATGGATAGATAGATAGATAGACAGGATAATATAAGATAAAATAAGATAAGATAGGATAAGATAAGATCAGATTAAGATAAGATCAGATTAAGATAAGATTAAGATAAGATTAAGATAAGATAGATAGATAGACAGATATATGTATATATATATATTCCACACAATTAACCCCTCATGAATGCTCCTATGTCGCTAATCTCGTTAAAATTAATCCCTCATGAATGCCCCAATGCAGCTTTCACTCAATTGAAACAGGTTGAGGATTGATGTCTAGTTAGTTCATTAATAATGGATTTGAGCAACCCCTCAGTTGACCCTGTTGACCCTGTCGACCCTGTAGACCTGTTGGGGGTAGCCATTAATCTACCGTGGCATCGGGATGTTTCAGCCTGCCATGTTAGATTAGAAGTCAGCCTGCAATGTTTGTACGGATACCCGTAGTGGTAATGTTAAACAGCTATGGAATGCCATGAACATTTATAAAACCATTTGTTTACTGATTTCGAAATGTGTGTGCCTATGATTTGCATGGCCAAAAAATCCATGGCTATGTAGATTACCAGAGGGTATCATCCCGGGTGGGCTCACAGGATGGATCTGGTGTCGAAACACGGCTGCCCGGTGGATCTTTCTGTGCAACTCGAACCAAAAAAAAAAGTACCCTCTGGTGAACTACCACAACTATGGAAAATCACCATGTTTAATGGGTACCCTCTGGTAATTTAACATAGCTACGGAAAATCACCATTTTTAATGGGTAAATCCACTATAAATGGCAATTTTTAATAGCTATGTTAGTTTACCAGAGGGTAAATCAACTGTTTCTATGGCCATGTTCAATAGCTATGTAACAAATTACCAGAGGGTAAGTGGAGCAGGTATCTGGGGGGGTTCTTGAGTCATGGATCCCTAGTCGTCACCATGGGGGGGTCAATAGAAAAATGGCTCCAATGCCGAGCATTGGGGTACTGGGAATCCTTGGAAGGACCACATGGTTATTTAACATAGCTATGGAAAAATAAAAAATGGCGCATTTATAGATGAAACAAGTGTGATTTACCAGTTCGCTATGTTCAATAGCCATAGGGTAATGCCTATGAATCACCATCACATTCCACCAAAAATCCCATCAAATCCAATGAAATCCCATTAAATCACCATCAAATCCCTTTAAATCCCATCAAATCACCATCTGAAATCCCATGAAATCACCATTAAATCACCAGGATACCATCCAGAATCATAGACTAAATGGCTTGTAACCATCCCCCCAGTCACCCCGTCGAGCTGCCTTCAACACCACGGGGACTCCCTTCTGGATGAAGCACATGGCCTCAATCGGATTGCCCTGAAAAGTTTTGCGATTTCATATGGGAAAATCTATAGACAAAATGTGGAACATATATGGAAAATATATGGAACATATATGGGTATGGATCAATACCTATTAATACCATTTTTAGGGGAAGGAACATCCATAAATCCCAGCTATTTTGATGTGAACTACAGGGGTACAAGGTTTTGACAAACTGCCATATGGAAAATATATGGAAACATGTGGAAAACCGAGGTTCAATGGCTTGGATTCAAGGAACATCTTAATCACAAACCCTGGATTTACCAGCCAAATATCGTTTTGTTTAAATCAGACAACACTAAAATCCACTGGTATAGTCTATGTCAATTGATAAAAAATGATGGGGAGTAACTGTAAATAACACCACAAATGAAAAGGCTCACAACTTTATTTCTGAGTGAACTAAAATGTATCAAAAGCTGCTTTTAAAGAATAAGAACTAATAGAGTCTAAGGATCCAATAGATTAAAATTCGACCCTTGAGACTCGGGATTTAGTAGTTCTCCCCCCAGAAATTGGCCTCACAGGAACCTTGCTTCGAATGTGTGTGTGATGGATGGGATGATCATTGCAATCTGCAATGGATGACATTGAACTGCATGTCCAAACAAATACAGGCAATCAAGAATATCAAGACTCGGAGCCTTAAAATGATAAAGCCACTATGTTTCACTGGTTGGTGGTTTCAACCCCTCTGAAAAATATGAGTTCGTCAGTTGGGATTATTATTCCCAATATATGGAAAGATAAAAATGTTCCAAGCCACCAACCAGTTCAAGTCTGGTATTCTCGTTGGGACCATTTCTTCTCAGCATGAGTCATGTGGTGCAGCCATGGTAAACCCCAGAAACCAGCCCCAGTCCCATCACTCCTTGATGTACGGTCGTTCTCATTTACCCAGATGGTATTAACAGAAAACATTCCCCAACAAACGAGATTTTCATACTTATATAAAGCTAATATATTACCTACAAAAACACAAAACTGTTGATGGTAATAATGGTAATAATCATGCTAGTAGTGATCAAGTAGGTTTATACCGACCATCTCCGCACATAGAACGCTGAGATCCCCAACAATGCCGCCACCTGAGATGAACTCGTTTTTCGGGCTTGGGGAGTTACGCAACCTGATCTTTTTTTAGCTTCTGATGCTATCTAGATCTGGACTGGATTGGGCTAAACATGGGGTGTGTCGAATGGTTTCGACATGTTCAATAGTAAACCTATCTGTACATGGATATGATGGATGATTTTTCAGAAAGCCAAGTTAGAATTTGAGAGGGTACTCGTTGGTCAATTCCGGATTACTCATCCATTTAACCATAAATCCGGCGAAAAGTGCCACGTGGCACCAGAATAGACATCAAACCTTTTTGTTTGGCCTACTGCTCAAATGGCTATGGCAAAACAACCTACACCCGAAGGAACCGCATACAATATTATATAATGTCAACATATTCAATTCCACACTGCCCATGTTTGATCATGTTTGTCCCACAGAGAATAGAACCATCAAAAGGTCCTCTCAAGGTCCGGGTTCCACTGAAAATGCTGGAAAACCAACAAACATCCCATGGTTCAGTGTCATTTTTTTCCATTAAACCTGCAAAACAATAAGTGATGTAATGTGGACAACCCAAGGCCACATAAATCTACCATTTGGGGATGCTTGTGGAAAAATCCCAATCCAGAATGGTGATCTTGGGGATTGTTTTAGGGTTTAGGATTTTACCCTCTGGTAAACTAACAGTTTGCTATTGAAAATGGCCATAGAAATAGTTGATTTAGCTATCAAAATGGTGATTCTCCCTAGTTTTCTGTATGTTTACCAGAGGGTACCACATTTTCCCAACTTCCCAAGCTCAGTTGAAAGCTTCAGTCCCAAGAAGCCCATCAAGCCCGCGCCCAGAATGCCAATCTTCTTCCTCAGATCGAAGAGAAACATCCGAGGATAGGATGCGGTGAGGTTTAAGGAGAAAAATCCATTGGAAAGCAGGTTTTTTTAATCTATCAGTACTGGTTGGTGGTATACCTACCCCTCTGAAAAATATGAAAGTCAGTTGGGATGATGACATTCCCAACTGAATGGAAAAAACAAATCATGTTCCAAACCACCAACCAGAATACTGTATCTGGGTAAATTATAATAGTTCACTAACCTGAATTAAAATAATTAAAGCCATTTTGGGATGCTTCCCCTTAGTATGATTATAGTGAGGGAGATCAGGGTGAGGTCGTGATCAAATTTACCCAGACTGTATGTATATATATATATATATAACTGGTTGGTGGTTCCAACCCCTCTGAAAAATATTAGTCAGTTGGGATGATTATTCCCAATATATGGAGGAAAAAAAAACATGTTCCAAACCACCAACCAGGAAATATATATACATATATATATATATAGGGATTTATGATGTTTTATTTTCCCCTGCAGTATGAAAAGAAACTGACCTAGCTGGTTGAATTGATGCTTTCCACCCATCCCCACCCATCCCCAGCCATCCCCATTCTCAACTGAGCCAAACCATCCGAGGCCGGGAGCTGTGTCCCTCCTGCATTCTACACCTTTCAATGCGACATTATGAGGAAATACTGGTGTTTTAATGGGATTTTAATGGTGATTCAATGGGATTTAATGGGATTTATTAGGATATATGATGGGATTAAGCCTCTGGTAATTTGTTACATAGCTATTGAAAATGGCCCAGTCGAAATAGTTGATTTACCCACTAATAGCATGGTGATTTTCCATCGTTTTTTGTTAGTTTACCAGGCCGGGTAACATCCAAAAATCTCCATAGCCATGATGGAATCCAAAAATCTCGTGATATCACCATTCTGGTCTAAGGTCACGTCCCCATGATCCTACTTCAACCCCCCTTGGCTTGGTACTTCGGCTTCATGTTTCTTGGTCATTCTCTCAGTCTTTGTCAAATCCTTCTTGCTGAATTTAACATCAGACTTCTATTGGGTATAAGTTCCACCTTACTCGGACAACTCTACATATATGTACGAGTACATATATATGTATAATATATATATATACACATACAGTCATATATATATATGTGAAAAATATGACTACATTGGATATGTGTTCAGGGTTTGAAGATGCTTCAAATGGATCCCAAAAAGATCGCCAAAAAACACCAACATCGCAGACAAAGCAACCACATATATGGCCTTGATTTCCAAAATACGTATGTATCATTGCCAATCTTAGATGCAAAAATATATAGATTCAATGCTGGTGAACGTAGATAAACCCATTTACCCTCTGGTAAACTAACATAACTATGGAAAATCACCATTTTTTTAATGGGTAAATCAACTATTTCGACTGGGCCATTTTCAATAGCTATGTAACAAATTACCAGATGGTATAGCAAGAGATTAAAGAATGAGTTTCTACCCATCCAGTTGGATGGTGATGGAAAAATTCCAGCCTGAAACTCTGTCGATTGGGTGGCCAAAAAATATGTTCCCTGGTTGGTGGTTGAGCCCTACCCCTCTGAAAAATATGAGTTCGTCAGTTGGGATGATGAAATTCCCAATTCATATGGAAAAATAAAATTCATGTTCCAAACGACCAACCAGTTCAAGTCTGGTATTCTCTTTGGGACCATTTCCTCTCAGCATGAGTCATGTGGTAAACCCATGGTAAACCCCAGAAACCAGCCCCGGTCCCAAAAAAAACAATGTCTCTTGGCCAAGCGACAGTGGGGCCGGCTTCTCGTCAATACCTGGAACCTGCACAGACTGTTTTTCAGACCTCCACTCAAGCCATGGGTTATACCTCCAAATATGGACACATAGATGTACATGAGATAACATATATGGACCATATGGGTATGGAATATATGGTATATATAAAATATATGGAATATATGTATGATATACCATTTATGACAAGGGGATAAAACTGCAATGAGTTTAATGGTGATTCAATGAGACTTCATAGGGGTTTAATGGGATTTAATGGGATTTAGTGGGATTGAATGGGATTGAATGGGCTTAATGATGGTATACCTCTGGTAATTTAACAGTTTGCTATTGAAAATACCACAAAGAAATAGTTGATTTACCTATTCAAAATGGGGATTTTCTATAGCAAACTGTTAGTTTACCAGAGGGTATGACGAATTACAGTAGGGGATAAAACCTGCAAGATCATCCAAATATAGCACTTTGGAATCTTAGAATCTCAGTATCCAACATGTTCAGAACATGTTGACATGTTCGGCTCATCTCAACTTGGGGTTCTGAATATGTTTGATGGATACCCCCGTGAGAAAATCATGAGAGTTGGCTGGGAAGTTTACCCTCAAACATGGCTGGAAGGATCCACCCAGCGAATGACGTGGCGGCCACAGGGCTTTCCAGCCACGTGTGATTTTCCACCGCAACTTTTCAACGCGGGGCCCACTGGTCCCCAAAATTCATGGTTTCGGTACATAAACATGATCAGATTATCACCCATCATTAATTAGCCATTAGAAACCAATCCAGATGAGGGTTCTAGATTTTGTCATGTGAACGTTAATTCCTGAAGCCCATGAAAAATACTAGTTCGTTCTATCCCAATCAACCCTAGGTGGGCTTCACCTTGTGGAAGTCTGGGAAATGGAGAAGAAAATGACGGGAGATTTGGCTGAATCAGGTACCAGTAACTTATGTAACAAGAGTCAGTTAATGCTGCTCACAAAAATCAACATGAAGAAATGTCATCATACTTCACCCCTATATTTCTTTGGTGATTTTCCATGGCGACCTGTGAATGTTTACCGGTAATTCATTGGAGACCCACCGATATGGCAGAGTTCGGCACGTGCTTTGCTCCCTGACTTCCACCCGTACGGTTCAACATGTGAATATTAGGAACGGTGATATATATATGGTGGATTCCACAAATGGTGGTACTCCAATAGCTGGATGGTGTATTTCATGGAAAAATTGAAAAATCCCACTCAAATAGATGATTTGGGGGGACCCCATTTTAGGAAACCTCCATATAGCAATATAGAAAGAGAAAGGTACAGGATGGTGCCCTCCAAGTTATGTTTGTTGGTTTATAAACCCCACTAACTAGTTCGTTAAGTTATATCTACCATAAACCATAGAATTCTGCCACTTTTTTTCTCAACTGAGCTATCCAACGGGGGCCCCATCCTGTAATAAACAAGTGAATTGAAAATTACATGGCCTTTGTGGTTCATATCTTACAGATTCAAAGCCATACAGGCCGTGCACCCCAAGGTGGGGCGGATGTACATCCCAAGTCAGATCCTTTTTGGGTTCTGTGAGGGAAAATGATGATCAACCATCCAATTTCGTCGTACGTTTCAGACAAAGCGTGACGTTTACCCAGAGATTAATAGGTATCATGGATATCATATATATAAGGGCATTTTGGGATAGTTACCATTTGGCTATTTAACATAGCCATGGAAAATCCCTTATAAATGGAGGTTTCTAGCTGGGAAAATCATCTATGGGCCATCTATACCATGGCTATGTTAAATAACCAGAGGGTACCCCTTACAATTCCCATCAACTTTGGTGAGCATAGCTGAGGTCACGAGAAATTCATCACCCAGATATCTTTGGTCAAATCTGGTGAAGCTATATGTCGGCAATCTGCTCTGAGCCTCATTTTGTGCAGGCACTGTCCTCATGTAGGTTCCCCTTTTCAAGGAGTGTCATCCTAAAATCTCCTAAATCTCAATCTCATCATGATTTCCCTATTGCAAATAGCCAGTATCTCATACTCAGTATGTTGGTGACATTTGACCAACCAGATCCTGGTTCGTGGTATACCTACCCCTCTGAAAAATATGAGTTCGTCAGTTGGGATGATGACATTCCCAACTATTTTGGAAAATAAAAGTCATGTTCCAAACCACCAACCTATAGTTAACTATGGTTAATGGTGATTTCATGGGGATTCATCCCTACTGTATTCCGACTCCCCAATGTTGGCGCCTTCTGAGCCAAACGCTCCGACAGGAAGAGGTGACGCAAGGCCTTAAGCGCTGCAAGGTGAAATCCATGGGTCCGAAAGGATCAGATCACAGCTGGGATCTTCAGCTCCGTTCTGACCGTTCTGACTAACGTAGCCATGGAAAATCCCAAGCATAAATGCAGGTTTCGTTCGCTGGGAAAATCATCTGTTTCTATGGGCCTTTATCCATAGCTATGTGAAATCACCAGAGGGTAATATAATGATCAATAGGAATACCTTGGTGTTTTCCAGATAATAGTTATATCATGGAAGATCTGGAATATATGGATATACCAAGTGGTAATGTGTTACAGTTTGCTATAGAACATGGCCCATTTACTTCGTTGATTTACCGATGAAACATGCTGATTTACTATAGCTATGCACAGGGTACACCTGGCAGTTCTCACGTTGTGACGCCCTTTTGGGGATTTTTAAAGGTCACTTTGAGTGGTTGGAAATATGCGGAGAAAATGATCTACCCTCCGGTAAACATACAAAAAGCTATTGAACATGGCCATAGAAATAGTTGATTTTCCCATTTAAAAAAATGGTGATTTTCCATAGCTATGTTAAATTACCAGAGGGTAGAATCTACAAATGACGTATGTTTTCCATATCCATGTGTCAATTGACGGCAGATTTTCCTGCATCTCTAGTTGTTGGGTGGTAGGTCTCCATCCATTCCAAGACATGAACATCACGATGGGGGTATAGGATGACAAAAATCTGCCTTACCAGAGTTTTAACGTCAAAAGAACCGAAAAAATATCCACAAAGTGACCAAATGATTTGAACCTTGCGGTATTTTGATGTATTTTGATTCTGGTTGTAGGATGTCTCAAACCCTTCTCGATGGACTTCATGCCCGAGTAGTTCCGCAGTGAAAAGGGCCAGTCGAGGGTTGGGATGTTGATTTTGGGTAACAACAATCGTGAAGTTTGGGATGTAGAGTAGATTTTGTAGCGTAGGTTTGGGGTGTAGTTTCAAGCACGCCATGCCTGTCTGTGGGAAACATCATGTCTGATAATGTCAATGTGCATGCATACATTCACGTCCATGCAAATGCATACAAATGCATCAATACCATCATTGGAATGGCAGAATACTATCCCTGACCCCAGGAAATTCCGGGGTTCCAAACCGGGCCCCTCACCCGTGCCAAACACCAGTCGCATGTGTTTAAATGACCAGCATCTTTGGCCGGCTGATATCCATTCTTTCATATGTTATTGTGGATATCACCAGTTCAAACAACGTCAAGAAGAACTAAAATTCAAACCGACCCAAATGCCAAACCCCAACAAACATCGGGATTCTCAACAAACCACCCATTATACAATTGATATATCGGGAAATTTCTCCTGGTTCACGGGGCAGTTAATCTTTCATGGGGCAAAATACCATGGTTAATCGGAAAATCGGTCCATGGCCATTGTCCGGAACGTTGTTAGATGACCAAAGGCTGGGTGAGTCCCTGGAAAATATCCTAAATTCTTGGTCAATTCCTGGAAAATATCCTAAATTTTTGGTCAATTCCTGGAAAATATCCTAAATTCTTGGTCAATTCTTGATGTTCATAAAATGTATACAATCCCATGGAAATTCCAACATAAAATCCCATAAAAGTCCTCCATTCATCAGCCTGTTCTTGGATTTGCCTATTGGGGGTCCCCCAAAAAGAACATCTTCACTTCATCGATTCCCCAGTCATGGTGGATTTTCTGGGAAAATCAGCCGAAGGGGCCGCAGATTCCACGGAGAAGACCAAGTTGGTGAACTGCTCCATCTCCACTTGCAGGCCCTGACCATCCATGGGGAAACTCCCACCACAATGACCCCCAAGTGGCATAAGATATGAACTCCACCTCTTGAATTGGATGATTTATGATGATTTTTAGGGCTATCCCCATGAGGAAACCATCCCAATTTTTTTTCGTGTGTGCAAAATGGCTAATGTAGTAACTATTAATGAATAGTAGAATATTTGAAATATTACTATGAATTATCTACTATATCTATATCTACTATTACTATTTATGCGGTTAGTTAAAACAATGTCATAAACTAGCCATGACTGGGAATGGTTGAAATCCCACCTATAAAAATGGTGATGACTGGGGGATTGTGTATTATTGTAACTTTGGGTAATTTTGGATCTAGTAATTTTTGGATGTAGTAACCCCTGGTAATTTGGGGGATAGCTTATTACTATATAGGTTTACTTCATTGGATGTCTATACGTACAGGAGGGTAAATAAAATTGGATAGAACGGTTGTTCCATGATGTTCATGAATAAACGCAAGATTATATGCCATTTACTTTATAATCCCCAGGTGTTCATTAAGAAACAAATCGATTTTGGGGTTGCTATACTGTCGTTAAACCAATAATAACACCTTTTTGGGGTATGGCTTTTCACACCCCCCAAGTGGCAAAAAAGGGTATTACTAGGTTTACTTCATTGGATGTAGGAACTCAGGATGTCAACCTATTGCCACCAGAAGGCACAAAAAATTGGGGCCGAAAAATTGGGGTATTCAGGGCACAAAGTTTTTTCTGACTGCCATTTTATGATGCTGGTTGGTGGTTTCAACCATCTTGAAAAATATTAGTCAATGGGAAGGATTATCCCATATAATATGATATATTATGGAAAATAAAAAATGTTCCAAACCACCAACCAGTATATCATTTTATGATGTCAAGCAAGAATTACCTACCATTTTGATCCGTTTTGTCGAAACAGGTCGAGAAGTGATGAAATGATCCTTGCAACGGTCATGTTTTGCAACCCCAAATTGATCAACATAGCTGGTTTGAATTGCAATGTATGTAAAACATGTGTTTATGTATGCATACGTCATATGTTTTTGTATACTAAGAGAACATTAAAGAAAAGCGATGCGAAAAGCGACATGAGTTTCGAAAAGAAATGATCGTTCAATTCATGGTGGATTTTCCCATTTTCCATGTTAAGCAACTGAAAGGTGTACCCGCTGCTTATCTAACATGGCTAGAGAAAATGGATGAAAATGGCCCATTTATAGACATAGATGATTTATGATGATCTACCTATTAAAAATGATGAATTTTAATAGCTACGTACAAATTATCCCAGGGTATATGGGTATGGGTCAATACCTATACATACATTTTTAATGGGATGAACATCCATTTACCAGCTATTTTGGGGTTCACTAGGTACCAGGGTTTTGACTCATAGCCATAATATCTTTGACCACTTCTCCCTTCCTTTCGACGCCTCTCGGAAGGACTTGTTGGAGCAAGCGGCCTCGAAGCACTTGATGATGGCCTCGAATTGCGGAGATGGGAAGGTGCCAGTGTCATGGGATGTTTCAATGGCTATTCATACGGGTGTATGTAGATATACCCTCTGGTTATGACTAACAGTTCGCCATGGTTAAGCCATGGCCCTAATCGAAATAGATGGTTTACCTATATTAATAGCATGGTGGATCTTGACAAATGGCGAACTGTTAAATAACCAGATGGTATAATATATACATACCCTATGGATCCTTCTTAGGAAACGTTTGGGGTATGATTTCGGGGGTTAAGTACCTTTCTTACTAAGTGGGATGAGCCACCAAGTAATATATACATATAATTTAACATCATCCTAAAACGGGGGGTACCACCAGTCATCATCCAATTAGACGATGGGGTGTTTTTAGTCGTATTTTTCAACCATGGCGACGACTGGAGATCCCCCATTTTAAGAAACCCCCTATAGGATTTCATATGATAATAGGATATCATAGGCATCCATAGTTTCAATGGTGATTCAATGGGGATTTAATGGGATTTAATGGGATTCAATGGGGATTTAATGGGATTTTATGGGATTTATTAGGATATATGATGGTATACCCTCCAGTAAACTAACAGTTTGCGAACTGGAAAATGTACCATAGAAATAGATGATTTACCGAACTTGAAAGTAGTGATTTTCAATACTTATGTTCAATTACCAGAGGGTAATAGGATATCATGGGCATTCATAGGGTATAGTCTTGATAGTTAAATCCCATGGGTAAATGGAGTGCATGGAGTGAGATTTAACCGTTAATACTTTGGGTTTTACCAGCTAGCAATGGATAAAGATCGATGATGTTACCTATTTGTTTGGGGGATTCTCTGAAAAACGGTCCCCCTAAAACAATTGGTTTCTCATCATGTTCTCATGATTTTCCATCAAGTGTCCCCTAAAACCATTGGTTTCTCATCATTTTCTCTATTAAATGGCTATAATTGGGGATATTCCCCATTTCAGACACACCCAGTTAGGAACGGATCAAAACCTATATGCGAGTTTCCATATTTTATCGAGGATGAATATCCATACATCCCAGCTATGATTTTGGGATTGTTTTGACCCATACACATCTTCAAATCATCCAAAACTCTAAATCCGAAGTTGAAACAGCGAGAAACAAGTCAGAGCCTTTTTCTGAACCATGTGTTTCCCCCCAACTTATCGAGTTACATGTGTCATGTCAATTGGGGAAAGCAAGGGTCTTTGGTTTCACCTTTTTTTTAAGAAAACACCTATTGGGTGAAAAACAAACATTGAACAAATGGAGGCTTCTTAAACTTGGGGATCCAATAAGACACCTAAATTGGTTATTTGGAGGGCCCCAATTCTAAGGAGCATCCAAATGAGGTGGACTTTCTATCTGAGAAAAATGGGAAGGGGAACCATTTCTGTGTATAGTTGAAAGAAAAAGTCCCAATGTTTTGTTGAACACCAGTTGATATTTAGTGGAACATGACAATCATTGGATGGGTTGAAGAAAAAACGCAAGAAATGTATATCATCCATAAAATCACCATTATATATGTATGGTAATATATGGTGATGTTATGGTTATGTATATATTGTATCATCCATAATATCACCATTATATCCCATGGTGCCACCATCTTGAACCGTTTATATCCGTTTATATTATAGTTGGTGAGTTGTTCCATGCAAATGTAGACCAAACATCCGGTCTCATGGTCAGGAGGGCCTCCAATCTTTCTTAGGTACCCGTCATCCCCTGAGTCAAACTCTATCGCAATTGCGTGGGTCTGCAGTAGCAGGAAATTCAGATATGTCATTATTTCCTCAACAGAGCCTATCTGGCCACTCCTTGTAATGCAGGAAATCCAACCAAACTTTTTAAAGATTAACCGCACATCCTCAAATTGAGCGTTTACAACAGTATTTATGGCTCTATCTTAAGTTCTATCCTGGTTTATTGGTGATGTTCCCACAACTTCAAATACCAGTAAGCACCATTTAATCCTTATCTAATCATCAAATACATGTATTTCATACCATAAAATCAATGATGAAATCCCATTTCTCAGCAAATCTAGGATCCCATGAATCAATGGATTGTTTTGTTCCCATGTTTTTTTTCGAAAAAATCGACCGGAAAGCCCAACAAAAAAACCCACCCTTCAGCCCCCCGACGCGTGGGGCAATCATCAGAGGAGCCTAAAACGGGTGCAACTAGGGGCAAGTCGCCCGAGGCGGTGCCATGATCATGGGACAGATACGACCTTGGAAAATTTCCATATGGAAAATATGGATATCAATGAGATAACTTATTTTTGGCATATGGAATATATGGGATACATGGAATATATTCCATATATGGATATACCCTCCAGTAAAGTCAAAGTTTTGGAAAGCTAGCCATTTACAGTTGATTTACCTATGAAAAAATGGTGATGTTCCCATAAACTGTTAAATTACCAGAGGGTAAAAAAAATGATTTACCTATTGGAAAAAAAAACACGTGAAATTTCGTGGGATTTAACCCACACATATGGAACCTGATGGGAATTTAAGGGGGTAGGACCAGCAAATTGGTTATATAATTGGATACATATACATATATATGTATATATGGGAAATGTATTAAACAAAAAAACAATGAAAATCATGGGCGTATCATGTGGGACATGTAACCAAAAATAGGGATATGAGATGCGGTGTTCTCCATCCGTCCCGGAAATCTAACATAATGGGAATAATGCGTATGTCAATATCCCTAGCATCCCTCAATATGGGTATCAACAATGTGTTGACCACCGCACAAATGGGCTTCCCTCTAAAAATGATGCAAGTAACTGAGGAAATAATGATAAACCAATGGATACTGGCCCCTCCTACTCAAACCAAGTTTTGGTCGTGACACATATCATTAACAATTCGTTAACATATATAAAATAGTGGATATGTAGCCAAAACTGAGGAGGATGCACCAAAAAATTGATTTCTCCGTGAAACATGCCCGTTAGAGGTATCCACTTTGAACAACCCTAAATGTAAGCAGTAAAATCCCCATTTCTGATGCTAAAATAACAATGTGGTGTGTCTGAAAATGGTGGTTTTGACCCCAAAAATTGCAATTTCCACCGGAAAAATAACTATATGAATATATTTCCAAGAAAATCAACAGAGGTGTCCAAGATGTATTTTCAGAATTGTATGGTTACTAAGATTTCAGTATTTTTACTATATCTCCTATGGTATTTCAAACATTTGCTGGACACCCTACAGGATGGTGCTCCGAAATATAATTTGGTGAGAAAACCCCACTAACTAGTTCATTATGTCTACCATAAACCATGGAATTCAGCCACCTTTTTTTCTCAACTGAACGCTATCCAACGGGGGACCCATCTTGTAGTTATAAGTTGCCTTATAACCCCATCTAAATATAATTATAAAATGTTATAAGTATCATACACTATTGTTCTTATAGTTCTGTTCACCAACTGAACGCTAAACCACTTTATATAGTATATAACTAAATTATAACTAAGTTGGTTAGTTGTTGGTTGTATTACCATCTGGTTATGACATTGCCAGTTCGCCATTTGTCAAGATCCACCATTTTTAACCATTTTTAAGAACGGTAAACCATCTATTTCTACGGGTCATTTCCCACTTGGTGGCTCATCCCACGAATCGTAAGTGGGTCATAACCCCAGTTATAAATGGGATAAGTAGGGTTAATCCACTTATAATTGGGGTTATAACCCACTTACTAAGTGGGATGAGCCACCAAGCATGGCTAAACCGATTCACCCACGGATTTCCTGGGCTTCTCCCGGGTCTCCCCGCAGCGTTCACGGCGGTGTTGAGACCCTGCTCCAAGCCGCCTGCGGCCACCATGAACCTGCCGCGATGGTCACGTCGCGTTGGCGTCTTGGGGAAACACACTTGGATGTGTGTATCTTCTATCTATGTATGTATGTATATCTATATATGTATGAAAATTTATATTAGATCATCTATAGATCTAATATCATATTCAAACATGTATATATATATACGTTTGTATGTGACTTGTGTATATAAGAACGTATGTGATTTCAAAAATATGCTTTAAACTTCAAGTTTGTTTGTTTCTTTCCTTCTTTCTTTCTTTGCTTGCTTGCTTGTTTGTCTGTGTTTTTTCCTGGTATGTGATGTAGAGATTGGACATCAATTCAATGGCCGTAAGTTTTGATTTGCCACCCCAAGAAGCATCAAGCTTTAATTTTCAAGTGGTGGGGAGGTCCCAAAACACAAGGTAAAACCTGGGGTTGTACACTACTCAAAACCTGGCCAGTGTGTCTGGAAGTACCACGATTCACTGATTCCTTGATTCACTGATTCATTGGTTCATCGATTCATTGGTTCATTGATTCGTTGAATCATGATTCATATGTTCATTTTCCGTATGGGGCATTGATTCCCTGTAGCCATTTCTTTTTTTCGAAGCAAAACAGCCGCGGAGCGGGCCGGGATTTACCTGGCATATCGCGTGTATATATATATATATACACGATATTCGTTTTCTACTTCAGAATGATTACCCTCTGGTAATTTCCACATAGCTATTGAAAAATGACCCAGTCGAAATAGTTGATTTATACCCATATTTACCAAAAAAAATGACAATTTCTCTAGCTTAGCCATGAAATAAATGGAACATGTCTGGTTGGTGGTTTCAACCCCTCTGAAAAATATGAGTTCGTCAGTTGGGATCATTATTCCCAACCGTTGGGGAAAAAAAATGTTAACCACCAACCAGATAAAACATCTTGAAATCACCAACCAGCTTGATATTTCTGTCTGAAAATAGAGTATCTGATTCCAAACCAACCAGATTTTTTTCACATGTCCATAGCTACCCCATCCACCCTGCTTTGCGCCAGTGGCGCACGGCGTGGCGCCTGTTGGTCTTGTGCACCTCGCGCTTGGAGATGGGTGCGGGTGGATGGCTCAAGGCCCACTCCGCCGCCTCTTCGATGACGTCCTGGGGAGTTTGCCATGGGAAAAGGTGGGAAAAGTCCTGGAAAGTCCTGGAAAATCCCTGGAAAGTCATGGAAAAACATAGGGAAATGATGAGAAAATCATGGTTTGAACACAAAATGATCTAAACGTTCTATGAAATGATTGCATCCTTGGATTTGGACGAGAGATCTATTGAGCTCATTGTCACACAGACGGTGTCACCTATTACCAATCTTGAAACCCCACGCACGGACCAGGCACCGAAAACTCAACCAATCTTTGCTTCCATTTCTGGGTCTTTTTTTCAGGCAATCTGAGTGTGTCTGAAAATGGCATATATTCACGAAATGGCTATTTCAACAAAAAGTTATGGTGAACCAGAGGATATGGAGGTACCTTATTTTCAGACAAACCCATCTGTATTCAGTGACTCACCCGCAAAAGTTGAAGTTTCCGTGCGGCAACAAAGATAAATAGCGCTGGGTATATTACACTACACTCCCTGAAGAGTTTGACTATACTGGATGAGTTACCCCTTACAATTCCCATTCTTCCAGGGTTGGGTCGCGACGTGAAAGAAGCGGGCCGTCCTTCTTGGCAACTGCATCGATAATGCCGTTCCTGGGTCTGGGAGGTGCTCTGGCTCCCTTGACGCTTGGATGATGCCTGAAATGAGGATACATCCCTATTTATCAGTAAAATGCCATTCTATAATGGAAAATCATGATGAACCAGATTTAGAAGCACCCAATCTTCACACAAAACCACATGTGTTTTATGTGAAAGGAAACTTTTTGCACCTGTGGGATAAACCATGAAGGCATATGATATGGTTATGGCTTCAATATTGCTTACCGTTACCCAAAAACAGGATGATAAATCCCAAAAAATCACTCAATGTGGTCTCCGGCGCCATCCTATGCCCATCTCACCTCGGAAAACCTATTTCTTTGGGGTCCGCAACGTTTCCACCCAGTTGCGCAAAAGAAACTTCCAGGGAAACAGTGAACTCTTCAGAAAATCTCTGCAGTATGACTCATCAACGGTTGAATTGTTGGAATCTCCATTTGGTCAGAAACCCGCCAAAAATGCCATCTTTCTCGGTTTTATGTGCCAAAATCGCCAGCAACTCCACCCGAGTCATCTTGGCCACCAAACTTACGAGCAGCATCAGCCTTCAGCCTTGCTTCCGGGTGGGATTGGCATGGGGTACATTTCAGGTGGCGATTTTTTCGGACCAGGGAACTTCGATTGACTTGTCATTAACGAAATCAACCCATTGAGTTGTACCCAATTGGCAAATCCCGATTTTGGGTGGTCAAATCACCAGCTATGACACTGTGGGATAAAATCACCAGCTATGACACTCGCCGGTCATCTTCGCTTTCGCCAAGTTACGGCTTTCCCTGCAAGATCCTGAGCCCCGGGGCGGTTCAGAAAGTGCCGAAAGCGGGGCCGGAATCCGACAAAAAGCAGAGATCCAATACTAAATCTATGATAGATATTGATAGATTATGTTTTATCAACCGTGGATAATGATGATTGATAGATTGATATATACATATATACATAATTTGAATGGCTCATCACTAACCAATGTAAAAATCATATCCGGACGAATCCCATGAAATCATTAAGATAGATCATATGATTAATATACACTCCATTTTTTTGATGTTCCAAGACTATCCCTTAAATATTCCCATGAATATCAATGTTCCATGATGTTCCAATGAATATCCCATATCAAATTCAGATTCTTATCCCCATATCAATGGATATATATATATTCCATATCATATTCATGGGGATTTCATATCCCATATCAAGACTATCCCATATCAATGTTCCAATGAAATCTCCATGGAACATCCGAGTCTCATCTGCATGGCTGTGGGCAGCGGCGCCACACGAGGCAAACGCTGAGTGCCCTGTGGCTGAACTGGATGAACATTTGGGATTTAAGTTACATGATTTAACGAAAAAAATGATTTCACCATGAAAAAATGGTGAGTTAACATGATTTAAATTTAACCATGAAACATGGTGGTTCTAACCATCACAAATGGTGCTAAAAAAACTTTAACCATGAAAAATGGTGACTTCACGACACTCGAATTTTCCATATCATGCCGATGGTGATAAATCAGCATCAAATATTCGGAGTTCAACACCGAAAATTGGGATTCAAAGATTGATGTTTTTTCACCATCAGCAAATGGCTTTCAACGGTTTCAACCATGAAAAAAGTAGGATGTAACAAAGAAAATGAGGAAGTTACCATCACAAGTGAGTTTTTTTTCCAAGAAACATAGGGACAATTCACCTCTTAGGATGTCAGGTCTTCATCCTTAAACGGTCCTTCTTCCCAACGGACGGACGTTTTTTCGGCCATGGAATGCCATGGACCTTTTCGGCTTTTTCTACAGGTCATTTCATCGGGAAATAAAAATCACGAAAAGTTCGTAACGTGCATAAAGCAAATAGAAATCCGGCCATTCAATTGAATAAGAACATGTGTATATATATATATTATATGTATATATGTATATATAATATAATATATATATATATATATAATATATATATACCATAATTATATCATATAAATTATATTTATATAATAATTATATATATATTATAGACACAGACATACAACCCCCCAAAAAAGATGCCGAAAAGTGTGTCAGGATGGTACTTCGATGTTTTCGGCCTGTGCTCCTGGGAGTAGGCCCAAATTCACCTGACGGCGCTGAAAGCTACCAGGTGATTCTATGGGATATGCTGGGAGATGTTTGGGGAAAACTAGTCCCCCCATGGTAGCGAAATAAAGCGAAGTTGACGCACAGTGAAAACTTGGTGAAAACAGTTGGGTTGATGAATGGGGGATATAACAAACTAGTATGCAGGGGTTTATACACCAACTTATACGTGGGGGGCCTTTTGTTTCTATGGGAAACATGTGAAAATGTGATAAACAAGACGTACATCTGGATAAATGTTCATCATTCACCAATCTGAATGCATAGATTTGGGGAAATTGTTTCCCCGATCCGTTGCCATCCTCAATTGGCCCATCAATCATTGACATTCTCATGAAGACATTCCCATCTGCGCTGGTGGTATACCTACCCATCTTAAAAATATGAGTCAGTTGGGGTTATTATTCCCAACTGAATGGAAAAATAAAAAATGTTCCAAACCACCAACAAGCCATTCATGTCTCCATTAAGAGTCCTCTTCCCAGTCTATTGGGCACTCCTAGAGTGCCACATTGTCCACAAAGTGAACAGAATGGTGGGTCCAGGATCCATGTACCTTCAGGTCATTGAACAGTTCGCTATTGAAAATCACCATGACCAATGTAAATCATCTATTTCGACTGGGCCATTTTCCAGGATGAGGCCCCAAGATAGCGTTCAGTTGGAAAAAAAATAAAAGTGGCTGAATTTTATGGTTTATGGTAGATTATGATAGATATAACTATAGTTATCAGATAGCTAAGTTGAGATATAAGTGGCTTAACTATGTTTTTTGGTAGATATTAACTATAGTTCACAGAGGTTTATAAACCAACAAACATCATCTTAAGATATCTTAAGTATAGTTTATGCTAGATATAACGAACTAGTTCATGGATATATAAACCAACTAACAGAACTTGGGGGGTTACCATCCTGTAGCCACATCCTCCGTGCGTCCGACCTCTGGGAAACCAACAGAGGCCTTGCCATCAGCGACGCGGTAGTGGCCTCGGATTTTGTTCGCTGGGCTTTTTGTTGGCGGTTTGTTCGGATTTCTAGGTCAAAGAGACCCCAGTTTTGTGGTGATTTAATGGATTTCTAGGTCTCTCTCTTTGAGACCCTAGTGACTTGCGGTGACTTCATGGAATTCCAAAATGGGACTCAAAATTGGATAAAAATGGTGATAAAAATTGAGGCTTCAATGAGAATTGATGACGAGGAGATGGGGATTACCTTCTGGTTTTTTGCAACAGCTTGCCATGAAATTGAGAGATGAACATGGGTGATATCTCATGAAATCCCATGAAATCCAATGATTCTTGGCTGGTGGGCTGGTGAAATCCCATGAAAAGTCGCATTCCTTTTGGATTGGTTCAACCCCATGAAAAGTCCCACGACTATAAACCAATTCTATCCCCACCAGAGGGTAATCAATGGCCATTTTCAATAGCTATGTAACAAATTACCAGAGGGTAAATCACAATGTCCCTCTGCTTATTTAACATAGCTTTGGAAAATCCATGAAAATCCCGGAACTATTCAGAAAGGTTGAGTTAAGTTCGCTGGGAAAATCATTGATCTAAATGAAGCATCTATACCATAACTATGTTAAGGTAACTAGAGAAAATCTCCCCCATCACTAACCTGAAATGTTAGGCCTTTTCAAAAGGGATCATTTCTCTAGGATTGATCCAGGCTTCGGAGTCCCACCAGCAGCAATGTGTCCGGGGCCAGCCGGGCTCACCAGGTGCTTTTCCAGCAAGTTTGTCGCTTGGGGAGACGATGATTTTGTTTCCCCATGTTGATAGTCTATGCCCATGAGTTCACCATTAATCATCATACAATGTGGGGCCCCCCAGTGATGTGAACGTTGGTTTATAAACCCTCATAACTAGTTCGTTATTTGCGTACCATAAACCATAGTTAAATTGGAGTTATGTGCACCAACTTAGCTATCTTGGGGGCCCCACATGTCCATTCAAATTCCCATGGAAAATCCGAATATGTTCACATCCGATGTTCATAGTCCCATCATTTTTTGCCCGTTGAGAGTCCAAGTTTTGTGCTCTTGGGCAGGGTCCGTTGGCCCAAGATATGCGTAGCTTATATCACTTATGGTCACCGACAGAATTTTTTGGAAAAAAATAAAACGTTCAACTTAGACAGGCGGCGCCTGCGTCCGATTTTTCCATAATTGGATTTTTCCCCATAAGGGTTCAAAATATCCCGGAAGTGATCCGAACCTCTTTTTTTTCCATAATTCTTGGAGGTGGCCATTATTTCCATAATTGATTTTTCCTGTGAAATCAGGGGGCTAGGGCAGATCGACCGGATTTTCCATAATTATTTTTTCCATAATTAATGTCTGGGGCTCCACCTGTTGGACATGTCATGGATCCACAATTCAAACCCGTTTTTTTTGGGGGTTATGGAAATATGTATGCAAATGCAAGTATGTAGTATCAACCCAATTGGTGGCTTGGCAAAAGGAAACATCCAGATATTATGTATATCAATGGCAGGCTTTAGGGGCATATACCAGATCTTTAGACACATATTTTCTATAATTCAATATTCCCCCTTAAAATGCATTCAAATTGCGAACATCACATAATATTATGTATATCAATGGAAGACTTAGGGGCATATACCAGATCTTTAAACACATATTTTCTATAATTCAATATTCCCCCTTAAAATGCATTCAAATTGCGAATCGATGGACATACAGTCACCGACAGAATTATGGAAAAAAAATAATTATGGAAACAATAATTATGGAAAAAAAAAGGTTCGTAACTTTTCTATCATAGACAGGCGGCGCCTGTAAATTGAAACGTTTTTTTTTCCATAATTCTGTCGGTGACTGTATACTTATATCCCATGAAATCCCATCATTCTTGGCTGGTTGAAGCCCATTGAGTCCCATGATACGAAATCACCATAGTCTATGAATATTCCCATGAAATCCTCATTCATACGGTGGATGGTTGCGAATTCCTGCACCAGTTGATAGGTGGTAAACATCCCATTATTTTGTTTGGGTTTCAACCATCCTTTTGGTGATGCAGGATTTCTTCTTCCATCCACAGTATCATGGTATACCATCTATCATCATTTACCTGTTAAAGGGGTTTCTTCAAATCCCTCTATTAATCAACCAACCAATGGGAAAAGGACATCTATGAATATCACATTCATAGTCCCATTAAATCCCATGACATCACTATATTTCACCAGATTTTCTTGGAGAAACTCCCATGGATCCAATAAGCCAAACTGGGCATCCCTGGCACGCCAGGCTCACTTCGCAGCCACCACCCAAGGCTGGGCCATTGATGGCAGCCACCGTGGTCTTGGGCGAAGCGTCAATCATGTCCTGCCGGAAATTCCCTGAAATTCCCTTGGAAACTTCACCCGGGATGGCACCGAAGGGTTCAACTGGGAACAAAACCAGTTGAAAAACATCGAAAAACACCGGAAAAACCGAGGAAAAACATGGAACAAACACCCAAAGTCCACTCACAAAGACCTGGAATTCAGCAGCAAATTTCGGATGGCTTGAATCAGCAAACATGCGGATTGCTCAGGAGAAAAACGGTGAGCTCATCCAACAAAAATATGCCAAAGATGAGAACGTGTCTGCGAAACCTGGTATTTAAGCAAAGATGCAGATCAAACCAAAGACATAAGATTCCTGAGACACATGGTGTGTCCGTGCAAATGGGCTTGCACATGCCAAAAAATGTCATGAAATGCAAGGTCGATGAGGGGAAGGGAATTGGGCTGAATTTGGATCAGGGATTGTTCTGCAACCCGATATTCAGGGAATCATCCTATCAGAGGGTCTCCTTCTTTTCCTGGCATAACTTTGGGCTCGCTACTAGCATATCAACCACATATCAGCTAAAAAAGAACCTGATCCATAGTATCCTAATCGCTGTTACCAATATCATATCCTTTTTAATAAATTGTTACCGTGGATGCGGTATTCGCCACTTGCAATTCTAGCTAATCATCCTCAACAGACAGTTGCATACATGACAGCAGGACCAGCAGGACATCTCAACATGACGTTCCACCACAGTGCAGTACACTACAGTACACTACATTACATTAAATCACATGAAATATCACGAACTTGCATGAAAATACGTGTGTTTAATGATGATATCTTAATATATACATGCATAATCATGCATACATGAAGAAATGCCAATTTTCGAGGTGTTCAAACACTCAGTCATTACATTTAATCCTGGTTGTTTAAGAGGATTTCGAGTTCAGAAGAAGTTCATGGCTTATGATAATGGCTTCATAGCTAATCCCCAGCGAAAACTTGAGCCTTCGTTAACTCCCAACTGATCGTCAGCCATCACAACTATCAACTAGATCTGGTTGGTGGTTTTGAGCAAAACCCCTCTGAAAAATGATGGACTGAAAGTCAGTTGGGGTTATTCCCAATATATGAAAAGTCATAAAAGCCATGTTCCAAACCACCAACCAGTGTTTGTTGTTTTATAAAGCACTATAATCCCCATGAAAACTAGTTCGTTATATCTACCATAAACCATAGTTAATTCATCCACATTTCCAGTCACCACCAACCAGATTAATCTTCATATTCTTCGATACATGATTCCATGATGCAGAAAAATCCACAAAAACAGCTCCTTTTCCCATTCAAAAAACAGGGGAAGGGTTGACGCAGCGAAGGCTCATCGCGTTGAAAAATGGAAATTTTGGGTCAAAAAGTCAGACCCTAAAAAAAAAAAAAAGAGGACTTGGTGATGTCTAACCATAGGAAAACCATAGGAAAACCATAGGAAAATGGAGGTTTACCCTCTGGTGAACTAACAGTTTGCGAACTGGAAAATCACCATGCTATTAATAGGTAGATCAACTATTTCTATGGGCCAATTTTCATAGTTATGTTAGTTTACCAGAGGCTAATCATCCACAAGTTTTGCTTTATAATATGGTACTCATTATTATTTTTAATGTTTGGGTACAGAATCAATCGCGCTATAACTATTAGGCTCCGGAATTCTTTTGGGAATTCGTGTTGTTTCCGTTTATTAACCATCCAAAAAAAACTTGGATTTGCTTAAGCGGTCCCTAATCATGGTGGATTTTCCACTGGGTTAACCATCCATTTTTGTTGCTATTGACCATGACATACCAATGTTATGACCATTATTATATCATAACCATCATACCAATAAGGGTTAACCAGTATTCCAATATTATACCTCATACTATTTTTTGTTGTTATTATGGCTATACATCGTTATACCATGTTATACCATATCTGGTTGGTGGTTTTAACCATCTTGAGAAATATGAAAGTCAATGGGAATGAGTATCCCATATATTATTGAAAAATAAAATTCATGTTCCAAACCACCAACCAGATATCTTCATATCAATCTTTGATACACAATTGGTATAATATGGTATACCAGGTATTTCAAATAATTGGTTATACCAGTATTCCAATAAAAAAAATACCAATTAATATAACCATGACATCTCATCATCGTTCGCCTCCCATCTCTGAGGACTCCACCATCATTTCGCTAAGTGCAGCCACTGGGTTATTCTCCTGGCGACTTCGTGAAAACAAAACGGGGATTTCACATGATTTAACAGACAAATTGTGTTTTTTTACATAAACATATGTTTTTACATAAAACAAATACCATTTGTGAAACTAAGAGTTTGCGAACTGGAAAATGGCCGAGTCGAAATAGTTGATTTAACAAACAGATTGTGTTTTTGTTTACTTCAACGGATGTAGAGAACACATAAATCTCAAGAGAGCTTTCACCATCTACACTCAGGTACTAACCAGGAAAAATGTGCGTGTCATGTGAGCAAAAACGGATGGCCAAATCCTCCAAATTGACTTGCTCCGTCGGTTCATAGGAGTCCGAAAGTATGTTATGTTTCCCCATGGGAAGTAAAATTCCCTATATCAAATATGGGAGGATTCTAACATTTTGGGATATAGGGGAATCAATCCTATTTATGCGTTGCTAATCCCCATGTATCAAATATGTTGTCAATGATATCCTCATGTATTTGATGCCAGAAATGATGCTGAAAACCTGGAAAAACGATCAATCAACTGGGGTGCTTGAAACTGAGACATATATCAATGGTAATTTCAGGCCTTAGATGTGGCAGGATATGGTAGGTACCTCCAATCGATCGGTTCCTGAAATGACCATTGAATATATGTCAACTCCCTACCGAACTCAGGAGATGGTTCACACGGCTCACACGGTTCCGGCGGATGATCTACGTGATAACCATGGTTACTGGAGGAAGCCGGCAAGTTGCCCCACGTCTCCAACTGTGGTTATAACCCACTTCCCGTTTGTGCGGTGAACCACCAATCAGCTGATGGAGACTGGATCAAAAAATTAAATCCTTCAGGGCCAAATATCGAAAAACTATTGTACCCACATGATATAATGTGGTTAAAACCATGATAAACCACCCATTTGGGAATGGTTTATACCACCTATTCATGGTGATTATGGTGCTTCACCAGGATCGGACCGCGCACCTTCATCTTTTCAGGACCCATGGCGACCATGATCGCGAACCTGAGCATCCACGAGTCGCTGGACGGAAAAAAACGCTGGGCCCCGGGTTTGGAAAAACCATAGGAAAACCATGGGGTTGGCGGCAGGGGCAACCCTTTTATTATTATTATCATCATTATTGTCATTATTATTATTATTACTATTATTGTTATTATTGTTATTATTATTATTTTATGTATACATATGTACACTATATATATACACTATATATATATATACACTCCACCTCATCCATCTGAAAGCCACCCATGAATTTCATCCAGCTGCCATTTCTGCTGGTATCCTCCACAATTCATTGGTCAAAATGATCCATTTCTGCTGATGGGTCGGGAACCACAAATTCTCATTTCTGGGAAGGTCGAAGCCACCATTTTGTTTGGAGGATTCGATTGAACCATCACAGCTTGATCAACCCAAATATTGTTTGTCCTCCTCCTTGAAAACGTGTTGCCCCACCAATTAAGCCGACATGTTTTCTTAGTTAAGACCTGTTCAAACATGTTCAAACCAATTTTTGCGGCAAAAAATCCCATTGTTTGATGGATTTTGATGGTTAAAGCCACATCTTTTGATGGAAAACTGATGGCGAAGTGCACATTTTCGACATTTTTCCCAGAAATTCCTGTAGTATTGTCCTCCTGGAGTCCTCTTCTTCCGAGCAACTCCGTAATCTCGGCACCACCGCAGAACATGGGGCCTTTTCCGGTGATCACGATGGCCTTCACCTGGAGGACTCGAGGACCCTCCACCATCGAGATGGGGATTCTTTTGGGCCACTGAAAAATCACAGGGTTTACCCTCTGCTAAACTAACAGTTTGCTATGGAAAATCACCATTTTTGATTGGTAAATCCACTATTTCTATGGCCATTTTCAATAGCTTTTTGTTAGTTTACCAGAGGGTAACTGTTCTAACTTTTGGGGGGATAATGTGAAAACGATAATGTCAAAGTTCTTCAAGGCTTCAAAAATGGATGGTTGAAGATTGGTGGCTGAAGGCTTGAAGATTGGTGGTTGAAGGCTTCTTCTTAATGCTAGACTGGTTGGTGGTTTTTCGCCTACCCCTCTGAAAAATCATGGACTGAAAGTCAGTTGGGATGTTGAAATTCCCAACTGAATGGACAGTCATAAAATTCCATGGTTCCAGTCACCACCAACCAGACAGGGTCAAACACTGTACCAGCCTCTAGAGCCATTATGACTTGGGTTTTTTCACTTCCTGCTGGGGATGAAAATCAATGGATGTTCCAGCTAGCCAGGGGTGGATTTCTATAAACCCATCCATGAAAAACTTTATCAACGTAAACCAACCTTTTGAAAAACTGTGTTTTTCTAAAATGGAAATCTTTTGGGGATAAACCATCTATTAACCTTTAACATCTATTAAAACATCCATTTGTGTTTTTCTATGGAAATCTTTTGGGGATAAATTACCTCAGTTGTCCAACTGCTGCAGGAAAGGATTCCCATGGATTCACCAGCCAGAGTGAAAAATGATCGCAACGAAACAAAGCGCCATAGATACATATAATTGGATATAGATACAAACATATATAGATATTTTCCGATATTACATATTACATATTACATATTTATAGATATTCATAGATATCTATAATAGATATTTATAGATACTCATAGTAATATTAGATATTGATAGATATTCAATGATACTCAAAGATGTTTTTTTGGGTGGATTTTCCGATCTTTCCCTCAGAGCCTTGGGATCTTGCACCAACTTTGGAAACTCCTGCGGCAGGGGTTTCACGCGTCGACGCGTGTCGTTGGTGAAGGGTCGGGTAGCTACAGGAGTAGAGTCTGAGTTTTTAGGGGCCATCTTTTGAAGACTTGGGGGGCTAGAAATTCGTGGTCAATCTTTGGCTAGAAATTCATGGTCAATCTTTGGTAATTCTCTGGTAAACGTTTACAGAAAACTATGGAAAATCACCATGCTATCAATGGGAAAATCCACTATAAATGGTGATGTTCAATAGCTATGTAACAAATTACCAGAGGGTAGTTCACGGAAAATTCTCATCTGCCAGTGATGGTGATCTTCCATTTGAAATTTATAGCAAAAACCTAAGGATTAAACGTATACCGTAGACCCATCCAAGGTTGGGGCTAGAAACCCTGGTTTCCTGGAACAAAATAAACTTGCATCAATCTGTTCATAGTCACCATGGCCACAGTTCCATATGTTCCATTGCAGTTTAAGACTCTGGTTTTTCGCTCCACATCACCCTGTTTGTTTCTTGACTTCATAACCCCTCTTTTTCTGCAGGTCATAAATCCATTTCTGTTGATTCCAAACCATACTTCTCCGGTAACCGTTTCCTCAACATTTCAAAGCTTCCAAATGCTGCATCTTTCGTAGCTTCTGCAGCTTCTGCCAGTTTTTCATCCATTTTCCAGCCATTTTCCAGCCATTTTCCCCACTTTTCCCAATCCATTGGGGCTCCACGTCCCCACGTCCCACGTCCTGTTTCATGGAGGTCACTAGCTCCGTTCCCAGAGAATTCACTGGAGGGGAGTCCATGGTCAAAACTCCCACGCCTCCGCGGCTGTCGCCGCGGCCGCGGCCGATGCCATCGATGGGCCCATCTTACACCCCGATTTCAGGTGATTGACCCAGATTTCGATTTCGTGGTGATGAAAGATTTCAGGTGATGAATCGAATGTGTGAAAATGATGGTGATTTCAGGTGTTTTTTTAATGAGAATTGATGGTGATGAATCATGGTGATTCCCATGGTGTTTTTCGGTGTTCAGATTGGTGGTGAGGCCGTTTGAAAAAAGGACGGGAAACTAGGAAGGATAGTACTGTGATTAAATTCACGAATTATCTATTTAGGAATAACATAAGGAAAATTCAATGAACACAAGTAAGGATAGTACTTTACTAGACATTTATGTGTTATTTAGAATATCGATAACTTGACAGATAATTATGGTACTATGAATAGATTTAAGAATGTTCTGCATCTATTTCTAAGGATAGATATTTCGATTTCAACTATGTGGTAAAAACAAAATAAGGATAGTACTACAGTATTAATGTACTATGAATAATTAATGATGGAAAAAATAGGAAACACATGTATTTAATTATTTAGATGGCAAAATAAGGATAGTCTTTAGAGTGTGTATCTATGCATATAATGAGAATGAATGATCTATTATGCATAATTATATTACTGGATTTAAGAATTACCTGTTGGATAGTACTATTGTGCATAGTAGTGGATAGTACTAGAAATGTATGTACTATTTGGATATATAGATACCTTAAGAGACAATTATGGTACTATTGTAGATTTAAGGTTATCGAATCTATTTAGAACCAAACTATTCTACTTGTTTTTCAAATGGTGGCGTGCAATAGAGGTTGAAAACAATGGATATTAACCACTTTATGTCCACTTAGCAATATCTTGTGATAAATCTGAACGTAACATGTTGCTTTTCGCAACTTGGAGGTTGCATAAATCAGTTGCGAGTGGGTATATTCAACAATTATATGGGCATGCATAATATATGTAATATATATATACACATGCTATCTAGCAGTATTGTACCAATGATCAATAAAACAACCAATGATTATCTCACGCTTCAGTCGGAAAACTTTCAAACGTCGGTGCTTTGGAATATCGCCTTTGAAGGGGCAATCTTAGGATAACAACTTCAAAAACCCGGAGCCGGCACCAGCAAACCATAGATTGAGGAGATAAATTCAACACTATATTGGCATAATTACTATCATATATATATATCAATTTATATCAACTTCAAATATCGTATATTCCGAGCACAATAATATGGAAATGTATAATGACTCACTCTGGGATTGAAGTTGGGGGCTGATGACCTCTGGGCAGGTTCGGCTCCCACGAAGCACGGGTGATTTTTGGATTTGGGGATAGCCCTGTCTCACATGTCTTTCCCAAACAGGTCTTATTACGTTTGCCCAAGAAAAATGATGAAAAATGCTGATTTACTAGGATTTAACTATCATGAGATCGTGAGAAATGACCACCAGAGTGGAATCCGTAGGTGTCCAGTTGGGAGGTCGAGAATGGTAGCATGATTTAGTGCTAGAAATGATCAAAAGATTTGGTTCAACCTGGATCTTACATGGCTTTGTCTGAACATAGGGTACCCCTAAAATCAACTGCTTGATCATCATTTTCCTTGTTAACAATTGCCATTTGGGGAAATCAATCCTTTATCTTCAGAGACACCCAAATCATATATAGTTGGTTGTATATCTCATTATATACTATATATCTATATACCCTCTGGTTGTTTAACGTGGCTACGGAAAATCACTATGTTCAAAAGGTAAATTGTCATAAACCATCTACAAACGATTATAACTGGGCCATTTTCCATAGCTATGTTAAATAACCAGAGGGTAAGTAAATCCCCATTAAATAACCCCCTGTAACGTTGGACCCTCCGGCCATCTGGATACCCTAGACCCGCCGGCCATCGGGACGGACGTTGATGGTCGCAGGCATGATTTCAAACCTGACCGGAGGTTCATTCTGGATCAGAGCCCCACTGGGCCCCTGCAAAATCTGGGTGGTTAGTGGGAATCATCAGAAGAATTGGGATTTAACCATGGTTTAACCCGACAAAAATGGGGAGTTAACGAACAATTCAAATACCCTCTGGTAAACTAACATAGCTATGGAAAATAGCCATATTTATAGTTGATTTACCCATTAAAAATGGTGATTTTCCATAGTTATGTTAGTTTACCAGAGGGTAAGCAACAATTTTGATTTGACCAAGAGAAATGGTGATATCACCAGAATGGATTGGACGTAGCGAAAATTGGCAGATAACCATAGACAACCATGGTGTTCCCATCAAACCTGTACGATGTTCTTGTTCCATTCGACCAATGGGGAATTAGGATAGCACTCTTTTCCAGGGCAGAATTTCCTCGCAATCAGTGCGGGGTCCCATCAAATCACGTCGGCAAACTAACTGACCCCCATTGCAAGCAGCTGGCTAAGAAGGATACCCTCTGGTAATTTAACATAGCTATTGAAAATGGCCATTTATAGTGAGTTTTCCCATTAAAAATGGTGATTTTCCATAGCTATGTTAGTTTACCAGAGGATAGGCATGACCAAATCTCTGCTTATGGGCCACAATATGACAATGTCATGGACACTGGAGGTGCTACACCGGAATTTCTGGGAATGTCCCCAAAAAGCCGACATCTGCTACGAGTTGGGGTTAGCCCAGCCTGGTTTTGCTGTTCAAAGCAACAGAAAGCCACCACGTTTCACCCCATGGATTTGGATTAACCACTTCATTTTGCAGCTGAGGCCGTGACAATGCAATAAAACAGTTGGAAGGTAGGACACAACATCAACCACAACTTACCCTCTGGTAAACTAACATAACTATGGAAAATCACCACTTTTAATGGGAAAATCCACTATAAATGGCCATGTTCAATAGCTATGTTAAATTACCACAACCCAAACTCCACATCTCGCCCAAAACATCCCAAAACCCAGGGCCGCGGCTTGAGCGGAACGAGATCTCGGCTGTTTGGGCTTTGAAGCTAAATGCTGCCAAGCTGTAGGACTCAACATGGTTGGAATGTCCCCAGGAAATCCATCTAGTCAACATATGCTGGGAGGTGGTATACCAACCTACCCCTCTGAAAAATGATGGACTTCGTCAGTTGGGATGATGAATATATATATATACGGAAAAGGTGGTTTTAACCATCTTGAAAAATATCAAAGTCAATGGGAAGGATTATCCCATATATTATGGAAAAATGAAAAAAATCCAAACCACCAATCAGGTAAATGAAGCCAAAGCAATTTCCATGGCCATGTTTCCTTCAGGCAAAAGCCAAAGGGAGAGGATGGACCCTGCTCTCTGCTTAGTGGTTGCCAAATCGAAGAATGCTGGGTGTCTCTAATGCGTTTGGAAATAACTGGAATCATCATACGTTCAAGAAAATTCTTGGAATGTGGTTCCTGTGCCTTTCCACTGGGTATGATACTTTGAAATCCACATCAGTGTAGCCTCCATACCAAGCTCCCCAAGCTTTGGTGGCACTGGAACCCCTGAGGTCCGTCTTTCACCATCATCATCCCTCCTTTTGTGTCACAATTTAGTCGCGAACACATGGCATCCGCCAATGTTTCTGAACCTTTGGGGACCCCAAAGCCAAGACTTGATATCTACATGTTTAATTTTAAAAAAAAAATCCCATTGCGTGTCCCCAAAGTCTTAGACTCAATAGATCCCAGATGCAGTTGCAGCTGGACGACTGCGATTTCGCACCCGGTATTGTGCTACAGAGAAGCTTGGTAGCCCGAAAAGTGATGAATGGCAGCCTAAAAGTGGAACCCAAGAAGTTAGACAACCCGATGGTTGATCACTTCTCCGCCGAAGTTGAGTCTATGTTGATTATACATAAGTGTACAACTATATACAACTATTATATACAACTTATAACTTATAACTTATAACTTAACTAAATTTGAAACGTATGCTCTAGTCACACCTCAAAAACTTGACGGCTGCGTGTGACGGTGACCTTGACGGTGAGTTTGACGGATCCGTGTTTCATGACGGTGAGTTTGACGGAAAGGTCGACGGTGAAGTTGACGGTCCGTCAAAGTGTCCGTCAAGGTGTCCGTCACGACAAAATAAGACTTATTTTAATGAAATACGGCTTATTTCGTCGCCCTCTCCGTCAACCTCACCGTCACAAAAAGAGAACCCGTCAACATCACCGTCGATCTCTCCGTCAACCTAACCGTCAAGCATCCCACATGCACCACTAGAACCTCAAATTCATACGTTTTAAATTTAGATAACTTATAACTATATTGTTTCTCGTATATGTAGAACAATTAACACAGTAGATCTGTGTACATTTGCCATCCATTGACTATGTACATTGTCCATGTGTACACATACATGTGCAGTGTATGTACTCAAAGACATGTGAGAGATGTGAGCCAAAAGCATTCAGCATGGCTCCCAGTATTTTCAGCATCTGAAAGTTTCTCTATGTCCATCTTCAAAATTTCATCACTGGCCGGGCCAGCCACCCCTTCACTGCGCACACAAAATAGAAACAAAACTATAGATCAATGAAAATCCGTCGCGCTCACTTGTTCTCCAACGTCGCAAGGAGCAGCGGAAGAGGCAGACAGGAGCATCGGCATCGTTCCTGGCACACGCCCAGTTGATGGTGCATCTTAACCCTTGCAGAGAAACCTGGGCGTTCTGGAATTTGCCCTCAAGGAACGCCTATGCATGCCTATGTATAGGGTCAAGTTTTGGATGTGCAAGAATGCAAAAATGGCATGTCAGTTTGTGTGAATCTGCTTTGAAATCAAATCTAATTCTGGGAGCAAATCCGTTTCCCAACAGCAGAAGGCTTCTGGCTGGGTTTCCCGAACTGCCGTTCCTGCTGTCAGCCTCGCCAGCGATGTCAAATGCATCCAGCTCATGCAACACCAAGCAGCCAGCGAGCATGTGAGCTACAGCTATGTGTATATATATATATACTACATATATATATACATATATATATATGTATAGAGAGAGAGAGAGTTTCATCCTGGAGTGGATAATCAAGAAACTTTCAAAAAAACACGACTAACATGAGAATGTGATGTTCTGAACAAAACCGTGTTACAGTGTTCTGTCTACTTCAGGACCTTCAGGATGATTTTATATACATGTATACATGTATACATGTATGTATGTATGTATGTATGTATGTATGTATGTATGTATGTATGTATGTATGTATGTATGTATGTATGTATGTATGTATGTATGTATGTATGTATGTATGTATGTATGTATGTATGTATGTATGTATGTATGTATGTATGTATGTATGTATGTATGTATGTATGTATGTATGTATGTATGTATGTATGTATGTATGTATGTATGTATGTATGTATGTATGTATGTATGTATGTATGTATGTATGTATGTATGTATGTATGTATGTATGTATGTATGTATGTATACAAAGTATACAAAGTATACAAAGTATACAAAGTATGTATACAAAGTATACAAAGTATACAAAGTATACAAAGTATGTATACAAAGTATACAAAGTATACAAAGTATGTATACAAAGTATACAAAGTATACAAAGTATGTATACAAAATACAAAGTATACAAAGTATGTATACAAAGTATACAAAGTATACAAAGTATACAAAGTATACAAAGTATACAAAGTATACAAAGTATACAAAGTATACAAAGTATACAAAGTATACAAAGTATACAAAGTATACAAAGTATACAAAGTATACAAAGTATACAAAGTATACAAAGTATACCACAAAGTACAAATCAGATGGCGTGTAAATCTATACCTTTGCAAGGTCCATATATTTGGATGTTGCCGAAACTAGGGGCACCCCAAACCATTGTTCATATTGTTTCTGGTAAGAATGGCCAAAACCCATTTCCATACAAAAATGACCCATTTTGGATGATTTTGGGGGATGCTCATCCTACCTATCGCCCTATGCCGAAGCAGCGAAGACACGCACGCAAAAGCGCCTCAACGTCCGTTAACCTCAATAGCGTGGAAGATTTCCGCACCTCGAGAATCGAAACCCACCCCAGCCAATAGTCTTCAGGCTCTACAGAGGGTGTGTATATATATATATGTACCCGTATACATAACTCATTCGAGTAACTAGATGCGTATAGTATAGTGTCAAAGGGGCATAATCGTCATGACCTTTTACACCCATTCTTTTGAGGTGGCATCGCCAGGGCAAAGGGTTGAATATCTGCCCTAAAAACCAGGGTTGATGATGGCTCCTAGCTACGCTTCCTGACTTTCCGCATGCCAATGTGCGCATCATTTCCGTCTGCCGAGTTTTTTATGGTACCATGCCAATTTAGATCTAATTTAGTTTCATGCATGACTGTTTCTTTAGTAGAGGTCGCCAAAAGACTTACATTTTTTTACAGGTACTTCATCGTCGTCGTCGTCGTCATCATCATCATCATCATCATCATCGTCATCATCGTCATCATCGTTATCATTGTCATCATCGTCATCATTGTCATCATCGTCATCATTGTCATCATCGTCATCATCGTCACAAACAGTAGGGATTCACTTTCCTATATGTGTCTACAAAATGTTAATTACGGATTGAGTAAGACCAAATAGTGACAATGTGCTACTAAACTAATCAACCAAACTAATCATTCAATCTCATCAAGCATCGTTTGTCAGTTTTATTTATCCACAAAACGATCCCCATATTCTGATGATTCAAACATATCCACATAACCCTACTGTGGATGGGCCAGTGAAATCCTGCACCACCAACAGGATGGTTGAAACCCTATAAATAAATATAAATAATGGGATGTTTACCACCTATCAACTGCAGGATTTCGCAACCACCGTATCTCTAGAACCCCTATCAACTATAGTTATATTTACCAGAAACCATAGAATTCAGCCCTTTTTTTCTCAACTGAACGCGGCAACCAACGGAGACCCCATCTTGTAGTTACAAGTTGCCTTATAACCCCACCTAAATATAATTAAAAGATATTATAAGTATCATACACTAGTGTTCTTATTTTTTGTTATGTTCACCAACTGAACGCTAAACCACTTTAGTATATAACTCTTGTATTATAACTAAGTTGGTGAGTTGTTGGTTGTATTACCATCTGGTTATGACATTGCCAGTTCGCCATTTGTCAAGATCCACCATGTTTAAGAACGGTAAACCATCTATTTCTATGGGTCATTTCCCACTTGGTGGCTCATCCCACGAATCGTAAGTGGCTCATAACCCCAGTGATTTACATGGGATTTCTGTAGGGTTAATCCACTTATTTTCTTGGGGAACTAACCCACTTACTACACTCTGGTAAACTAACATAGCTATGGAAAATGGCCATTCATAGTGAGTTTTCCCATTAAAAATGGTGGTTTTCCATATGGATAAGTGGGATGAGCCACCAAGCATGGCCCCAACCAGGGCAGATTCTTCGGCCGTTGCGAGCAACGCCTTAAAGCTTGGAGAAGGGTCCAGGACCCGGTGAGCCTCGGATGGATGTCTTCGCGGGACGCAGACAGTTTGTTTGGTATCTGTATATATCTATATAAGTTATAACTACTTATGTACATGTATGCATGTTAAATATTATATATATTATATATTATATATTATATATTATATATTATATATTATATATTATATATTATATATTATATATTATATATTTATATAATTATATAATTATATAATATATATTTATATATTATATATATATTTATATAATATGTATATCATATTACATATTTATATTATGTTACATATTTATATTATATTATATATTTATATTATATTATATATTTATATTATATTATATATTTATATTATACTATATATTTATATTATATTATTTATCTATATTATATTATATATTAGATATATGTATGTATTTGTGTGTAAATTTATTGTTATGTGTATATATATATACATATATGTCTAAAAGACATTTCTACATTGATGTTTTTTAGGGCATGAGTGTTTTTGTTGGCTAAACATGGCTAAGAATTGGTCTCCGTTTGTCATCATCCATGGTCCATGTCTGTGGATAAATGGTTTGGTGTTAAGGTAAAAATCCTATGGCCGGCCTAAAAAAAAATATAGGGGCGATATAAAACAAAACATGGATCGGAACTAACCTGCTTCGATTCTCAGCATTTTGGATTCTTATCGATCCAAAAATCTCTAGCGCTCCAGTGTTCACATTCTCAAATCTGAAGATATCTGATATGGCCATGTTTGATTATCTCAAGTAACCGTTAACCTTCTCTGCATTTTCAAGGAAAAATGATAGCATTCTACAACGCGTTGGTGTTTTCAACATGTTTCAACCCTGCTGGGAAAACAAAAAATGCACATGCCTTTCTGATCTCGTCACATGGAAAATAAACAACCTGAAAGCACCAAGCACTTAACGAAAAATTCATCACTGGTGTAGTTTGGGAGATAATTTTCTGGAAAACCGTGGTTTTGACCCCCAAATAATCAGGTACAAAGCTGGAAAACATCACAATGACCCCAAGTTTCCGTGATCCTCCAAGTTGTGGTTGGTTTAACTTACAATTCACCATGAAAGTTATGATAGCACTGGGAGGATCGCAGAATCGTAAGTGGTTTCAGTCATCATCTCAGTGAAGGGAGAAGCCAATTTCAGCATCATCCCACAGTAGTATTCAATAGCTGGATGGTTTTTTTTATAGTACTATCCATTTAATATGAATATTCAATAGCTATTCAATAGTATTGAATCAATATTCAATAGTCGAATAATATGGAAAATCCGCCTAAAAATATGGATTCAGCTTTGAATTTAATCCATCCTACTATGAAACTCCTACTAATAGCTGGATGAGTTGGGGGTAATACTGATGTTGGGGATATCTTCTGGATGATTTCCATTACAAATGTAAATTACTCAAATATATGTTTAATGGATGGAATATGATGGAATAGCATTATAGATATTCTCAATAATTCTTAACCCATGTGAATGAACATGTTTCCAATCATTATACAATGATTAACCCATTGAGAATTAACCCATTATAGATATTCTCAATAATTCACATATATAACATGGAATACCATATATTTCCATTATAAATGTGAACCAATCGCTGGCTGGGCCCCCGGACTCTTCCGGAAGTCCTTCAGCACCACATCGATGACCGTCTGTCCTGGGAAGACCTGCGCAGGCGGTGATGCGGAAGAGCTCGAAACTGTCCCAGGGACGTTGTAATCATAGTGGGTTTATAGCCGTTTATAGCTGGTTTATAGTGGTTTATAGCTGGTTTATAGCCGTTTATAGCTGGTTTATAGTGGTTTATAGTGGTTTATAGTTGGTTTATAGTGGTTTATAATCGGTCTATAGTAACCTGTCTATAGTAATCTGTCTATAGCGGTTTATAATCGGTCTATAGTGGTATATAGTGGTTTATTTCACCATCAAAAGAAATGTGTAGTGCAAATTGTCCCTTTATCTTCTGGGAAAAAAAAGACCCTTAGGGGAAAACTCTGAAATGATTTAAGGATGTCACCGGAAAGAATCACCACATCATGTTGATCTTTACCCATGGTGAAGTTAATTGGGGCAAGCGCCCCTCTAGTCAACCAGTGGCAGCCGAGAAACTTGGAGAAACACATAAAAAAAGAAGGATGTCCAACTGTGCTGAATTGATGATAATTTCCCTCTGGGAATTTAACATAGCTATGGCAAAAGACAACCTTTAAGAGGTGAATCCCGTAAATTCTCTATAAATGGTCAATTTTCCATGGCTATGTTTAGTAAGTGGAGGGAAATAAGGCTGGGTCTGGCAACGATCATCTGAGAATCATCAGGATTTAAACAAGCAGTAGTGAGGCCTACCTGTCAACACTTTCCTAACATTCGCGGCGGCTTTGAGGAGATCCGATGAATGGCCGTCCACGATGTGGTATATTTAGAGGTGATGAATGCTGAGTTCTCTCAGCTTTAGGACAGTGAAAACACCTCAATCATTCCTCAAAGAACTGAGGGCTTTTCTTCACATCCCCCATATAAACCAGACACCCCCATTCTATGGTCCCAGTCATATGTGATTCCATCCCCTATTACTCATCAGACCACTCCAAATCTTTCGTCATCCGATCTTCATCCAGCACCCTGGCATCTTTTCAACGCAAGCGAAGAACCTCCTTTGGGTTCCTATGGGGTGAAACTTAACTAGGGCTGTGGAATGAGAATCTGAAATGGACAACTCCATTTGAATGCAAAAACAACAAAACAACATGTGAATTCAGATGGAGTTCAACCAATCACCAACAATAATATGAATGTGTTGCAATCGACCCTAAAAGCTGGCGTTCTTGAAACAGTTTCCATTTCTTGACACCTCAATCTGCCGAAGAAGCTTCAAAAAACCTACAGCTTTCCGAAATGGTGGTTTCAAATGTTCAACAAGAGTAATTAGTCTCCATATCCATCAATCCATCATAGAAATTATATAAAATCCATCAATCCATCATAAAAATAATATAAAATCATGCCATATAGCTCCATATCCATCATACAAATGATGCTATCTTGGCAAATTTGAAGCCACCAACACTAAAACCCTGTGCCGAACCATCGAACCATCAGCAGGAGATCACCGAAAGCAGCTTGAACTTGGGGCCATCCACCTTGCTGTGGCACGGTGGGCCCTAAAAACACACCGAAAATCACAGGGCCTAAACAAGCAAACAGGGGAAGAAATGGTGGATTAAATTGGGATTATTGAATATGAATGATCTTGGTGCCTCAAACTTTTGCTAAGTTGGTTTATAACTGTGTTAACATGTGTTAACTATGTTAACGTTTGGGCTTATGGTGATTATATATAAATATATATATATATGATTATGATTATATGACTACGTATAGTTCATAGGGCTTTATAAATCACCGTGAATAAGTGTGGAGGACCACATCGTTGTCCTTAAATATTCCAGGTGAAATGTCAGAGAAAAATATGGAAAGTATGAATCATCTGCGATGATTCAGTACGGCCTTTTCAGAAGGGTTAGGCTACTGTACGTGCCCGACTTACAAACCCATTTGTACCTTTGATGTTCATTGAAAACCCATTTACCCTCTGGTAATTTAACAGTTCGTTATGGGGAAATCACCATCTTTGATAGGTAAATCAACTATTTCTATGTGCCATGGCTTCTATGTCGCAAACTGTAAACGTTTACCAGAGGCTACATCGACACGGCTAGTGGCTGTACGTCGAACCGTCCATGACACCATTCCACCATCGTGTTGCATCTCGTTTTTGGGTTGCTTTCACCCCATGTTGGTCACAAAAATATCCACTTTAGTGCTGCTGAAACCTCTCAAATTATGGAATTATCAGCTATGTAATATCCCCGTGGCTAATCATGCATACACTGTGTAAGGGTCAACGTCTCGTCCACATACCTTAGCTATTAGTATATTAGTAACCCCGTAGTTGCTACTAGCCATTAGTAGGTACCAGGTGTTGCCATTATCCAACCAAAGTTACTAGTAATTATGATGATTAATCATCGTTACCATAGTTCCTACTAATCAATCATAATAGCAAGTTACTACCAATAATGCCATAACCCTTATCCCATCAAATAATAGTTGTTAGCTATTAGGCTATTAGCAAATAACATTCGCTATTAGTAACCTTAACATTGGCTGGTAGCAACCTTGGCTATGACCATTATTATCCCACCAGTCATCTCTCAATTCTTCCCACCAAATCGTACTAGTAACCTTAGCTATTAATAACCCATTATGAACCCTCTGGTAATTTAACATAGCTATTGAAAATCACCATGCTATTAATGGGAAAATCCACTATTAATGGTCATTTTCAATAGCTACGTTAAATTACCAGAGGGTATGTAGTTGCTACTACTCATTCGTCAGATTCGGTTTACAGCTACGAATCTAACCCACCAGTCGTCTCTCCAGTCATCTCCCAATTCTTCCCACCAGTCATCTCGTGAAGTTAGTGATATGGGTATTAACCTCTGGTTATGTCAAAATAGCTATTGAAAATTGCCATAGAAATAGTGGATTTACCCATTGATAGCATGGTGATTTTCCATAGTTTTTTGTATGTTGACCAGAGGGTACATGGTATGACTATATGACTGGGGGAATAAAATTTCCATAAGCCATGACTATATGATGTACTTTGATGTACCAGGATCTTGACTCATAGCCATATGGCTTCCCCTCTGGTAAACGTTTACACTTTGCGAAAATCACCATGCTATTCATAGGTAAATCATTCAGAAATGCTCCATTTTCCAGTTCGCAAACTGTTACTTCGTTTACCAGGCCGGGTAAAGCCAAAATTGCTTCTGATTCCCCGAATCCGAATCCGATCATGCCGACGGGTTTGGCGACGGACATGAGGTCATGAATGTTTTCCAGATCTATCAGGAATCACCATTAGACCACCATAGTAAGTACCCATTTTTAATCACCATTCGACAATGAAATCACCATTACCATCTATCCCACATGTTTCCCTTACATAATATATAGATATATAGCCATAATTACCATTTAATTACTGTATAATATGATTACCATACGTTACCACTAATTACCATATCATTCAGCCATCAGATATATAGAATTTACCCCGTTTATAAGTGATCGTAAACTACTATTAATCACTATTACTATTACCAACTGGTTCCCATTAAAGCACCATTCAATCATCCTGACCATCTGCTTCCCATGTGTTGTCCATATAATATAATATGTATATAATATATATATATATACATAGTATATCACCATCACCATTACTTAAATCACCAGTATCATATATATATATACATAATTCAGCCAGTTCCAAGTTCATCCAAGTTAAGTATAATTATGTTCCCATATGTTACCACATAATTACTATTACCATGATCATTACTATTGTCATATTACCATAGAATTACCACAGATATATACATATATATACATATGATCATATTCTATATTCCCCCTTAAAATGCATTCAAATTGCGAATCGATGGACATACAGTCACCGACAGAATTATGGAAAAAACACAAATTATGGAAACAATAATTATGGAAGAAAAAAAAAGGTTCGTAACTTTCCTATCATAGACAGGCGGCACCTGTAAATTGAAACGTTTTTTTTCCATAATTCTGTCGGTTCCTGTAATTCTATGGCTATTATCATAGAACAACCATTGTCATATTATTATTGTCATCCACAGAATTACCAGTTTCATCATAGTTCATCATAATCCATCCAGATGTATAGAATTGATCCAGAACTTTAATTCATAGAATTACCACAGAATTACCATTATAATTACAAGTTCTATAGATGGAAAAAGGTCTGATAGTATAACCCCAAGGCAACTTCCGCCCCGCCTCGTGCGGGTACTACTGGTACCATAGAATTACCAGTTCCAGTTCTTCCAAGTTCATCCAAGTTCAAGTATAGTTGTATTACGAAATATATTACTATTACTCTTACTCTTACTATTACTCTGACTATTACTACTGTATTACTATTACTATTACTGTTACTATTACTATTACTCTTACTACTGTATTACTATTACTGTTACTATTACTATTACTATTACTATGGAATTACCATCATAATTCATCCAGTTCTTCCAAGTCACCAGCCTCAGCGCCACCATCGCCTCGCTCTTGCCCATCGCCTCGGCCGCCGACACGTTGGACGTCTCCTTCACGGCGAAGGTGGCGCCCACCTCAACGGCGACCAAAAAAGGGGGAGCCACGGGGAAGGCCCAAAAAAAGGAGTTTCACCGGACCGTTTTCCTAGAAAAACATAGCCTCTGGTAAATTAACATAGACCCTGGCAGATAGGGGTTGGAAATGGTTGGAAGACTAGTTTCCATTAAAAAATGGGTGATTTTCAGGGTCTATGTTTATTTACCAGAGGGTAGAACATATACGAAATCATCCGATTTCACCAGATATGATCGTAATTTTATGCAATCGACCTCGAAAAATTGGGAGTCAATTGAAGTCAATTTGTCTTTTCTGCTGACAAAAACGCGAGATAAATAATGCTTTACCAACAAATTGGGAGGCAAAAAGATTGCAAAATGTTGGGGTGTTAACCTACAAGTATTGATGCGTGAAATTGTTGAAAACTATCGACAGTACATGTTGTAGCCAACAATAATCAGGGCCTATAACCTACCTGTGAAAGGTTACCACTTCTTTCCGACCCAAAAAGTGCTTTCTGTGAAGATGATGATATATATATATATATTATATTACATATATTAGAATCATGGGGTATTGCCTGCACAGTTTTATGGCGGAAAACGATGATCAGCCATCAACTTTTGGGGGTGTTCCGCCAGACAAGCCCATCAGGTGTCCAGCAGTTGAAAACTCCACCAGGAAACAGGACTGGAACCTTGTAAATTCAACTTACCATACGTATACATATAGAGTACGAACATCTATCATTTGGATTCATTTGGATATACATGTATATTTCATTTTATTAAATGTTACATCGTTACATGTATAAAGCATGTGTGTGTGCCAGCTATGTGTGACATGCGTGTATCATGTTCAGAAACATATTGACATCGTTGTATATGTATATCATTGGAATATGACAACAATTTCATCAACAATATTGGTAAGATATGTATACCAAATATCATTGGAATATATATACGAAATATCATTGGAGCCTTCATCAACAATTTCATGACATTGCACTATAATGACCAGAAAAACATCTTTGGCAACAACAAAAAAACATCAAAATTCAGGACAGTTGGCCAAAACTTCATGATTTTCCAGCCATATTTGATTGCTAGCTCTAGGATTTAAGATAAACATATGTGTGTTAATGATATGTCCGATTTTGTTGGCTGAATCCAAAGTGTTGCTGGTTCAATCACTATGTTTGGCAGTTGAACCCCACTTTCCATTCCAATTTTTCAGAGTTAAGCCAGTTAACCCCTTTACCCCCAACTGTTTGATGGCCATGTTTGATTACCAAAGGATAAACCCGCAGTTTTGATGATCTCCCCACAAAATTCTTGCTTAAATCCCTATGTGTGTCGGTCAGTTAGCAACTCTTGATGGTTTAATTCCCAGTTTTTCACAGTCAAACACCATAAATGGCACACATTTTTTTGCAGTGTTGTTCAATGTTCATGGTCAACGCATGTTTTTTTGCACTATTCGAACCAGTGAGATCCATATATGTTTCCCGGTATGATCCCCATATCTTCACACTTCACCTCATTTGTTTCACCATTAAACATGGGTCATTAAATGTCCCCATTGAACATCACCCAACCATTAGGTATATGGTCTATAATGGCTACTATAAGGTGTTGTCCAATATTCCCAAAATGGGACAGTTACCAACCCCTGTTAAACCTCATGTTTCATAGTTCAAACAACTTCATCTCTGTATTTCCTGGTTTAGAATTCCCAGTGTCTTACTGGTGCGTTTTACATAGGGTTGCTGGATGGGTTGCTGGGGGTTGCTGGGATGATTATTCATAGTTGGCCAGTGGATCATTCCCGAAAATTCCCTGCGTTTAGCACCAGGAAGTTATACTCCCATGGTACACTTAATGTTGACCTACGATTTATCAAACTACCCTGAATAGTGCTAACCAAACTCCCAAACTAAATAATAAAACTACCCTGGACCCTGAGTAAGGTGACATTCGGTGACATCAACATTTTTTCCCGGGTGAAAACCCATGATTTGCCAACGCTTCCAAGGTGCTGTGATGGAGACCCTGGGGGGCCATAAGCCAGGCAGCTTCCAAACCTCGCTGCCGCTCCCAGAAAAATAGAAGATTCACCAGTAAAATGGAAGATTTACCGGGAAAATGTGAGATTCCACCAGGAAAAAATTGGGATTTCAAGAAAATGTTGAGATTCCACCAGGAAAAAATTGGGATTTCACCAAGAAAATGTGAGATTCCACCAGGAAAATGGAAGATTTACCAGGAAAATGTGAGATTCCATCAGGAAAAATTGGGATTTCGCCAAGAAAATGTGAGATTCCACCAGGAAAAATTGGGCTTTCACCAAGAACAACTAGGATTTATAAGATTTGGATGGTGGAATCTCCTTTTAGGAAACCCCCTCAATGTGTTGACCTTACAAGCTGAGCCATCCAGGCATAAGTTGGTTTAAAGACCCAGATAGGGGTTGAAAGATTAGGTGATGTTCAGGGTCAACAAGTTAATTTACCAGAGGGTATACTATAAGCCCAAGTTGTTGGAGTTATGTTCACCAACTTGGCTAACTTAAATGGGGGTCCCACCTTGTAAAGCCCTTGGCCCTTGGCAAGTTCTCCCAAACTTCGCCGCCAGGTTGCCCGTTTGCCACTGCCTTGTCCTCCCAGCTGCTTGCAATGCCAGACGTAGGGCGAGTGGATCGTCACTTCGGCCGTGCCAAGGTGTTCGTAGCTGCGGAGGTATTGCAGTGCCAACTTGGGCTTGCCACCTGGGTCAACCCTCAAGGTGATCCCCTCATCCTGGGTGGTCATGAACAAAAAAGTGCTCCAAGGTATACCTGGATTCCAAGTTGACCGAAATCAAAGGTGGGTATAGTTTTTGTAATACCTCCCACATGGTTTTTTGAGGAATTGGGATTCAGCCGACAAAGATCAACAGTATCAAAACTATGCCAAATTATGCCTCAACATGGCTGTCAAACTCCAGGGTGAGATTATCAGATTGGCCATTTATCGAAACACCATTCTCGACACAAAAAAACATGGTGAATTGATGTGATGTTTTGCGTTTTTGAGAACAAACATCTTCGATCATCTTCGTATACTCTCACAAAAAAAAGGACCAAAAAGGCTTGTTTGAGCTGACACCGGGGGGTCCTTTCAGGGTTCGCCAATCACCATGAAACTCCAACAAAGGGATGCTGGAAAAATTTGCTGTTGACCTGGGTATGCATCAAAATTTAACACCCATGACACCCATAGATTTTGGGAAGTTGGAGTAGAGTAATTTATTCAAAATCGAGTTGTAATTTCTTGAATAAAACTATTTTATGTACATTTATTCACGAAATTACAGTTTTGCAGTCGTACATTGGGGGTGCTCAATGACTTGACCAATACTCAACTGTTGCTGTAAGGCACTGAAGCTGACGTTGAAGAACAAGGTGTCATTCTTCTCTGTCACGATCCATCCTGCGGCCAGCAAGGGTAGACTACGTGGCAATCGGGAATTCCCGAACTAATCAATGGAGGTTTAGATGGGAAAATCATCTATCAATGGTGAATCCTCTATTGCCATGTTTGATTACTGGAGGGTGATATATATAATTATATATATATATATGTATATATATATATATATATACATACACAATTAAACCCATGTTGTACCAATGCAGAATGCCGTGCCAGATTTGTGTGCCCGAAGTCCCACGTTCGGACCCGTTCGGACCCGTTCAGCCGTCATCCATCCAGTCGTCCTGACCATGACGACTACAGGACGGTGCCCCCATCTAAATGTTAGTTGGTTTATAACCCCGTCGAAATATCGCTATTTGCGTATCTATACAATGTGGGGCCCCCTGGATAGCTAAGTTGGTTTATAACTCCAATAACTATGGTTTATGGTACTTATAACTATAGTTATGGGGGTTTATAAACCAACTTATAACTGGGGGCCCCACATTGTAAGTATCATACACCAACTTGTCACTTGTCATAGTTCACCAACTGAACGCTCGCTAGCTGGGCCCCATCCTTTTTTGGATTGGCGGAGCCTGGTTTGTTCCTGCGATCTTCGAACAGGCGCCACTGACCACCCGGACTTTGCAACGGCGTATGGCCTGCCAGGGCCCCCTGTTGGTTGGATCGCGTTCAGTGGCTGAATTCGATGATTTAACGATGGTTTATGCTATAGCGAACTAGCTCATGGGACGTTTTTGAACCAACTTGTTTTCTTGGGGGGGCCCATTCCGTAGCAACCATGGCATAAAGCATTGCCAATCTTAGATACCTTGCGAAAAATGACAAATTCTTTGCTGGTGAACGTAGATATTCCCATTGATACCAAAAGACTAGTTAGGATTAAAGTATCCTCTGGTAAACTAACATAACTATGGAAAATCACCATTTTCAATGGGTAAATTAGCTATTTCTATGGCCATTTTCAATAGCTATATTAAATTACCAGAGGGTACTCATCTAAGATTGACCTAGAAAGGAGGTGTAAAATAAGATGTCAGTGGATGTTCCATCTATGTCCGATTGCCCCTCCGGTGTTATCGATGGATTGCACCGGTAACCTGCCATGGGAACCTTCGATGATTGTCCCAGCCATAAACACCCAGCAAAAAGCCACGTTTGATTGCGAGAGAACAAGAGAGATAGCCACTAATGATAGGATCAAGCATGACTGGGATATAATGGAATATCAATGGGATATATATATATATATATAATATCATATAATAGATATAAACATGACTACCTGGGAAATCCCACACTAAACGGCTATTTAAATGGAAATCCATTGCCACGTTTAATTACCAGAGGCTAGGAACAAAGCGAAGAGGCGTTTCAATCGTTTTGGGTGGTGCCTGTAAGCAGTTTATACGTAGGGTTTGTTTGGGTTCTATCATGGTGTATCCACTGTATCATGATAGATAACCATAAATAATGGAACCATACATAATTAACCCAAACATGCATTAATAGTGGGTAATAGTGGATAATGGATATCCATATTCCATATAGGTGTATAATCATAATATCCACTGTATCCACTTCATGTGGCACCGTGATTATCCACTCTCTAACTCTAGCTGGGATGCACTGCTTCAGGACATGGGCATCGAGAAAATGCGGAGCTGGTAACATGGGAAACATGAGCAACAACAAACTGATGAAACTGGTAAAGTAGTGGTATATAATACTTGTAGCCATAGCAACAGTAATCATAGTACTAATGATAATTACTAGAAATATAGTTAGTTATATAATCATCATCATCATCATCATCATCATCATCATCCGACTGTGCGGATGACAACAAAAACACGTTTTTCCAAAAACACCAAGTCACTCTCGGGATTTCTCGCCAGATGTGTAGTCAGGGGAAAGAGACACAGTTCCGCATTGTATTCGATATTCCTCGATGCCCGCAGCTGAGACTCCCAAACTTTGGGACAGAAAGTCTGGACACTTCGAGGTGGTCAGCTTAAACCAGGCTGTTGCTGGGCAAAAATGTACAGTTTAAAAGGCTGCAAGCAGCATGAATCCAGCAAAAGGAATCAAACCTACCCTTCAACATTACAATTCATCCAAAGTTTTCAAGTTCGAAACTGAGAAGATAAAATAGCAGAGAACAATACCCTTCGGTGTCATCAAACATGGCTAGCTGCGACATCCCTGAACTAAATGGAGGCCTTTAAATAGAATCAAAAGAAAATCCAGCAAACCATGTTTGACTACCAAAGGGTAAGGGCAATACGACCAACTCAAACTGGGTGTAGAAGTGTGTCCGCAACATCCAAGATGGGACTGCATGTATCATGGTTCCGAGATATTTGTTCGTGGTATATCCAGTCCTAAACATGGGAATTCCATTTTTGGTACCCTTTGGTACCCTCTGGAAATCCAATATGGCTGGAAAATCCCACATTTTGATGGAATGTCCATGTTTTTTCCCATTTACCCTCTGGTAAACATACAAAAAAACTATGAAAAAGTCCACCATGCTATCAATGGGTAGATCCACTATTTCGACTGGGCCATTTTCCATAGCAAACTGTAAACGTTTACCAGAGGGTAACCCACCATTTAGTTCGGGGATTTCCAAAGCGACTGCTGACTATGTCTTCGCAAGGGCGGGATCCAGCCCTGACGAGTTGAGGGGATTTCACCATGGTGAAAGACTGAAACCTCACAAGTTGGGATATGGGGCCTCTATAACTCTGATTAACTATGATTAATGAATATATATATATGTATATGTAGATGTAGATGTAGATGTATCTGTGTATATGTATGTGTATATGTATGTGTATATGTATATGTATATGTATATTTATGTATATATATATGTATATATTAACATTATATAAGTACACGTGAATATACATGTGTACATATGCATATACATATACATATATATATAATTAGATATCGACCTCACGTCGCGACGTCCCTCGAAATGATGGTTAGGATTGGGTCAAAAGTTCCCATAGAGGGCCGAACTTTTCAGAGTGGTGGATTCTTACAATTATAGTAGAGATATATCTCTAGTTGCATTTTTTTCAAACAGGAATGGTGTTGCTCTCTTTTTGGTATAGGTTGTATAGGCTATCGGAAAATCCCATAGCTATTTTGTACATCGATTGGTTCCCGGGACGGTTTCAGAAGCGATTAGCTAGGTGAAATCTTGCTTGATACAGCCGTCACCATCCCCCTAGAACTGGGATGCAAAATGACCCACAGTCATGGCTGGTTATGGCGGGTTTACCACAGTGGTGACGGATCATTCTGTCTATGGAATCTCATGACTTCAATGGCCGCTTCAGGAACCGATTGATTGCAGGTACCTAGCAGATATTTTTGGCCTATTTTTGAGGCTTATGTAAGGGAATATCCCAACAAAATATGTTTTTGTTTGGTACAGTACCTCCATTTTAGGATCCTGAAATTCCCATTGATCACTTTTCATATTTTTTTTTGGTGAGAAATGGACGACTTTCCACTGCCCTGAATAGGGGAGGGATCAAAGCTAGTGGTGATTCGCTAGGTTCAAACCAACAAGACTAGGGCGAAATCACAGCAGAACAACATAGTCGTGCATGGTTTTTGGTCCTTGAAACTGTGGAAATATAGTGTCTCCCATGAATTTAGTGGCAAAATGTCCCACAAAATTGTGAGGGAATCAATCAGCACTCACAAAAATACACATATATAATACAACAATGACCGGGATGTCCATGGCGTAGGTCAATAAACAGAACATTCAGAAGCATTCACAGAAACGATTTGAGGATGTTTGAGGGATAACGTTTTTTGTTGCATGAACAAATCAATCCATTGAAAGATCAGTATGGTTTGCTTCCCCCTTGTTATCCCATGATATTCAAATTAAATCTCTACAGAATTACTTGGAAGTGTAGTTCGGGTCATAAGTGGATATATACATTCATATACATATTATATACAATATAGTATATATATAACATAAATAGGTATAACACTAAATATAATTATAGTATAAGTGGATATATAATATACATTTAATATAATTATATATTACATTAAATGACATAGGTATTGACTTGGCAGCATTTCCGACTCTCTGCCGCGGCCCCCATGGCCTCATCGACCGTCACATCTTTGGGTTTCCGCAGCTGCGGCCGTGGCAGCTGCGCCAAGGGAAGCCGCGCTTCGGTGGGTGTCGTTTCCAGCAAGGCCAACCTGGGGCGAGGGCCACGTGATATGAACGTTGCTTTGTAAAGCCAGGAATCATTATGAAGACTACATATATATAATATATGTATGTATGTATATATATATATATATATGTGTGTGTGTATGTGTAGTATTATATAGTATTATATAGTATTATATAGTATTATATCGTATTATATCGTATTATATCGTATTATATCGTATTATATCGTATCATATCGTATTATATAGTATTATATATAGTTATATCCCCAATAAACCGAAACATTAACCAAGGGTTTTGGAATGTGCTGGATCATTGGACTATAGGAATACCAAGGAATATCACCCAGCTGAAGACTAATAGTATCTACCCTCTGGTTATTTGTTACATAGCCATGGTATAGATGACCCATAGAAATAGATGATTTACCGTTCTTAAAAATGGTGGATCTTTCCATGGCGAACTGCTAGTCATAACCAGAGGGTAATAGTTATATCCCACAGAAAGCCAAACGTTAAACCAAGTTATTGGATCAATGGACTGAATTGGACTGGTTTATGATGATAATTTACAACAAAGAATCGTTGATTTCGGTGTTTTTTGACGATGGTCTTCGGTGTCGATTTCCCCCCAATCCAAGGATTGGAGAAACATCTCCAAAGAAGTCCAAACTGTTTAGGTTGATTTGATGAGATGACTAGCCTCTTGTAATCTAACAGTTGCTACGGAAAACCACCCTGGAAATAACTGGCAAATCACCGAAGCAAATGGGCAAAGGGACTTCCAGTTTGCTATGCTTTGCCAGAGGGTAAAGACCTATATTGAAACATCAAAACCCTGGTGCCCTATGGCATCTTAACATAGCTTGACATCAACACAGCCGATGTAAAAGTGGCTATACATCACCTCAAAGATATCACACTTTAGCGTGGCCCAACCACGAATTATCTACCATTCAAGGTGAAAAAAAAGGAGGTCCATGAGAAACTGGGTTCAAGATCTGGTTGGTTGCTTCCCTGTGAAGTCTTGTCGAAAAGCTATCGCTATCCTTCTAGATCCTTCTGAGCCATCGACTATAGGAGCTTCTGGATCATTTGCCCTTGTGTCAATAGAACAAATACTCGCAGGTGAAAATGCTAAAGGACAGTTGGATTGTTGGCTGATTCTTCTTGGGTTGTGCGGCGGGTATACCCCTGTGTTTCCCCACATTGACCGCCTGACATATCCTTGTACCGCTGGAGCATATGATCACCATGCAGAACTGGCTGAATCCAAGCAGTCAGGAAAATCATTTGCGTACCACTAGCGGGAATTTAGGAAGTTCCATCTTTCTGCAGGCTTGCTGTATCTTATATTATATTATATACCCAAGAAATCCCAAAAAACAGGTCTACGCCACGGAAACACCCGTATTTTAGATGATTTGAGTGGGATTTTACGATCCATCTGCAGGGTTGCTATATGTTGCTATATCCCCTCTTTTTCACAGACCTGGTTATCTCTGGACTCTGCTGGGCCACTGTTGGTTCACCCACTCCGCCAACATGTCGGCGTAGAAGGCGTGCCCTGCCCAGCGCGGGTGCCGATACGCCCAGTCGGGCCAGGCGGTGGGCTGCACGTTGCGGGGCCACATGGTGGACTGAGAACCTGCCGAGAATCTCGGTGACCTTGTGATGGGTGTAACTTAGTACAGGATGGGGCCCCCGTTTTCGATCGCGTGAACCGTTGGTTTATATATAAGTGGCTGAAAAAACTATGGTTTATGGTAGATATAACGAACTAGTATTCATGGGGATTATTTCATGGTTTATAAACCAACAAACATAACTGGGGGGCCCCATCCTGTATAGCCATGGTGAACTCAAGCCCAAAAAATTGGGATATCCTATGTCCACCGTCTATGGGAACGGGAGAACCCATGGTGAACTACTTGGGGCAGTTGAGGTTACCTTTATGGATATCACTATAACCATGGGATTTTACCACCAACAATGGGAATTTCATGAGAGTTCACCAACACATATGGTGGTAAAATGGGTCTAACCACGGGGATTTTACTTTCCGGGATATAGACCCTAAGGCTCCAGGCTGATTTCCACAGAAATACCTGGAACTGCCCAAGTGGAATGGGTCGAGTCGTTGGAATGAGTTGTTTGGATGAGTTGTTTGCGTTTTGAGTTGGAATCAGGGCCCAGGAAGTGGGAGAAAACGTCATCCAAAGTGGGAAACGCGTCAACATTTACCAAAAAAAAAGATATGAAATGTATCTGAAAATGGGGCACACACCCTGAATGGCAACATGAGAGAAATCGTGGAATGGTGGCACCCCCATTTTCAGACAACCAGCTAACCAATTCAAACTCGTATGGTTGAAGCAGATTGTCATCCCTTTCAAAAATGGTTGCTTTAGAACGGATTTCCCATGGATTGTGATCATCCAAAATATATAAAGGATAGTATCACCCCATACAATAATCCACCAAAAGGGGGTTGAGCACTGCTCAAGTGGGTAGAAAAAAAGAACATCAATGGGACGAGATGCAAGAGTTGGTCGTTCATGTTCACAAAAATTGGGCAGGTTGCCCAACAACTGTTGGCTTGAACACTGGTTTTAGCTTTAAACATACAGGAATGAGGATAGTGGTCAACAAAAACACCAAACATGGAGGAATATCCCAGACGATACTTATCTGATATAGAAATCATAACCTTTCTGAAAAGCAGAGAGCTTTTCTGGCGCTTTTACAACGGATAAAACCAGCCAAAATCATGCTACACAGCCAAAAAGAGTAGCAAGAAACTTGCTTGTCAAACAGTCTGTCTGGGAGATCACCAGCCGTGTATAATGATACCTGTCAGAAACTCTAAGTATTAGCAAGCGTGTCTGTGTGTGTGTATCAAAAAATGTCTGTGTATGTTGTGCGTATCTGCAATATACATATTAATCATATATATATATACATATACAGATACATATATATATACATATATATATATATACATATCATATATCAGAATAGATATGCATTCCGCCGCACTCCCGAACTCCCGAACTTACGAAGAAGAACCGCCTCCAGCTATTAGTTGCAGAGCTATGGAATCCATGGGGTGAACCCGAAATCGGAAATCATCGGGGGCATCATGGTGGATTTTCCATGGTGTTTTTCCATGGGATTTTAAATGGTGATTCAATGGGATTTAATGGGATTTATATAATGGGATTTATTAGGATATATGATGGTATACCCTCTGGTTGTCAAAATAGCTATTTTTCAAATGGCCCATAGAAATAGTTGATTTACCTATTAATAGCATGGTGATTTTCCAGTTCGCAAAATGTAAACGTTTACCAGGCCGGGTAAGTTTACCCTCCGGTATTCCCTCCATGGCTTGCTGGAACATTCCCCATTGAGTTCCATGACGTTCCCAGCAATAAACCTCACGGACGTTGATCTTCCTAGATCCCATGGATTTCCCATCCTGTTCCTATGAAAATCTCCATTTTTCATGGGAAAATCAACTATTTCGACTGGGCCATGGCTTCAATAGCAACTAACATAGCGAACTGGAAAGATCCACCATTTTAAATGGGAAAACTCACTATTTCAATGGCCATGTTCAATAGCTATTTTGACATAATTACCAGAGGGATTTCCGAGGGATTTCCCAGCACGACACGCCGCATCCAAGTGACCCCCACGGCGGGAGAACTCTTCCATTGCGTTCCTCTGGCCCAGATGGATGATTTACCATCTGGTTATGACTAACATAGCCATGGAAAATCACCATTTTTAATAGGTAAATCAACTATAAATTGGCCATTTTCCATGGCTATGTTCAATAAGTAGAGGGTAAGTCAGCTAAGTTCTGTGGATCCCAGTTCTTAAATTGGATACTGTTTGCAAGCAACATATTTCATATAACTGACTGAAAGAAATGGAATATCCTCAGTTATGTGTGGAAATGAATGTGGTTTATAAAGTTATTAAATCACTGGGATGCACATCTACGTACTAAACACCATTGCACAAAGTCCAACCTGGCTCCATTGGACATGACCAATTCTCAAGTTCCAAGGCCATGTTTGCGAGTTCCAAAATGCTCATTTTGAGGGATTACTTAGAATAATGCTATCATCGCCCTAATATCAAACTCCCCTAAATGGTCTCAAATAATCCCAAATATGCGCAAATCCCCTACTAGACCATGGTTTTTGGGGGATGGGGGGTGTTTACTGTAATATTAGGGCGATGGGATTTGGCGACATCGTTTCCATGTTCAACAGAACGGGCAGAGCCATGTCAGGCCCTAATGAGAAGAGTACGGTGTTTTAACCCCACAAATAGCTGGGATTTATGGTTGTTCATCCCCATTCATATGATATTGTAGGTGCTTAATGGTTTGAACATCTTTTAACCCATCCCAAAAAAGGACTCATAGAATGTGGATGATGTTGATTTATACCTCCAATTTCACCCCACATCGGGACTCTCCAGGACAAGGAAATCCTTCTGGCATGCACTGATTGGTTGAGAAGGATTCCCATGGGTCAGTGCATAATCCCCAACCAGGTAGGTTTTTGACCCCCTACAAGAAACAACCATCATTTATTCACTATCCGATATCCTTTTGGGTGGTCAAGACTCATTTGGTCGTGAAAAATTCCTGAAAATGTTCGGACACACCGCCATTTGGAATCCCCTACGAACATTAGTTCAATCTCTCTATTTAACTTAAAGAATCTGAGATTCTCATAGTTCAGCATGGGCAACTTGTAGTGCTCCGCCACTCCCCGCAAGATCTTCAACGCCTTATCATCCTGCGATCAGCAGGCGGGGAAGGAACGATGCATCGTAGGTGTGCATGGCTAGCCTATGATCTCGGGTAGGTCTGGCCCAAAGTGGGTACTTCAAGAAATGGATGTTCTACATTGTTCTACATGTCTATATATATATATTATATGATAAGCCCATTCATGTCATTTAAACGATATGGACTTGCTTGCCCAATCGTAGATGATTTATAAGTATATCTAAATAGAAAACCATGGGTTTTCTGTGACAGTTCGCCATGTAAAATTACAAAAAAAAAAGGCGTTCTTGAATTGGCCAGGCTGACCAGGCCACCCCTACCCCGTGGATGCTGTTATTTTAACATGAAAATTCTCCGCGACCGTGGTTGAGCCCTACCCCTCTGAAAAATATTTTTGTTCGTCAGTTGGGATGATTATTATTCCCAATATATATATATATCCATAGATAATTATCTATAGATAATGACATAGATATGTTTGATGATTATGAAATTCCCAACTGTTTCTGGAAAGTCATTCAAAATTCCCAACTGTTCCAGTCACCACCAGTCGCAGTACTGAGTCATGTTAGGTGAGCCCCCCGTTTTTTCGATAGCTAGTCGTTGACAGTGAGCCCTTGCCCCCAGACATCACCGACATGGGGGGCCTTCACCGACTCACCGTCTCACCATAAGAAGGGATTCCATTTGACAAAGAAACCAACCATCATCTATAGAATATGCTATGGCTTAGGGTTTGTAGAATGGCTATGGTATAGAATATGGTATGGCTATGGTATGGCTATGGCTACAGAATTTATCAACAAACCAAGTTGATGAATTATAGAATGGCTATGGTATGGCTATGTAAAATGGAAAAATGTTGGTTTTCTTGAAGTACTATGATTGTTGATGTTCATACAACCATCATTCAGAATGGCTATGAAAACTGTCGTAAAACCATCGGTCCAAAAAAATCGCTCCATCATCCCCAGACCTGCAGTTCCCAGAGAGATTCTGGAGACCATCCAAGCCCATCAACTTTTAGAATATGACCATGGGGGTTTCCTTAAAGATAGGCTTCAACGTGAAAGTAAGGTATCCTGTTTGATAGCTAATTACATGTAATTACCATCTTGTTTAAAAATCCTGTAAGT